AGCATAAATGTGCTGTATGTCCCTCTAAAGTCCACAGTCCAAATGTTCTGAATTATTGTTTCATTATCATGATTGAGTATCTTCAAATGTTTTACTGCCATAACCTGCTCCAGAGATCTGAAATGGAAATGATGTGGAAGCCAAAACTAAAATTACCTCCAGACTCTATAGCTGAGAAATATCACTCTTTTAAGAAATTGTGAGCTGCTAAATTGAGTGGTTTCAACCTGAGCTCATAAAGTTTGTCATTTTCCTTTTAATTTCTGAATCACTGTCGTTTTCAAAAAGGAACCAATAAAAGGTTTTTCCCCAAAGAAGCTCAATTATTTTAGCAGTTAAGAACTTTAAAAAATAAACTTCCTTTCATATTAAGAATTCCTTTTAAACCAAGTGAACAGATCCTTTCAGATTTAGTAAACAGTAAGATGTTTTGGGGGATGGGAGACTTGATTATAGATTACATCATTCTGCAAACACTACAACCAGCACTAGCCAGCAAGTTGGTTTTGGCTTGTTTTCAAAACCATTGGAAGATAAAACAAGTCTCTGAAGACTTACTGTCTGGGACTGTGTGTTAGCACTGACAAACCAAAGCAGACTGGCCAACCAACAGGACTGCCAGTCATGAAACAGCAAGGCATTGACACTTGACTGATAGAAAAAAAACAAGAGTGAAAAGACAAACTGATGGCATCAAAGTACTTATATGCTTCCATACTTGTGTTTGAGTGAGGCAGTAGTACAAAAGAGGAAGACAATGAAACGATTTCTTCCACTTTGCTTTGCTAACAAAGCTAACGTTAGACCATGTGCCAAAAAAGTTAATGTCATCATGAAGACATCTGATATGACTTGATGACTTGAATACTAACCCTTAATACACACAATATCGTCCATCTATGCCAGTGGTTCTCAAGTTCAGTCCTTGAGGCCCACTGGCCTGCATGTTTTGGATGTTTTCCTGCTCCAACACACCTGATTCAAATGATCAGCTCGTTATCAAGCCATTACAGAGCTTGATAACGAGCTGATCATTTGAATCAGGTGTGTTGGAGCAGGGAAACATCCAAAACATGCAGGACAGTGGGTCTCGAGGACTGGACTTGAGAACCACTGATCTATGCTGCAGTCAGTAGTTGCTATATATAATGTGCACTGATAGGGTTTAAACCACAACTGCCTTCGTTTATACTGGTGAACAGCAGCAGTCTGTACACAGTGGAGTTTGAGTTTTTAGACATTACTAGCACACAACAACAACATGACAAGGTGACATTTAAAAACTTTCTGTCCTGCCTCCAGCAGCTGTGACATCATTGTGACGCTGACCCTGAAAGGTCAAAGTGTCAATGTTGTCATCTCAAAAAGTCAAATTGCCTTAATATATCTGTTTTCACTAGCAATTTAATCCAGAATAGTGTGGTAATAAAATTAGGTAGTTCACTTTTTCAACCATGACTTAAAACCATAGACAATATAAGAAGATGGACAGCACAGCTGCTCACCAAAATTAAGGCCAAGTATAGGTCAATAAGCCACCCTCCCTTATTTAACAGGAACGACATGGGTCCAACCAGAAAATAAAGACACAGAACAAATCAATTTTATTTCTATTCAGTTATTTGCAGTTGAAAACGGGGGATGTAATGCCATGACTGACAGCAATGTCATCATATGTGGCCACTGCAGTTGTCTTTCAAGACTCACTAAACTTTCCATAACTGTGACGGCTTCAGTGCATTGCTTGGCTTCAAAATACACCACCAGCACAATATGGCCCATATACCAAGCCGTACCTTGGCTTCAATTTTTTCCATATGGAAAGATGTGCAGCAACCATATGGAGTTGATGTTTTTAACAAAAGTATTTTGTTCAGCCAGATAAGTAGACATAAGACAACTTACTGTTTCCTGACACAGTCATCTATGTTTTGGGCTTCCAGAAATGTGTCAAGTGTAAGGACAGGTTCTGATCTGCTGATCCATCTCTGAATAATAAGGAAGAAATGGTGTTGTGGTTTGGCTCAGGTCTGAATCAGAGGCCTTGTGACATTTTATTGGTTTGTCCAGGAGCTTTGTACTACATACCCCCTGATCTATATTGTGTCACTGTGTTTCAGTTTGGTCAGAGCTTTAACTGACAGCTCTGTAGTTTACTGCACTAAAGACCTTGTTGCTGTTTCTAGTTTGGAAAACAGCCAACAAAAGTAGCCTGAGCAGAGACTCCATACATCTTTTGAGTGGAAACATTTTAAACAGCCCAAACAGGGGGCAAACTTCATGATGTTTCCACTGCAGTTTTCCCATATGGACCAAACTATATGTACATCTTGGTCTGTCAGCGTTGTTTGTAAGGTCAGGCAGGGATTTAAACAGTCTGGTTCCCACTACATTAGAGCCAACCATAGCAAACAACCAAAAACCACACTCTTATGTAAAGGATGTATGAAAAAAAAAAGTCTTAAAATACAATCTGGCTTCTGTTTGTGAAATGTTAAAGCTTGTGCATAAATGCAAATACCCACATTCTGCATGCTTTAAACACACCGCTAAAAATAGATGTTGTGATGCAACTCTGAAGCTAGAAACCCTCCAATGGTAAAAGAAAGATTCGGACTGTTTTTGCCTCAGCGCTGATTTCCTCTTCACTGAGCACAGCAGCTGGTTGGCTCCTGGGCAGAGCTGTATGCCTTCAGGGCCACATCAAACAGTCCCCTTATTCCACATGAAGCATAAAGCAGAGAGACAACATCAGACAAAGACAGGCTAACCTCAGCTTGAAGTTACATGGTGTAAGAACATCTTTCTAGCTAAGATATCTTTCATAATTCCCTGAAACATGGTCAAAACTGTTGACATGAATATGCCCATACAGCCACAGACTTCTGACCATGACTCCCCTTTCCATTATTTATAATCCAACAAGCAACTAAGAATACGGGAATTGTTGAAGAGATGCAGATTATTGGTAAGAGGTTATCAAACAGCCAAATAAACTTCAGGTGACCGCAGGTTTTGCCAGTGCACTCTGCAGGTGCCCCACCCTCTCGTAAAGTAGAGCCCAGTGATTGTACAATCAGTTCCTGAGTGTGTGGTGCATGTCATTCCCCCTCTCTCACCTCACATTGCCTGTCTCTCTACAACTTCCCTATCAAATGTTCTATTGGTCTAAAAGACAGAAATCTGGGATCAGTCAGGTCTTTAAATATATCCTCTGGAGATACTTAAAAGTCAGTGAAACACTTACAGTGTTTCGCTCAATAGGTGTCAAGATATTTCTCCATTACAGAGCAAATTGACCTCAAGGGAGTCCAAAGATCTCATAAGTCTGTAGTACCATCCTCTGAGGACAAAGAATTAAAATTGATACAGGTGTTTATGTCCTTAAGATTTAAACAGAGTGGAGAGCCCTTATGGACTGATTGTGTAATACAAAGACATAAACTGAAAACCTGTGTTTTGTTTTGATCCACCATTTATTGGTGTATTTTGACAAGTTCTGGGGTATCATGTTAGGTCAAGCAGAGTGCATCAAACCTGCTGACTGTCAGCTGACCCAAACATGCACCAATGATGATTGACACTTCAAACAACCTGCTGGAGCTGCCAACTCCTCATTCCTCCCTGCAGTTCCTTCCTGCTGCATGCTGCTGATAAATAGCTGTGCTGCTTACTCCCTCTACCAGGACAACCTCCTCCTGTTGCGGCTCCTTTTTATCGATATGCATCACCATTATGTACAGTGTATATTCCATATGTCTAATGCATCTGCAGGGTGGGTGCTCTTAACCCTGAAGAACTTGCAGCATCATCTACAACAAAAGTTTTCTACAATAATTCCCACAAACATAATTTTGGCTGCGGTGACAAGAGCGGGTCTGATTTAAATTTAATAATCCAGATGTTTTTACATTATCTCTTGGCTTAGTGCGGAGGGGATCTCCTGTTCAAATGGCTGGACCAGCTGAGGAAATCTCTACGGGAAGAATGATGAGAGAAAAATCTCTCCTCCTTTAAAAACAGCAGATGATTTTAAATCTCCAAGTATTCAAACTGGAAAATCTTCAGTAGACAAGTATACAATGATTCTTTGTAGATCAATATTTCAACCATGTTTCAACCATGCTCATCACTAAGACTGCAAAGTCATGCATGTTTACTAAGAAATTTGTGTTTAAGGCCTAATTGAGAGACCAGAGGGCTCACTATCTTTATTAAATCTTAATGTTGCATAGATTATCAGGATCAGAGTGCATGGGAAATAGACAGGGTTAACAGAGGAAGGTCAGCAGGACCAGCTGAAATGAACTGTTTCTCTGTCATATTTCTTTGAGTCAAACCCGGATTAGAAGAATGTCAAAATGAATGCAGCACTATGGAAACAGAGCCACAAGCAGGCCCACACAGTGACTCTTTGTCTCAGGCTCTGAGCTCCTCACAGGTGTGTTTTCATCATGTGTGTTACATACAGGGTCAGGAGTACAAATATTTTCTCTATTGAGATCCTACATCTCCTGTTTTTGCCCACAGGGTTGTCCTGACCTCCACTTTATCCTTCAAATCTCAAACCAAAACCAGTCATTCTGATGTTGTGCTGCCCTCTGCTGGTCACACTAAGCACTAAACTAGACATAAATGTAGTCTTTAAACATTTTGAAATTAAGTATCTATGTTATGTAAGTCATATGTGAACTAAACTTTTTCTCAATATGTCTAATTTAATACCAAACACTAAGGCTGGGTTATTGTAAAGCTATATTTATGCTTCAATGAGCTTTCATACAGAAACATCGAACTCAATCCACTAGTAGTGTGAAATATTTAAAAATTAATACATTTAAATCACTCTTTACACAGACTTGTCATATAATTCATCCACTACTGATTTTTATTAATAAAAAACCACTCAATGTAACTTTTCTGGTAATATGACCTGCCAGTCTTTGTACCTGTTGTGTGATAACTTCTTAAAAACAGGTCTGAAACTAGATTGTTAAGTGTTAAAATTCAGTGGAATCAAAATAAAAAAGAGATGTGTCGTTCTTTCCACATGGTGTCCCATCAGTCACCCTCTCAGACAATTTCACATAGAACCTGAAACCCACGGCCCTGCAGTGCAGTTCACAATGCTGATCCACTGGAACTAAAAGGTAAAAAAGTAGATTTTGACATATAGTTAGAAATTTCAAAATCACAATAACTTTATTGTGCACAAACTTCTCCTTGGAGGATATAATCTAGAAAATATTGCTTCACAGTATTAGAAAAGCTATCATCACCTGGTTTGTCAAATTTAGCGAGTTTTGACTTAAAAACACTTCCTTCACTGTCAACTTTTTTTTAAACTAAACTAAACTAGAAGCTTTTTTTTTTTACCATCAATGTTCTCAGAGGAACTACAAAATTTAAAACAAGACATAAAAATTAATAAAAATGTCAAAACTAACACAGGTCTTCAGCCAATACAGAAGGGCATCACAGCTGAGAAGGCATAGTCTAACACTGTGACATGTTGCAAAAAAAGACCCCGTGTGTTAAAGAACTGCTCCTTGAGTAAAACTGCAGTCATTTGTTGAAAAATCAGGGAGCAAATAAGGAAAGAAATTGTTATTATTTCATTTTCCAGAGAAAATGTCTACCATCATTGTGTTGGTCTCAATTTTAAAATGTTTTGGTATTTATTATGATGTCCAAAGTGAGCACTGAGCAGCCACAGCAGACCCTGACCCCAAACATTTAGTTCAGAGTCTTTTTTAAATTAGACAAACTGTCAGCCAAATAGAGGCGTATTTCTAAAACAGATGCACAAGTGTGTTTAAGCATTGTTCAAGATGGGTGTCGTATAACCCTGACCTATCCTAACACATGTACCTCCGGTTATTTCATCCACACGTCTGCATTACCAGTCAGTGATGCTGCGGCATCTCTTAATACACACGAGTTTAACAGGATATTAAACTAGAGGCTGTTTTTACCATCAGTGTTCTCAGAGAAACTATGTCTCAGGAGGTGTTTTGACTGTTGCTTAGATACCTCAGGTGAGTGTGGTCATAGAGTCTGTATGCATGAACATTTATCAGTGATCCTCAAGACAGGTGACACACTGCAGTGCATAGATCACACCACATTTTTGTTCATGTAGGTCAAAGGTCAGGCAGCTGAAAGTATAACCTGTAGGCTCATGTGATTTATTGAGGAATGGGTGTGACCTGAAGTTTGAGTGCAGTACTTCAGAGATAACGATCATGACTTTAACATACACCACACCACATTTTCAGCCAATTTTTATATATATATTTTAAACAGTTTTATTTGTCATGACATTTCTGTTTCTTTTGACCCTCTTTAAGATCATGTAAGCTTGAATTTGGCTCTTTGAGTGACATGGCTGTGAGGACAGCAGTGTGAGTCTGTTGAGTGGTCAGTGGGTCAAACTTTTTTACAGATGCCATGAGATTTTGTACATTTATTTGTACATTTTATCTTTCATTTTTAACAGTCACATTTTATTCTATTAAGTACATTTAAAAAGTGGAGCCCACTGAAAAGTTAAACTTAGTAACCCTGCTAGTTTTAGAAATTACCTGCAGGATATCAGCATGTTACCAGCATTAAAACAAACATAGACTCATAGATAGATAGACGTTTTGTTCCTGTAATTTCATCCAAACAAAAGTAGAATAAATATTATAAACATTTATATGCATATAGAAGTACATAGATTTTACATACCCTCGTTGAAAGGTTCCCACTCATACACTCTACCCATGAAAGGCTGGTTATTGTAAGAAGAACACTGAGCAGCCCTGATGTGTTTGCTGGATGGAGGACAGGCCTGGAGGAAGGTCAACACACATTAGTACTCAACACATATACTGTACAGTCATTTTCCTCACACAGAGTCCAACATATAAAACCATTGTTATTGTTATTGCAGCGAGAACTTATTTTGTAGTCATACTAAAAAGTCATTGACTGACCGCTGCACTGTTTCAGGCTTCCTTGCCAAAAGCACAGATTCAACAATTTATGAAAGCTCCCAAGTAAAACTGAACCCCCGTGACATCCCTCTATATCTCCTTTATCTAAACAAGCCGCCGGCATGCTTCACTTTGCTTGAATATCCGTGTCATCACACACCAGAGACAATATACAGAACCTGACACTGTTTGAATTTAGTTTAATGCACAGGACGGATTCCAAAACCTTGGCACAGATAAGCACAGCCTCTCCAGACTTGTGTCTTACAGCTGAGATTCAACTTCTAGGCCTTCCTACAACAACAGTTCCAGTAGTGGTTTACTGCTAGTATAGACTGTATAATATATTTACTGTTAACAGTTAATAGCTTTTCAATTCAGCAAAAATTTCACTCCATAATAAGAAAGTCAGAAGTGGGTAAATAAGAAAATGTCAGTAAAAGTACACTGCTAAAATTAGGAACATTTAGAGATATCTGGTGGTTAGATTCCACAGTGAAATGCTCCTTTGCTCATCCCAACTGTAGATGTATCAATGGCTGCTTTGAGAACAAGAATCTCCTGTGATCCATTAGTAAAGTGTCTGACATCAAAACATCAACCAATACAAACTCTTCAGCACAGAGCAACGACTCTCATCTTTCTTTTTATCTGCCAACTGGTGCATTTCTGACACTCACTTAATGCAAAAACGCACTTCTTACTAGTTTGTCTGAGCTGTGCTGATGTGGAAACATGGGGTGCAGTCTGGGAAAGCCGCTTTTATGTAAATATTAAAGGCTTAGTTTGAGTTGATAAAAATAAATCATTTTTTATATTTTAGTCACTAATTTAAACATATTATTAATGTTATTTTCCATTTTACCAGGTCGGTTCTGCTAAATGCTGCTAAATGCTGCTAAATGCTGCTAAATACTGCGTATAGTACCTTTAAAAACCTGTTCTGTCTTGAAGGCTCACTTCACGCTGAAAACCATGTGATTCATTGCTGTGTACTCTTTTGGGCAATAAATGGCATAGCTCCATGCTACAGAGGAAGAATGCGTCTCATTTACCTGACTGCAAATGACTCAAGAGTCAATGTAGGGACTATTGGTTCACACTATTTTGAATCTTGAAAAACTATTCCTGTGCATAACAAAAAAGTCACAATTTGACCTAGCATGACAAATCCGAGACAACATTCACTCCAAAGAGCTCAAAATTAGATGACCGAAACAGTTTCCTTCACTCAAACTTGTACTCAAACATATGCCACCCTTTATAAGAGATTGAAGTAGGTGTTCAAACAAACCAGAGCAGCTATAAGGTTAAATCATCTCAACATTTAACTAGTCTGAAATAATCTTGTTTGATTTGAATTAACTGTTTTCAGATTTAAAATTTAAAAGCTCAAGATGTTGCTGTAAGAGTGAAATGTTTTAGTCTTGGTGTCAAGAGTGTCTGAGACACACCAAAAGTTTAGGCATCTCACTCTTGTTATTTGGTCTATGGATTAAACTCAATCATTCATTTCATGCTTTAAACTTGTTTTATATCCACATCTGTAAAAATATTAAAATATGGGTGAATAAAAACTTATTTTGAGAATTAACGAAACTAGTGATGATATTTTCTAGTTAATGTATAGCTACTGTGCTAACAATACTAAGTAGAAGGTGCCGTTTAGCATACATTACTGTTGCAGATCCTGTAGTGAGCATGCTCCCCTGTGCAGAAGGAAGTGGGCAGGGGGTCGTAGGGTCTCTCCTGGTGCTGCTGAGGTCCAGGCGTGTGGCTACCTGGTTGCAGCTCCTGTTGGACCTGACCCTGGTTGCCTGAATCAGGCTGGTAAAGGGGGGCCCAGACTTGGTTATTATTAGGCTGCCTGGTCCTGTGCTGCAGGTGGGGTCTGCTGTAGTGATGACGGTTGCTGTAGTGGTCCAGATTGTTTGACCTAGGTACACCGTAGCCTCTGGAGGGGTGGTGGTGGCCATCAGGGGAGCGTCTCTGTCTGTGGGGACGAGGTGACCCATAGCTTTGGCCTGTATCGGTTTGCACTGGAGTGACATAAGGAGATCTGCCATAGCCGTACCTTCCCGGGATAATGTCAGAGACCCTCCTGAGGAAACAAGCATAGGGAGGAGAGTGACAAAACCAACAACTGAGCACTTCATCTAAATCTGAAACTACACATCTTAAATGTCTGCTTCTGAATTCAACCATTTGTCCCACTTTCTAATATCATCTACTTTATTAAGACTGAACAAAAGAGGATATCTGGAATGATTAATTTCTCCTTCTATTTAGTTTAATTGGGCCAAATTTCTTCTTTCATGGCCCTTTATTCAAACTACTGCTTTTGAGAACAGTCCAGATCCCCTTAGCAGATTTCTGGGAGTTTTTTTGTCATTATTTAGCCGCTTAGATTCCAACTCAAACAACCCCCCATTACTTTGCTGTCATTGCTATTTGTTTAAAGGCAGGCACAACAGGAAGGAGGTCACAAAGCTGCCAAGCACAAGCCGAGCTTTTGACTCCATCTATAAAAGACCAGCTTTCCAGTGAAGAGTGGTCAGATGGCAAACAGTGACGGCTCCAAAGAGTCACTTTTAGACCAGGCTGCTCAGCATGCAGCAGAGACGTACAGGCTCTTTCCAGACTTTTGGATCTTGCCAAAAATACTATAAGAGATTCTACACTGGCATGAGACTCAAGTGACTGCCAATAGTATCTCTTAAATGCCTAGGATCTCCCTCTTAAGAGAAAATAAAGTAATGATGATGACACTTTAAACTCTTGAAGGTCTTTTGCAGATGTTGAAAACTATAAATGTCTGACAAGAAAATGGAAAAACTCAACATGTGTCTACGGTAATGAGCCACCATTATTGTTACAGACTCTACATGTCTTTGGATCTCAGATGGAAGGTTGAACTACACTTTCCAGAAGATTTTCCTTTATTTAATGTCAATTGTGCTGATGGAGCTAAAATATAGATCCGAAACAGTTTTCAGTTGATCCTGGATCAAGAGTTGGTCACAGAATATTCTTGACAGCATTCCCATCAAACCTTGTTTTGACCCTCTATGGCCCTCTTTAAGCATCCTGACTTTTATTTTCTTTCGTTTAGGTGAAGGTGTGTCATCTGCCATCTGACTGTCCAAAATAACTTCTTCATTCCCTGGCTTCCTTTAAGTGAGTTTAAGTAAAGGAGCTCTGTAAAAATATTTACAGGAGCATTGACACCTTAGTTTATTTGTTCTCCAGAATCAATCTCGTCCCCTCTTTTTTGCAGGATAATACAGTACCTGCGTCCACCGGGCCGACTCTGCGTCCTCTCCCTCACATCTCCTTGGCTGCTGCTGTTGAAGGACCTAACTGTGTCACGGTGCAGAGGAACTGTTGGCCGCAAGGCTGAGATAACATGTCCTTGCTGCTGAGTGGGAACACCAGCTCTCCTGGATGGAGTGTAAAGAGGCAGGCAGGGTCTGCTCTGCTCTTGAACCCCTTTTCCACAGGTTCGAGAGCATGTTGACCAGGGCCCCCAGGCACCCCAGGAGCCCTGGATCTGTCCATGCTCAGCCCTGAACTCCTGTTGGACACTTTGCTCACTCTTAGGAACCTGTGTGTAAATGAAATAAACATTAGAAACACCACAAAGGATAAAGACGCAGCATAGTGGCGCCAAAAATGGACAAAATACTGTGAACTGTTGGAATCAATGAAACTTGAATCTCTTCAGATCATTTCCTCTCTTCATGACTCAAGTCAGTGAGCTCATCTCATCTACATGTCTGTCCTGCTTCTCTGCCCCCCACCTCTGTCCGTGAAACAGACCCTTGTTCGTAGAAATGAAGCACTTATTTGCCTGATTAGTGGGTGTCTGTTAGTACCCTCTCCCCTATTGGCTGCATGCGTTTCTCACTGTTGACTCTTTCCCCCTGTGCAGCTTAGCCAAAGACGTATTAGCAGTGATCGCTGCACTCTCTTTTTAAGGAACCTGCCAGAGGACGCCCTGTGCCAAGCCAGCTTTCTTAGTGGAGCCGCGTGGAAATCCTGCTCTTTAAGAAGCACTTTGTCTCCATTCACCGCAACCTCTCTGGGCAAACACATGGCTGTAGTAAAAGCTCAGCTGCCTTTGACTTTTAGTGGACGGAAAGAGAATACAGAAGCAGCAGGGAGGGTTGGCAGGAAGTTCCTCTCCTGTCAATCAGCCCGTGCAGCTATTCAGAGACCTCAGCCCCCCTTGTTCCCCCACCTCTTCTCCCCTGCTCCAGCCTTTGTAACACAACGCCACTGTCATCTCCAGGGTCAGCTGTAGGTCACACAGCTGGACTCCCGGTGGAAACACATGGAGCTGACTCGCACCGATCTCCTCTAACCTGACAAGAGAGTGTCATTCGTCTCATCAGGTGCATCCACAAGTCTACTTTCTTCCATGAGGGTCCTTTGGCTCCAGGGGTCAGAGGGTGATTGGCTGACAGCTGACATAAGCCCCCCTTGTTTCACTACAATTCAGTCATGCTCTCATTACAAGTTAACAGATTAGCTCTCAGGTCAGGTTCCCCCTGGGAAAACTCTCACTGTTTACACATCCTAGAGTAGAAGAAGCAGGAACAAAATGTTTAAATTTAAAGTTTAGCTCTTGTGACCAGATATAATCATATCCAACTTTCACTGGACCTTACCAGCCTGTGGCAAGCATCAACAGGCAGGAACAACAAGTTCAACAGGCACATCCAATAAAATAATGAGGATGATTTAATCATAACCACGGATTGTTGACTGAGACCGTTAAAATGTTTTTTTTTTTCTTTTATTTAAATGTATTTTCCTAAGAGAACAAAAATGCCAAAAAAGATGCATAAAATAGCTGATTCTAGCTCCCCAAGTGAGAGTTTCCTTTTTTTCTTTGACAGTAAACTGAATATCTTTAGGTTTTTGGATAATAAATTACAAGAATGTCATGTTTAGTTTTGGTAAACATTGACCAATGTTTCCCAAAATGTCATATTACAGTTTTTTTATTATTCCAAGACTGTCAGCATGGAAATGGAAATGAAAATAACGGTCACATGTAGCCTTGTATTCAAGGGTGGTCTGCCATCCTGTAAGTGGGTATCCAGATCCCAACCAACTGCTGCACAACTGCCTCTCACCTCTATCCTTTGGTCTGGTGTGTGTTGGCAGTGCAGGGGGTCTGGCTGGAGCAACAGCAGAAGAACAGAAACACTGCAGAGAGCAGACACAGCAAATTACTAACAAAAAAGATTCAATATTTAGTCAGAAATCTACAGAGTAGGGCAGTTAGCTGAGCAGTACATGAATCAAAACCTTTTCAAGAATAAATGAAGAATATTTGAGTCAATCTGTCTGACAAACCTGATCACCCAGACACAGGCTCCCTGCATAGCTCCTGGATTCTTGAGGGTGGACACTTTTAAGAGAAAGTAAAGACGCTTGCATCAGTGTTCACAAACACAAGTTCTGTCTGTTTACAAAGTTAGAGCCCAATGCAACACCAAAATGTAATCTCTATCCATCTACAAAGTTGACATTTAACTTAACTCAACTTGAGAATTAAATGTGCTAAATGTGCTATGAACATTTTACTGCAGCTTTTTAGCGGACTGACTGGGGGAAAAAAGAGGAAGACTTCTTCCCACTTGACCATGTGAGTTGACCTATCTGACCTGTGGCTCCTAATGAGGGAGCCCCCCTGCTGAAAACTGTTACCCCATTAGACAGCAGGTCCGAGGTCCAGTGAGGGACTCTCACCCTTCACCCAGACCTTATAACTTAACCCAGCTTTACACCTTGTTTCAAATTATGTTCACAGAAGCAGACAGGATGGTCAAAAGCCCTGTACACACAGTTCACCAAGAATTAGGAAAAGAAGAACACTTTCTCTCTGGTACCTACCTCTCGTTGTTATTACAGCAAATTAACGCACGTTACACGTCGACGTACCTGCAGGTCTCTTGGGCGGCTTTTGTATAAGTATTAGCTTCACTGTGCTTTCAACCGAGAGTATCCCACACTGTAGCGCTTACAGATCCATTTCCAAGCGCAGACCTGTATCCTCATGGTCGAAACTTTAATCCAGGTAGAAATGCAGGTTTTCCCTCCTGAGACTTTGGGTTAAGCCATGAAAGTCTGAAATTTTCGTCTCCAGAAATATGGATCAAATCCAAGCGCGGTAAAAAGTCCGGACCCGGATCATCATGGTGATCCCCGCTGTTCTGCTTTTACGCACGAAGACACCGAATGACAGAAATCTGGATCCCGACACGGCAGATAGAAAACAACCTCTGCTGCGCCCCCTGCCGTGACACCCACTGTCTCTTGATGTGCGTGTGTGTGTGTGTCATGTAAATATGTAGGTGTGTGAGTCCTCCTTTATCCTTTCCCCACTATGTGAGTGTGTGGCGCGCTTGGGTGTGTAGAGCAGAGGGAGGAGAGAGGGAGAAAGTTATTTTTTTCAATTGCCTCTGTGCCTCTGACACTCCACTCTCTCTCACACTGACATGTCCACATTGGAGCCACAGGCTCGTAAATGATCTAATTTAGCGACTGCTGTGAAGCCAAAGCTCCGAGCTGCACCTGGAAACTACTATAGTAGACACACGAGCGTTTATGGAGCCCAGATCTCCTGAAATGTGACATCACTTCACCTACTTTATAGAGCTGCACAAAACAGAAAACAGGTGATGAGATAGTCTTGACTATTGTGAACAAAAAGAGGTGAACTGCAAGAAGTTCACTTTAGAGTGTAGAGTACAAACTTAGATATGGCCAGGATTAAAGAGTGAGCTTATTGATATCACAGAAAAACATCCCTGCTGCCATGGTGTCCTGCTTTGTAGATACATTGTAGTTAGGAACAACAGTTTTTTTTCTGGTTGATGTTTACTTCACTCCTAACTCTCCTCAGCTGAAATGATAGGATTAGCTGATATAATGGTTTGAAGTTAATTTTAGTCAACACTCCAGATGTTCCCCTTGTGTCTTCTGTCCTCTCTCTGAGGGGGCAGCTGGCTCAGAGGTAGAGCTGGTCTACTTTTTATTGATGGTTGGTGGTCTACTGACTTGAAACTGAAACCTTTATGAACTCCATCTACTCTATGCAGCATTCATTTTTCCATTAGTGTAAGAAAGGGTGGATGTGACAGACGCATTAGGTATTCTGAGTGATCAATAAGTAGAACAAGAAATACTCAGCAGCAGTATCATCATGTCATTCAGTCATCATTTTACAGCTCTGAATGAATGTGTGCATATCTGAATAGTAGTAATATGACTACAGAGATGATTGTAGATACATCTCTTTATGCATGCCACCAACAGTCATTTCATTCATAAAAAAGAAGTAAATGTAGCCAACACTGGGCAAGGACTTAGTCCATGCAATTTTGGCACCCTCTGTGGACAGAGCGGTCTTTGCGAACCTTGTCCCCTTCATGCTTAAGTGATGCGTTTTGACAAATATCTCGTCCTACTGACTTTTGACAGTCAAATGTATTATTCAGTGTGGACGTTTTGTCTTGAAATGGTAAAAACGTGGCTGTTACTTTAACTGCTTGGCTGGCACCTACCCCATCAGACTAACTTCAGGCATTCAAAATGACAGTAAATAAATTGTCAGTCATGTCACTGCTGGTCTTGTATATCTTTGTATATCATTAAAAAGCATCAATATATACTTACGTCTATTTCATAGACGTACTCCTCACAGGAGCTTTAAACAAATCACAAAACATTTGAGCTAAATCAGTATGAGAAATAGTCCTTACAAAAAGTTGCGTGTGGACCATGCATGTCTTCTCTTGAGCCTGTTGGTTCAGTGGTTTACACCTCACGATGTGACATGCAATATGTAGCTCATTACAGCCATTGTGTGTTGACATACTGGCCTCACAAGGCCTTCATTATTCAATCAACATAATCTACAAATACTGTGTAATTCACTACATATGTCAATGAGTCTGTGCCAGCTAATATGTCCACCCCTTTAGGTGCCTCTGCACAGTATTTATGAGTACATATGTCTTTGAATGTACCTGCAGGGGAGCTGGTTCTGTTGTTGCCCCCTCTGACCGCCCGCACTGGTGCGTGGATGTTGATGCTGCTCAGGAATTTGCCTTTAACCCCAATGTTTCCAAACGCCTCTCAGGAAAACAAGGCACCCATTAAAGCATTGTTAATGAACTGCCGTTCCGGATGACCCAGTGGAGGCCTCTCCAGACCAGATCCGGAGAAGGGAGTCCCTGTTGTTTGACACCGTACAAAAATATGCATTAACCTGCCATTAGACAGTTATTGTACAGGAAAAATATCAAACCACATCTGAAATATGACAAACAGCAAACAGCATTTAAATAAATAGGTCATTGTATCATATCCCTGTCTGTATTAAAAGTCTAAACACTTGAAAAAACCAGTCAGATAACTGTCCCTGAAATTTTTGATAAACCTTTTTTGAAAAAGCAAACTACTTTGTTTGATGGTTATCAGGTTTTGAGTGGCTCTGTATATAACTCAAATAACTAAATAACTCAAAATAATAGTCTAGAGTGGTTGTTTTTCCATACTATGGTACATGGCTCTCAATAAACAATGCACTCAGTTCATTGCAGTAGAGGCTAATAGTCGGTCCCATGAGGTGGAACGAATTGGCAGCCACATCTCCCGACTAGACAAAAGTCTATCGGAGGGTTGAACACTTCAACACTGCAGTCTCCAAAACAGCACTGAGCTTTATTGCTTGTCACTCACCCAGACACAAATTGTGAAGATAATATTGCCTGACTATGGTCTTTTGTTACATCTTTGACGCTGCAACAACGCTGCTGTCTATTCACTCTCTCTCTCTCTGTCATGAATCTCCTCTGTGTGGCCCAAGATTTAAATTACCAGCTTAGATAAAAGCCACTTTAATGAGCTTTTAACTCAGATTAACCTGCCATTAATAAAATAAATAAATAAACACAATAATGAATGTTTCTGGAGTTGTCATTTAACACAGAAAAATACATATATAAGTTAGTTTAAGTTACCCTTCCCCCTTTGTGCTGAAAGATAAACAAATTTACTGATCATTTTGTTGATCAAGAGTTTGCCAGTCGACTAGCTGCAAAAAATAGTCCTTGTGATCTAACTTGCTAAGTAACTCTTTAATCAGATGATGTTAAAATGACAGTTTCCAAAGTACATATAACTTTTAGTTTAGGATAATAGCATGTATTGAGATGTGATGAAATATGTAAAAGAAACTGAAGGGCCTTTCATAGGTTTAATAGCTATATAATTAAGATGAATGTTAAAAGTGCTATCAACTTCTACATACAGTTTCAAGCAGTCAAAAGAAGCTGCACTGATTATTTCAACAAACAAAATGACAATTTTTTGACAAAACAAATATTAAACTTAAGATTTTGGAGTGAGAAAGTATGTTAATACAAATGAGAGGAATTAAGTTAATGCTCTAAGTTTGGGGATTCAATCAAAAAGACACAGTCTATATTTGATTTTGGGGTTACCATAATAAAAAGCTCAGGTTTGGCTTGATTGTAGTACAAAAGAGTAGCTCCTAAGGTTTCTTTGTTTTGGATCCTGAACGATTGTAATGAATGAAAATACCTAACAGAAGTATCATTATCCTTAGACTTCACCTTCAGCAGCAGGAACATTTGATAAATATGCAGTAATTATCATGCTCTGACAGCAATCCTTGCCTGAAGCTCTGCCTTCACTTTGCCAAAAATAGAACAAAAAGTAGAGCGCATGAAAGCCTATTTACAGCTCTGGAAAATACCAGTAAATTGTTTTTAATTTTAACTATGGGTTGTTTGTTGGCTACACTGGATATTTTTACTCGCAGAGGGTGGAGTTAATTTAGTGTGTTAGAGCCTCAGGATTTAATGCCCTGCATGGAGCTCTATTCTGCTGGAGACAGCTCTGATCTGAGACACGCTCTCACTCTCCGTTTCTGCATCTACATGCTGTCATGAGTCATGGAGTTCTTTCTGTCAGTCCTTAGAGACTGCTCCTCTCACAAGACTCTGACAGCCCGAGTCCCATAAAATGACAGAATGTGTCAGCACAAAACAATGTTGTTTATCAGAGCTGCAACAAACAAACTTGCTGCAGCTTTTTGATGGCAGCTATTTGCACTGAGGGGTTTCCTGTCAAAGCAAGGAACGGAGCAGTTCTGTCCTATGCTCATGTGAGATCTTCAGGGAACTGCTGCCCTAGAAAGCAGAATATTGATCACTCTTTTCATAAAGCATGCATTTGTCTTTGAATAAGGTGAGCCGAAGAATCAGCAATAAAGGCTTGGAATTCACTCTTAACTGTCTTTCGTGCGCTGCAACTGTAGTGTGTGATTAAGGTTCTTGCAATCTAGGTCCGAGGGGGTGGATGGTTTGTGTTTGGGGTAGTAATTTGTATTTACCTATTTATTTATTTAATTTATTATTTATTAATTGTTTTTCTCTTTTCTTTTAATGTATCTATACATTTAAAGGTATGGGTACGTGTGAATATATATTTTATTATTTATTGCTGTAACATTGACTCATACCTTTCTACTTTTCTCAGTTGAATTAAATAAAAAGTTGATCCCAAAAAAAGAAGGGTTGTACATTTATTAGACGATATCCTGTATAATGCTACTCAATGTGCGATATAAAAATAACTACAAAGAGAAAATACAAACTCCAAAATTTCTTGTGAGACTCAACTATAAAGTTCAAAACAATTTCAAAATTTGTATCACCCTGCGTAAATAAATGACAGTACTAGACCAAGTTCCATCTTGAAGCTGTTTTAAAAGTGTGTTTAAGGTCACACGTCCATAAACGTATTTAAGGTAAAGTCATTCTTTTAGTTGGTAGACTGACGTTTTGAATCATGGGTTTTTACATTTTTGCAGCAACAATCTTAGCCTTTATAGCCAGAAGTGACAATGACAAAGAGGATGCAGATTGCTGAATCTCTATCTTAAGGTGCTTTGTAAATAAACTTTGACTTTGACTATATCCTGTTTGCAATTAGCTGTAGCAGCCTAAGGTCAATTGCAGGCAGACAGACCTCAAATAATTTCATTTCTTTTCGTCAGCTTGCTTAAATTGAATCATCTTTTCAAAATGATGCTGTTAGAGAAGACTTTGATCTATTTATGAAGAGCTTGATCTCATTAGGGGCTCATGTGTACTGTTCAGGGCTCATATTTTAACTTTATTGGGTTTTTATTTATTTATTTGTACAAGCCCCACTGCATACTCTGCTCTATTCTAGTGGATACAAGCAAGGTTAGAAAAACTGGACTTATACAGGGGTCGCTTTCTGATCTGATGTCACACGACTCTTTAGTAACCTATAGAAGAAAACTATGAAGGATACACATTTAAGGCATTTGGAGCGACCTCACTTTTAAAGCCGAAGGCTACATCCTCAGTCTGGAGACAGTATATCACCATAAAGCCAAATTCCAACAAAAAAGAATCACAGAAAAGAGAAAAACTAATTTGACGCATAACAACCTGAGACGCTTATCTTCAAGTCAAATACCTGCAAGCGAAGCATTGATCTCCTGTGGAGCGGATGATGCTGGCTAGCAGTACCTGTCAGCTCCTCATGTGTGAGTGAGGATGTTTGACTCTTCATCCACCCTGTAGCCCCTGCAGGTACTCCTCCAGGCAGATGCTGTGCCCTCCACCTATATGCCTGATCAAATAAGAGTTAAAAAATTGTTGCAGGATGGATTACGTGAAGAAAGGAGGACCAGGTGGTGAGGAGCTGGTGAAGCCTTTTTGCCTCTAGGGACATTCCAGATAGAGTTCTTACTACCCTGAAGACCATTCATGGTTCTTGAACCTCCTGGGACACACACACAGAAAGACCCATAACAGACCAATTGTCTATAATTTGTTGATAATTGAAGATTTTAAGTATCTAAAAGACCAGCAGAGGCATACTTGATTATTATCACTCATTTACACAATGGTACGGAGGTTCTTAATATAGAGGGTTATAATATTTGGCAACCCTTTTAGATTATCTTCCCTGACTGGGCGTCTATAACAAATATCTCATAGATATATTCTTCTCTTTGACATGCAATTCATGTAAACAAGCTTGAATTTGTTAAACACCATGTATATGTCATTGTTTCCCATGTACACTTTTCTTCCTTCTCCTATTATTTGGCCAGATCTGTGTTGTCTTATTCTGTTTTCAAAGTCAAAGTCATAAAATATACTGAGAAAACTCAAGGATTAAAATGCTTCAGTGGTGGATTGATGTTGTAAGAAGAGAGGAACACTCAAGTGTTGAAAAACAACTGGTCTGCACTGATTTAATGCCTGATCAAAGATAAAAATGCCTAGAGGGGTCTAATAACAGAGGATGTCGTATGCTGTAGAGATTGTGATTTGTGATATTTGGCTAGATAAATAAAATTTACCAGACGTGGCTTGACTTGATTTCCTCACCCTTGGAGACAGATTCCTGGGAAAAGACAATCATTCAAACATGGCTCACACTGCGTGTTAATACAGAATCTTTTAATACTAAGTACCATACAGAAAATCAGTGGTTAACAAAAAAGTCCATGTCCTTGTTTGTGCCCTTTTTATGCCACAAAGGAGAAAAAATGTGAGAGTGTTGCATGAAAGAAGCTCTAAGACAGAAAAATCATTCTAGTCTCATGAAAAGAGACACAGGTCATTTTCAGCTGATGACGATAATGGTGCAGAGGGGTCATTCAGAAGGCTTTAAAGTGCAGAGGATTCTCCGTAGGGACCACAATGCACGGTGAGTCAGCAAGTCCCTTTGACGTTCTTCAAGTATGTTACAGGTCCAAACACTGATGAATCAGACTGTGTTTTCAGTGAAATTCTACATTCAATCAACTTTTGTCGTGTTTATTTCTTCAGACTTTAAAACAGTCTACATCCATGCTAGGACAAAGCTTCCCACACACTTGGGAAATACATCCTTCAGTTCCCAAAGTTTCTATTGACTGACAGTCAATGGTAGGTCTCTAAATGATGTTAGAGATGGTAATGTTTGACACTACATTAGGAGAGCTGTGTTAGTGTGTTAGTGTGGTCTAAGAGTGAACCTTTGGTCCTCTTCACTTGGTCTGGGAGATCTTTGCAAGGCTGGCTTGGCGGAAGGCGGCTCGGTCCCTCATCTCCAACACACAGTCCCTCACCATCTCTGCAAACATGGAGGGCCAGAGCTTGTGCAGAGCCTCCTCCTTCATATAGGTGTCTGACGCCCTTTGGACCAACTCTTGGAGGTACTGCTCTACTGTGGCGGCACGCTCCGATGACTCTACACTGCCCTCCTGTGAGGTGAACAAGAGAATACCACATACACTGATTTAGTTTTTATTACAACGTAACATTTGTGGCAGAATAATCCCAGTTGAAGTAGTTTGAACATTTTTATATGATGACAATCTGGATCAAAATAAAACGGTGCATTGATTAGACTAATCCAATGTAAGGTTAAGCCTACAAATGTTTAACATAACTGCCTAAGCATACTGCGAGGTATAAAAAAAGGAACATCCTGAATGTTTTTTTACTGAAGTCAGATTCTATTAAAGCAAGATCTGTGCTGCCACAGATGCACGAACATTGTACTCATTTTTTAACTCACTTTTCTCTTCAGCTACCTCAGCCTTCACTCTGCTGACTCCACACTTGTTTGGCTCCTGCTTCACTGATAAGGTTACAACCATAAGTAATCAATTCTCTGAGCCTGACTGCCTCAGCTTGCAGCTATGCACTAATACTGCCTATGTTGCCTTATTTTCTCCTCTGATCCAGTCTGAGGTCTCCAGACTTGTGCTGGACTCCCTGACCCAACACTGGACTCAATACCTAAAAGTCTCTTGCAGACCATTTCTCTTACACCTTACCTTGCTGTGGCTTACATTATGAACTCCTCAGTGTCATCTGGTGTTTTCGCTGCAGCATTCAAGCAAGCTCAAATCCCACCACTCAAAAAAAACCCTTCCTACACCCAGCATAGCTAAGGTTGGAAACTACAGGCAAGTTTCACTTGTGTCTTTCTTGTCCAAAAGTCTTGAGTACACATCCATTAATGAGGTCCTGAATTTCCATACGGAAATGACCCATTGACCCAAATCATCCCAGCTTTAAGCAGGCCCTCTCTACAGAAACGGTAGGCTACGGATGTTTTTTTTAGAGTATAGTGGAGGGAAGGAGTGTCAAAACCCGTATGTCTTGTCAACAGGGGTGCCTCAAGGGTCAGTGCTTGGTCCACTTCTATTTCCTATATACACCACCACACTTGTTGGAATAATCCACACTCATGTGTTCTCAAAATGCTGCCATGCAAATGATACTGGTTTCATCATGCTTTACTAATATTTCCAAAAAGATGATAAAACGCTATCATCAGCTCTACGTTTTCCAAACTGAGTTTCTTGTCATGCCAGCCAGTCTTTACATACAACCACGGATCAATATCCAGTTTGATCAAACTTATGCCTGTAAGTCTGATCTGAACGTGGGTGTCATGAAAGATGCTCCGTCAACTTTTAAGGTTCATTTGTCTTCTATCATTTAGGCATACCTTTATAACACACCCTGAATAAAATCAGAAACACGAAGCCCTACCTATCAGAGCATGTACAGCTCCTTGTACAGGTTCTCATATTAGAGCACATTGACTACTGCAACTCCTTACTGGCAGGCCTCCCTACATGCACATTCAAACCTGTACAGACGATACTGAACTCAGTAACTCAACTAGCCTTCAACCAACCCCAAACAGCAAGTCACTCCACTGCTCATATCTCTCCACATGCTTCCAGTTGCTGTTTGCATCAAATTCAAAACCTTGCTTTTTGTTTCCTAACTCAGTAACAAACACAGCTCCTCCTGCTTGGAACTCCCCATCCAGGTCTAGGTCTACACTTTCCGCCCACTACGCACTACCAATAAAAGATGCCTGGTCCTTCCATCATATCAGGGTCACAAGCCAAACTCTCCTCCTCTGTTGTTCTTCCAGTGGTGGAATAAATTACAAAACTCCATATAATACTTAGAGTCCATTTCTACTTTGAAGAAGAAGCTACAAACCCAGCTCTTTGGGAACACTTAAGCACTTAAGCTAAACTCTTATCTTCTGTGGTCCCCTGTGGAAGCATGTGTATACACTATAATTTCTGATCCACAGAGTCCCATTCTACAGTTAGAAACTCTTAGACTCAGTACTTTTGTGAATCCCCTCGCACTTGAGAGTATAAATGCTTTGAATGATGTTGATGACGATGGCATTGGTAGGGATCATGATGATAATTGTGATGATATCAGGGCTCAGCAGGAATCTGGAGGATAAATGATTTGTTGTTGTGGCTGTGGGAATGATGACATAAATGGAAAATAGGAAAACCAAAACAGCTTTGCCTGTTTCATTGCATGTCAGTGCCTGAGTCCAACTGGATCGGAGAAGTTTGTGGACTTCTATCAGAGTCCGTGCATGTGTTGTACATATAACTAGATGAATGTAGCTTTGGATTAAGCATCTGCTAAATGAAACTGTAGAATTGTAGATGACGTCTCCCACGCTAGCCATGTGTGATGATATATAGTAATGTCAAAGAGAGATGCGTTGTACCCAAAAAGCCTGGCTTTTGACAGCCAATGATAAATGACCTATGACTTGTTCATTTTACACATTTCTGCACCTCAAGCACTAAACTACATGCTGTGTTTAAATTTCATTGATAAAACATCCCTCTTACTTTACATGACATTAATCAATGTACCCCAACCTGTTACAGTATAAGTCATGTCAGGCATCAATGGTTCAGACATGGCTAATGAATAAAATATATTCACCAAAAATGTGATACAACCTGAAGCAATGTTAGATTTATCTATCCACTGCAACTAACGGCACTGCATTAGGAATTAAGGTTACTTTGGCTTAGGTTCAAATATGTACCCAGTGAAAAAAGTCCCTGTTGGAAGCTTGTTGACAAAATTTGATCTTAAAAGGAAAAAAAAAAAGGTAAAATCAATGATACAGATACCAAAAAAATGCCCTAATATTGAATCACACTGTCTGATATACAAGCAAGGGTACCTCTCATGAATGCTGCAAGGCATCACCCACAGCTAACCAGAGTAAAATAAGACAAGTTACTTAATTACTGAGATTTCAAACATTATAAATAGACACTGTCACAGAGCAAAGTGAAGGGTCGACTGATATTGGTTCAGAGAAGATACCGATCACTCAAAGTTACAAGAAGGATAACTGATATTTGGAATGCACTGACAGTAAAAATTTAAACTTTCTGTCAAATTAAGAATTTCATTTAACATAAACTCCAACACAAAACTTTGCTTGAATGCCTTGAGCAAATGTGTCATATACAAGAACTAGCAGTCAACTAGTTACATTTAAAGTACGCAGAAAGTGGTGTGTGCTGGAAAAAGTGGAGCAAAATAAACAGACCCAGGAGAAAAGAAACATGGGAAGTGACCATATTTAATTCCATCTAATCTAAAAAATATTGAAAAGATTTCTTTCTGTCAAAGCTATTGAAAACAACAACTTACACAGTGAAATTTACTGAGTCTTTTATTGCTGTTGTTAGAATTCATCTTCAAATCTGGGTTGTCTTCTATTCTTCCCAGTACAGTACCTCAGGTTTTGAAATACTGTTGGTTGGAAAATGTAATCTTTATTGATGAAAATAGAGATTAACTTGTTTGCAACTCTAAACACAACTATGAACCACAACACACTGGCAGCAGCAGATGTGGTGTTGAAATATTGCATTCAGCAGAACATCTGTGACGGCAGTTGCCAACATAGTTATTCCTGGGACGTGCGCACTTACACAAACACCAATTACACTGGGTGGATGGTGAGTGGGACTTGGTGGTGCGTTAAATATATGAAACCATGTCTTAATGCTGACGGCTCTCTTTTTCCACATGATTAAATCCATAAATTATCAATGAATAACAAGAAATGCCCACTTAAATAGTGTTCACAGGCACAGCTGAGTGAAGGAAGCCATTTGAATGATAATTGTTGGGGGTTATGTCACTCTGTACCTTAATGGTGTCTTTTTGAGCTGCTGGTTTGTAAATCGGTTTATAAGGGACTCAAATTAGCCTTCACAAACTATCGATTGTAGTAGTCTCTCAAATCTCCCTCTCTGTGATAAAAAAAAATCAACAAGTAAAAGAACTAACCTCTGGGCTCTCTGCACTGCAGTCCCTGTTTGGGTAGTTGAACAATGCTCTACTCAAGCCTTCACCTAGGAGCTTCCCGTTGTCTCGTAACTCCTCTGGACTGAGCCCTGCCCGCCGCCCACGCCCCTCCAACAAGAACTGCAGCTGACGTTTCCTATAAGATGAAGAAAAGTTAATAGTCATAAAGATAGAGACATAAACACTTGTTTGGGGGAGTGACTGAACCAAATGTAATAGATTTCTGCTCTTGGGTCAACCATATACAACTTTCTCAGTCCCCTTTACAACTGTTGGAGTCACTACAACTGACTTTCTCAGAAACTCACCGGAGCCAACAGCAGTACAATCAGTGTCTTCAGCATGTTTCAGTTTCATTCTTATCACCTGGTAGCAGGATGTGTGCACTCACAAAGAAGTAAATGATTTGAAAGTGATGTTAACTACAACCAACCGCTGCTGTCTATTTGTATGAAATCTCATGTGAAATATTGCTGCAGCAACACGTCCCACAGGACAGTGCCAGGATGCTGAAATAGTATTTTCAGATGGAGCTGCAGGCTAGCATTCCACATAGCATTAGATAGTTTGTAGAGTGTGTGTGAGTTCATCTGGGTTCGTCAAATAGAATTTCTTAGTAAATTGCTGCGTTTATCAGTCAGATATTTGTGTAGTTGAGTGCAAATACCCATTAATAGAACAACGGTTCTGTTTAGTTTGTAGCTTATTCAAACTTGTTCACAAAGTAATTGAGCTGAGATTATCCAAGAGGGAGGGAGCACAACACATATTACTCAGAAATCTAAGGTTCAAATAAGACTATGAGTACAACCTTTACTCACACGTGTCCTGACTAAAGAGTGCTTTAAGTTTGTCTGTCTTTTAAAATTCGTAGGTTAACAAAGTGATTGTATCCAACATGCATTACAAAAAAAGCTGTGTAAAATGTTGACAATGACAGAACTTGAGGTTGTGTTATGATACAAAAAATACCCAGAGCAACATCCTCAGACCAATGAAATTACTTTGCAACAGGTTATTAACATGACAAAGCATAAAAAAGGCCCTCCAGAAAGGCTGTCTCTCAGTCAGTAAGTTAAGGAAGGATTCGACACTCAATAAGAGCCTGCGAAGGCAAATAGTTCAGAAATTTCAAAATAACGTTCCTTAGCATTAAACTGCAAAGAATTTCAGGATTTCCCTGAGGCAGCATTGCATTAGAAACAGACATGACTCTGTAGTGGAAATCCCTGCATGAACTCAAGATCATTTCCATAATTAATAGGGTGGGGAACTGCTGCCCAGCTGCCTTCCATTCGTGTTTTGGTTATTTTTGTTTTAGTTGACTTGTTGATCTGTTCTTTAGTTAATCTCTGGTGAATGATTTAATTCTTGATCTCGTTACAATAAATCTCTTGGTTAAATTTTGAAAGTATTTTGTTACTTTTACTGGGTCAATGTGTGGTTAGTTGTTAGCCCCACAGGTCCACCTTTGGGTAACAATAGTTTGTAGGTCGATCCACAACTGCAAGTTAAACAGTAACATGCAAAAAGGAAACCCGATATAAACATCATCTAAACACCAGTGACTTCTCTGGGCCAAAGCCCAGCATCAAATTTATGCATTTTATACATAGTGTATATCGTATGCAAAGCTGTTGACAATATACATCTGTTTAGGCGTAATGTATCCTGCCATTTAGAAAACGTTTGGCATTGATTCATCAGTCAATACGAAACCACCTTCTGCTTTTATTACAACAGCGTGGCTCCATGGTAAAAGAGTCTGTGCCAAGCTAACCTGCAAGCAGTCCTCACTTGTCAACTATTGTAAATAACAGTGCATCATGAAAAAAAAAAATACGACAAAGGGATCCCAAACTGTTGGTTAGCTGAAATTGCAAAATTTTATTTTCAAACTCCAGTAACTGATCTTCCTTGTTTCCAATGTTTACAGACTTTTATTAAAAGAAGAGCTGATGCAACACAATGGAAAACATTCCCTAGTTCCACCCTGTTTGAATCATGTTGTTAGCAGCAAGTAAAAGAAGCATTATGGAAAAAAAAAGTTTCAACATTTTAAATATGTTAACTTTGCTGTATTTTCATTTCATTTGACAGTTAAAATGACTTGCAAAGCATAAAATTCTGTGGCAAGAAATTGATGACAGGGAACTGTCCCCATTGCAAACCAGAACCAAAATCCAACATTAAAGGATTATACGCGGCTTAAATAGCATTACAATCTAGGCCCTATTTTTTAGATATGGCTAATCCTATTTGAAGAGCCATGTAGAAGTGGTTTCTTGGATTGAGAGAATTTATCAGTGGTACTTAAATTTAAAGACAGTCTGTTCTCCTAAATTGCTTTTTTTTCTAAATAGATTAGGTTTATGGGAAAGTATCAGTTTAAGTTATTCTTAGAAAGGATGTCTTTGACACAGCTCTTAAAAATAAGGAAATTGATCTCTGGCAAACCCCTCTGTCCATTTCACTGAGATTCTTATTTTGAAATCATAACTGAGGTCAAATTTTACAGCATTTAGAGTAACAAATGGGAAAACTGGCTACAGGCTTGATGATTCATGCAGATAAATGTGATTAAGATTTTGGTAGTGATGCAAAAATAATCTGTAGCCTGGGGATGTTGTGTGTTATCTATCTGTTACAGTGTATGAATCACAGTGAAATAGACCGAGAGCCAATTGTGCTCAAGTTCATTTTGAGAATAGACCATTAAGAGCTATTAGGGAAATTATGGCATCTGAAATTTATTAACCAGGCTCACATACAGTTCTGCATTGTTCAACTTATATTTAGGCATTTTTTATATGGACACTTTTATTCCTACACCATTAATCCTCTCTATTACATCTGCATGTTACTGTCACTGACTTCCTCTTTTAACTGAATAACTTCCCAAAATTACGTCCATCAAAGTGGGAGGCTGTTTTAAGCGACATGACATACAACTTCCAATCATAAGTCTTTGGGGAAATTTCCAGTAAGACAGCAATACTGGGTGCAGCTTTGCTTCTGACCTTTCACAAGTGAGCCTGGCCTAAAACAGCAGGACAAAAGGAGCCATCAGACGTATTCTTCTGTGGGACAAATTTATCCAAATTTGGCTCCTTTTTGCAAGGATGTTGTTCATTAAACTAGAGTGACAGCACTCAAGAGCTCTTGGCTGAGGAGAGAGAGGAATGTTTGTGTCCTGGTGCCAAGTACCCACCCTTACCCTGAGACTCATAGTCTAATTCCCCTGGCTCCCTGGTGCCAGGCTCTGTCTCGCTGTCTCACATAAATGTTAACACACACATGCAAGAACATATACACGCAACACGCTGCGCACAGGCATGCACATACAAGTATGGTAGCCTACTCACTCACACAGGCAGTAAGCTGTAACTCAAATACGCATTTAAAAATCCAAACATTCTTGACATATTTAAAAGAGCAGCATAAGCTGCTCAGGACAGAAACACACCTGCCATCAAACTGTTAATGTTAGGTTCCGTCTGAGATCAAGTTCTCACCTGGACTCTTCTAGCAGCACGAGGAGCCTGCAGCGAGGAGTTTCAGTGGCTGCTATATGACCCAGTGTACCAAACACACGCTCTGCAGCAATCACATCATTCATGGTCACCTGCGGGAATCACACAAATGACAATCTGAAGATGCAACAGGAAGATGATTGATAGGTTGGCCACTCTATGTGTACTTCCACAATTTGAAAACGCAAGTGTAAGAGCTACAGATTTGTCATGGTACATTTTTTTGTCAAAGGTTACTGCCTCAGGAAAAAAATAAAGTACATCTGTGCCAAGTTTTGTGTGAGTGAAAGACAGTTTCAGATCATTTTTCATATTAAGCCTGAGAGGGTGTTAATTTATAGGCTTTAACCTTAGGTACATAGCTTAATAAAAAAGGAGCCCATGTTTCAAAGGAGGACAGAAAACAAATAGTTTCACTTCTTAAAAATAAGCTCATGTTCTTTCTGTTGGGCAGTTTAATAAGAGAGGTTTCCAGTGTTTCACAGGTCCAAAAAAAAGGAATGGCATGATGACTAGTGTTCATTAGACGTGCTAGACAGGAGCTAGCTGTCTCAGCCTGCTTCCAGTATTTGTGCGTGGCCAAGCCAATTAGCAGAATCAAGCAGCCCTGCATACAACAGATACACTTGGAAGTAGTACCGCATCAACCCTCAACTCTCCAGCAGAAAGCAGTGTTTAATTTTGTGTGAAATTGTCTGATTAAAAAAATAACAATTTAAATGTCAAATTAAAAAAACAATATTTCTTTTCACACATCATGTCAACATGGCTGGGTGCCTTATAATCAGATGCAACAGCGGACTTCGTAATTTGGTATCCTGCAGGGTGAATGTGACAGGCCATCTTTACGTATGATAAGGACATTTCTCAAAAACTGAGCTGGTCCTCACCTCCTGGCCGTTGATCCTCTGCAGGTTGAAATGGTGGAGGCGGTAGATGGTGAAGGAGCGCCATAGAGCCAGACTGACCACTGGGTTGCCCTCTGGGTGGATGGTCAGCTGGTCCAGTCGCCTCACCTGAGCCAGGGCCGCCAGCTGGGGCAGACGGTTGATGTTGGTTTCCAAGAAGATCAGATGCTGTGAAAAAAAATCTGTGTCAGAGCAGTAAAACTACACAGCAACTTTGTACCTGAAAGACTGGATAATGGTGTTATATCGCTGTCACATTTACTTATATGTCCTTCCTTTTAAACACATTCGGCATCTCTTAGATCTTCCCACCATGAGCCTACTTTTTTCTGACTGGCTACTGGGTAGCTCTCCAGAAGCTTCCTCCACTGTTGCCATGAAACACAGTGGTCTTCATTGAGTTAAACTTCTCTATTTGTAACGACAAGTAGTGCGAAATGGATATATGCAACAACATATTACTATGGTTATTATGCTCTTAAAAGTAGATTTACCAATTGATGACATCACAAATTGAGGATATCTGGTGTCACTCTCATGTAGTTCTCGTGTGACTTTTGAACAAGTCGTTCAAAGAAGCCAGCAGTCTAATCCTTGGATTACTCCAACCAGTTTCCCTCACAGTTTGAATCTTCATCCACATTTAATACTGACACCCATCATTAAATTTGATTTTTTAAATATAAAAACACATGATCCTCCATCTTTAATTTTTCTGCGTGGCAGAAGCATGCACAACTCACACTGATACTTGTTTCTTGAACACCATCAATGAATTCCAGGGTAACCAGAAAGCACACCTGAGGCAGCTGTGTGAAGCTAAAGCAAAATTATCAATTGGGTACTTTAGTCCCTTCTGTTCATCCTCACCATGACCAGTGACTGCTAATTAAGTCTTTTCATTGTTTTTGAATTTGCTCTTTTCCTCAAAATTTTTGTAATGGTAAGTTTTTACTAAAAAGAGGAGGATCCCATCTTAAAAGTATATCTAACTCCCTTAGTTTTATGCTAATATCAGACTATTTTGGGTTTACATTAGCAAACACCTTGTTCTTTATTGTCATGGTGTTTGAATTACATTAAGCATTAACTCTAACCAAACCTTTTTTGCTCTTCTTTGGTAAATTTTATCAGCAGTAACCCATGGCTCCTTTTAGTACAAGGTTTCTGCCCTCACCGATAGATTGGGGAACTTGACCCTTATTCTCGGCAGTGTTGGTACAATGGCGTCAAAGTTGATGTAGCGGAAGGTTATGACAGTGACAGCACCAGCAGTCTGGACCCCCCAGCCTCTCTCCAGGGCTTCCAGGGCTCCAAGTCCAAACAAGCGCAAAGTGTCTCCATCCAGCTCTGCCAGGTGACTATCAGAGAGGGACAAGCTCTGCACACTGCCGCTACCTGACTCCACAAGCCTACAGAGTACACACACACAAACAGACAAAAACAGCCTTTGTAAATAAGCGAATGTTGAATGCACAGAATTTGTTACCCTGTGAAACCTGATAACTCTCTTTGAGCTGAAAGTGCTTTGCTTAAATTTGTCTCAAAAAGACGGCATTATGCTGGAAGGAAGAAAAAGCAACATTAGTACAGAACATGAGCAGTCTAGTCAATGTACCATTTGTCTTGCCTAATTGCTCTGCAGTAGGAGAGCTCTTCCAAGATAAGAGAGCCGTGAGAGTGGAGAATCTAGGTGAATCTCAAGGAGACATTATCTCCCCTCCTGTCCGAGCTCATGTCCTCATCCCTCAAGGTGGGCTGACATTCAGGGTAATGTCAGAATAGCAGAGCATGAGATGGATTTAGCTGCACGCTACTCAACACCGATCAATTTTGGTTCAGCCCGCCAACAAGCTAATCATCCCTATTCATATTTCACACCCTCCCAATCTTGCAGCAACAGAGAGCCAAAGTGGTTAGAAGACTAATCCTTTGATTGCAGGACTCAGATTCTTGTTGAGACCCATTTTTAGAATGTGAGTGTTGAGGGACAGAAAAAGAAAAGAAGATAAAAAATGACAATAAACGTACCGCAAATAGAGAAGTTCATACAAAATGAATCTAAACTGTAACTGAAGCTTCTTTGAAAAAGGCCACCTTTGTTGTAGACTGTCAGACTGATCCCCCAGGAGCTGACTCTTTTTTGATCCAAAGAGAAGGAAAAGTTTTCTCTCCTTGCTAAGCAGTCAAGGGGAAAGGGCATAATTTCATAGAGCTGAGTAAATAATTAAACTAAATGACAGAGGAGGATCAAGAATAGGTAAAAACGACAGGGAGAGAGGCAAACTGTGACAGAAAGAGAGATCTACTTTCTGAGCATCAACACAAACTGCCTCACAACATGAAAGGTATGAAACATGTTTAATTGTCTCTACATGAATGTAAGTTATTCCAGATAATAGAGGTTTGATTTACTTCAAATGTAGCAAAAGAAGGGCTGGAAAAGAATATCATTTACATCAATTATTGCACTTCAATCGTTTCAAACTCTATTATTCTATATTTAAAATTAATTTTCTAGTCTTTATTGAAAGTGTAAAATAATTATTACCTGTTTGTTGATTAAGAAATCAAATGACTGCAATAAAACCTACTTCATAATCTTTGCCCATCCAGTCTATACATACTGTACACCTGGTGAAGGTTTACAATCATTACTCTTGTGGGGAGTTCAGCTGAAATATTGGGTCCTGCAGCTGTTGCTGTTTGTGTGATCAAACCGAGAGTTGTGTTTACATACTTGGCACAAAGTCAGACACTTTCTCAGTGTGTGTTGGCCTGGTAGAAGCCAACACTCTCCTTATCACTGATTTTGTTTGCAATCTTCATGGACAGTATTGTAAGGTGCAGCCAGGAGAAGACTGGTTTTTACTTTGGGAACCTCAAGATTCCACCTCTGCTTTTAGCAGCTGATGTGGTTTTGTTGCTTTCTTCAGGCTGGTATCTCCAACAGGCATATGTAGTTCACAGCTGGGATAAGAGTCAGCACCTTCAAATCAGGGACAATGGTCTAAAGTCATTTAAGGTGGTTTCGGACATTTGAGAAAGATGCCTCCCTTTATAGGAGTTTCTGGCACATCCAACTGGGAGCAGGCCCTGGGGTAGGCCAAGAGCTCACTGGAGGGATCATATATCCCACCTGGCCTGGGATCACCTTGGTGTCCCAGAGTGTAGGTGTGTGTGTGTGTGTGTGTGTGTGTGTGTGTGTGTGTGTGTGTGTGTGTGTGTGTGTGTGTGTGTCGGGGGGGTCCCATATAAGCAGACAATAGACAGACATAGACAGACAAGCAGACAGACAGGCAGACACAGGTGGATGCCAGTCTGCTCAGAAACCTATCTTTAGTTCGTATTAATAGTGTGAAGAGGTCTGTGGAAAATTGCACACACCAGAGTACTGCTTTGCAGGTGTGATGCAATTGCCTGCTGATGTAAATTGATTAGCTGCACCTGCATACTTAGCCAACATGTGGAAAATCAAATCAAAGTATTTTAATGGCATCTCAATTCTGTTTGATACAAAGAGCATATAAGATTTGACTGTTCAGCAAGGCCATCTGGAAGCTCTTTAAAATGAATGTGCCATATAAAAGCAGAGTGCAAGGGGAGACCTTTTTTATCATCATCAAATTTTTTTTTTCTACAGAAATCAGAGAAAATGAATGAAAAAATCCCAACAACTTAGAAACAAAGAGCTGATTTTCTGTATCTTTATGAAACAAGAAGATAGTGAGAATTGTTGATATGTGGTCAACATCACAATAATCACATCATAATGTTCCACCTGCCCACAGTATATTTGACATCTGGTATTTAGTGGGTGCTGCTTTGGCCTCAGGTGACTTTAACTTAGTTATTTATGTGTAAAAGACAGGTGAATGGTCTGGTGCTTCAGGGAATGGCAAAGTGCAGGACCAGTCTAAACCATACTGCATGTGTGTGGTCTGATTGTTTGTATGAACTTAAGTATACATTAATTTACAACATGACTCAAACCACAGCCTGGCTTAGAGTTCAGTCCATTTTAATCTCTTCAGTTAATTTTCCACATCCTTTGGGAGGAACGCAGCTTAATTTGAAAGAAGGCTAAAAATTACATGTGCCAATAAAGCACAACAGCCAGATTAATCGTGTTATACAGTCTGATAAACACCAATAAACCAATGACTGACAGGGATTATCCCACTCAATCATCATCCTTGTATCCAGACACATTACTCTCACATGATACCCAAACACATCCTCCTTGTACCCAGGGTAACAGTCTCAATCAAATGTCAAGGGATGGTGGTGTGAGGTTGTTAAGGGTTTTAACTGCAGAGTGAGCATCCCTATCATTTTTTTTCCTGTTGCCAACTTCCAACTTTGACTGAAAAGCCCTCAAAGCAAAGAAAACAAAGGGTCAATTAATTCTTGGTTTTCTTGTTGTAATTCCACATATTTCCAGCCTTTTCATAGACAAATTATTGACCCACAAGGCAATTATTTACTGATATTTTTTAAATGTGAATTATCATGCCAATAAGAATTTATGACACTAAACATTAACCCACAAAAACACTTTCAAAATATTTTTTATCAGCAAATGATATGGATACACAAATAGTACTAACATGAAACACAAAAACACAACCTCCGTCTGTTATTCCTGTTAATTATACTTGCATCTGACTTAATGTGCAATGTTATTCCACTACACACTGAAAAGAATTAAAAAATAAATCCCTGTCTTCAAAGAAGTCTAATTTGACCAAGTACAATTTAATGCAGGGGGTGAGCATGATATAAAGGGCCAAATTTGATTGGTATCCAAAACTGTTGTTTTACAGCTCTTTTTCAATCATATCTGCATTTAAACTTAACATACATTATACGGCAGAGTATGAATATTAGCCCTGTTGGAGGAATAGACTGTACCTTTTACTGTTTAACACCCACTGGAGTAAACAGATGTATTTTATGTCACAGAAAAAAATGGACAAGACAACTGTGATTCTAAAAATATTCCTCTTTATGTTTGAGTGACTAAGAATAAAATGATTTTACACTGGTTTCTACGTATTTGATGCATCTCCTCCTTTAATTTTAATTCCTGATATAGTGTCTCAAATTCACAAAAGCATATTAGGAAAATAATCTCAAGGCTTTGTACACAAATGTTAGAGGGTTTACTAGCTGGTAGTTGTGATATGGTACTGTCACCTAAATTGTTTTAAGAGCTTTTAAATTTCATCCCACTTTAGTGGACACTATGCATAGAAGGGCTAGATTTGACACAAAATAGTGGATTCTCCCCACAAATGAAGCTACAAACAGAAGATATACAAACATTAAACTTTAAAATGACTTAGTTTTTCATTAACTCAGAAACCAGTAAGTGTATCAACTAATAATACTTGTAATGCTCTTACAGACCTGGTAGTGAATAACTTTTAACCTGCTGAGTCCAGCTGTGTCCTGTTGCAAGAGAAAGCTGAAAGAAACATGGGACTTTCTCAGCTTGAAATGTTGAAATGTAGTTTAATTGTCGGGAAATGCCACGCCTTGAAGATGTTAGAGTGCCAAAGGCAGCAAACCTGGAGGAGCTGGTGAAAGAGATACAGCGTAACGTGTAGATAAGTAATGTAAAGAATTAGAGTGCTCCTGTGGTCCTGGATGTGAGCCAGAAACACACTCTACACGGTGCAACATATTGTTCTCTTTGTAATCACAGCTGAAAGGCAGCCAGGTGGCCCTGAATCCCCTCTGACATGAACCCAGCGACTAACACTGAGAGAAAAAGGGAGAAAGGCAGTGAGGACAAAATCTTTCACAGTTACATGGATCCTGCTCTCACTTATTAGAGTCTGAATCTAATTCAATTAGAGATATCTCACTTAATCCAGCAGGAGTTTTTAAAAGGACATCTGTCATCTCTCCACTACTTAATCCCTCAGAAGACATGGCTCATAACACTCAAACACGCACACTCCTCCAGTTGCCCTAATCCTGCGTGGTGGCACGTATGAAGCATTTTTCTCTGAGCTGTCATATCATGAGAGCGACATATCATGTCACTCTGTTGAAAAGTGAAAACATCTGCTTCAAGTGGCTCTTAATGTTGCGGATGTTAGGTTTGTTAGGTGCTGAGTGCAAAAGACGGATCATCAGCAGATAATGTTTCAGGATCTATTTGAGGAGCCTGCTGAACTTCTTCTGAGACAATGTAAAGATGAATCATTGGTTTGTTTGCCTGGAGAGACACGTGTTCAGCATCCCAGCACCATTCAAAAACCCTCCAACTCCAAACTAGGGCTGGGCAATATGGCCTCGAATCAATGTCACAATATGTAGACATATATATTATATATTGGGGGGGGGGGGGGACACTATATAACAGTGGAGCTACTGATTAATATTGTAGTATGTAGAGTCATTTGGTGTGTGTGGTGATTTTGGGGTCTCTACTGTATAATGTTGATTTTTTTTTTTTATTGTTGATTTCTGTTGCAGCGTCATGCTCTTGTATTGTAATTTGCAGACAATCCCTGCGCACTCCCCCGGCTGCTGGCTGCGCAAAGAGATCAGTATTATTCATCCAGCTCAAAGAAAGGCATGTTTTTGTAAAACAAATCGGTTTTTGATTCTTGTAGCTAGTAGTCTGTGCTATTAGAACATGAGGCATCATTTGTGTTCAGACAACATTTCATCTTCGCGTTATTGATCCCGGAAGTCCAAATCTGTAAATATCTTTCCAACTTTACCAATTTCAAATTTGCTGTTTGCTGATGTGCCTTTTTCTTCTTCCGCTTCTTCTTCTTCATCTTCTTCTCCAGGCAGGATGTATGCTTTCCAGCACAATGCTGTCCTCTACCGGTCAAATCCAGATCTAACTAACTAAGGTCTAGAAAAAAAAAATCCCGAGCCAGATTTCTGGCACCGTACCGGAGGTCTTCAAGCCCTGTATTAAGCACTTCACCTCGATAACAATAAATGGACGATAACTACTCCACAAGCTGCTCACCCCCTCCCACATTAACTTTGTCCACATTAGCTGCCACTCCAGCCGCTACAACTTTTGAACCATCCTCCATCTCCTCACCTGTCTTTCCCTCTTAGTTACGGACTGGATGGGGTGGAGTCACGTCTCCGACCATAGCCTACCTACACACATCCAAAATCAACTTTTATTTATTTATTTATTTTTTGACACCAAATATACTGACATGGGCTAAATGATGTCAGTTATTGTCGTAAATTTCGGTATCTGTAAATGTTCGGTTTATCGCCTAACTCCAAACTCAGTGACATATTCCAGTATTAGATTTCTGAGCACTAACTTCTTTACTTCTCTACTCCCCTCTTCCAGGGATGATGAAGTCAAATAAATCCTGAAGTGCTCACAGAGGAGTAAAGTTGGGCCTTCATCACAGTAACACTTTGGCAGTGAAACCAGCTATTGTCCCATAACTTCTTGTTGTAAAACTTCAGCTCAATCATGTTAAGTGTGCTGTTTAAATCCTTTCAACGTTATTCTTATTTGACGGAATAGCCGGCTGCTAATGCCATCCAGAGATGACTTCATGTTCATCTTTACTCCATATCTCATTATACGCATCCTCGGATGTGTTGGGTCCAGACCCTGATCTCAATGAAAACTGACAATCTGTTGAGATTTTGAGTGACAGGATTTTGAATAAGCTGTAATGGTGCAACAGAGAAAATCTCCTTCTGTTAGTGTTATTTTGGAAATCACAACCCTGAGACCCTGATGTCTGGTGTCAAGCGAAGGGGAGGAAAGAGTGCTGAGTCACGGGAGTCAGAAAATAGAGTCAAGTTTGCCCACGATCACCCCCTTCACGCACTACAATGAGGGGGATGATGTAATTTTGTGCAGTGTGTAGTACTTCAGCAACTATCTGGGGTCATTTGAGCTTCACTACGTGGGCTGCATTTTAACTCTTCAATAAACCCACACACTGTTGAACAAAACACTGTTTGATTTTCCCACCAACTGAACATTCACCCAGTTGTTTTTGAGGATTTGAACTTTTGACCTTACAGTAACAGATCCTGCCTGTTATTCAAGTTAAATTTTCAAGTGGATGGTGTCGCCAGGGTTGTAAAGATCCATAACATTCTGTAATATAAGATTACACAAGCAAAAGTAATACAACCCCAAACTCCCAAGAATGAAGGAGCATGAATTGCGTGAGTTCTGTTAATCAGGATAACCTGTTAAGCAACACGGCTGCAGTTATAATAGAGCCTGTAAAATAAAGCCATTGCCATTGAGGGATGTGCTCTAGGGCCATTTTCATATCCTGGAGCAGGAAGAAGTCATCTTCTGAAACATGTAATCATAGTCCTTGACACAGACTCCACTTTCATCTCAGCCTCCCCCCTCATAACTCATGCAAGACCTAGATACAACCTGTGTAAGAGAGTATATCAGAGCCTTGTGCTCACGTTAGACCGAGCACAGACTGTTGATTTAGAGCACTTTCAACAGAGGAAGAAGAAAACAGTCCTCAGACAACTTGTGCATGCAGTGAAATAACTAGAGAGCGCACAAGAAGCTTCCCCAGGCAGCCGTGGAGTAAGCTGGGGGGTGACTTTGTTCTTAAAGAATATTTCAAGACAGTTTAGATGCACCAGCTGTTGCAGAGACTAAATCTGTTTACGGGTTAACTTGTCTGTGTGCACAGTCTTTTCTGTGAGCTGTTACTATGAGTTTCTGTAGATTGCAGTATTAAAGGTAATGGCTCATGAAAAGCACTCAGTGACCCTCTTTCAGAAATGACAGGGTTAGTTTTTTTGTATCCAGTGGTCTGTATATTTATCTGCGTGCAGAGAGTATGACCCTGTGTAATATGATGTAAATGTCATTAAGCTGTTTGTTTTTCCTTCACCAGTAACTGCAACTTTGCATGAAATCTCTGAGACACAGAGGAAAGGAAGCCGATGGAAGAACAGCAAATAAACAGGGTTCCTACACAGTTCGAATTTCCATACTTTTCCATACCCTACTTTTTATAATTACTTTTGGAAATACCTTCTTTTCTATTCTACAAAACTGTATTTTTTTACTGTGGTAATAGTCTGGAAACCTTAATATTTTTCCATACTTTATTTTTCATTTACCATACTTTTTAATACCTGGAAATTGATCAAATTACTTCCATATTTTCCATACTTGTGAGGGAACCCTGAATAAAGTACTGAAAATAAAAGCTTGCATGTGCTGACTGATAAATCCAATATTTTTCTGTAAGAGGGGTGAATAAACTAAACCGATTAGTACTGTTTATAAAAAGCACATCTACAATGTGTCAACAAAAGTCTTCAGAAATACAGATGACGTGATAGCAGCAACGCTAGCCAGCCAGCTTGAAATAAAAGGCCTTGGTTCCATTCATACAAAACTCTTTCTGGATAAAGCCCTGTTGCCAACACAGTGCAACATTCTCACTCTGCACATGCACCTCTGAGTGTCTGTGTTTTTAAACCTCTTTTATCAATGCTTATTCATATAACACTGCCTGCAGCGAAATTCCTTTCATACTACAGAGATGTCACCATGGCAGGTTTTTAAACCTTGGCAACAAAAATCCAAAAGAAAAAAAGGACAGAAACAACTGCCTCGCTAATGCCAGAAGAGGTATGTTTTTGCCATCCTTGTTAACAGATTGTTTAGTCAGTCAGTCTTAACATCATCACTGAGTCCAACAGAGGAGTAGCTTTTTCTGTATCTTTATGTGGATGTACGAAACAGAGAGAGTGTAAACAAACATGCGTTTTTCTCTTACTTTGGATCTCGGGGGCTGTTTGGACGGCTGTTGGTGCGGAGTCTGATCTCAGTCCCCCCTGATGGTCGCTCGGGTCCTGAACCTGGGCTCACCCGTCTGATAAAAAAAGGAAATAAAAAAGAAATAAAATGCTCAGCAAGATAACAAAGTAACCTTCCCAAGATCCTCTCAGATGAGAGAGGCAAACATTAAAAAGGAGATCCAGATTAGAGGAGTTTAATAGGTTGTCTGAGTTTAATGGGTTGTCTGTAGAGGACATGAACAGTCTTTATTGCATTGTTAATGTCTAGTCTAAGATCGTCAGAGTCAAGCTGAAAGACTTGAACTCCCTCTAGAAAAAACAGGGGTCCAAAAAGCCAAAGGAATCATAAATCATGAAGACCACATTTTCCTAGTCTCACTTATGTTGATATTTTAGTCTCTTCTGTTTCTTGAAATATAAATGTACAATTTTCTGTTTTGTTTTTTTTTGTAAATGCTGACAGCAGCTACTGATTATAAGCCTGTCTGTAGGCTGCATTTAAAGGTGCTGTATTTATCTATTTAGAAATGTAGACTCTGGACTTTCTGTTTCATTCTTCTATGACACAGCTCCTGACAACAGATTGTTACTGACATGTCTGGATGCTGCTGTTGACTGTGTTCTTCTGTTCAAGTTTTATTGGTAGGCTGCAAAGCTGCACTGCCCCTCTGGAGTAAATTCAGTTCCTTTTATCTTAAATTTAACAATTTTTTGAATTCAATGAATCCTAATTACAGGGGGAAATTTTGATTGACAATTTGCTCTCCAATTACAACCACACATTGCAAGATTTGAGATAATTACATCATACACCACACAGCTCTTCAAAAACAGTACATACACTTAACTCACCCTAATAAATGTCTCTCCTTTGTCTCTCTCCTTCCTTTTTTCATGTAAATTTGAGGTACATACATCTTCTCTTGATTATAGCTGTCTATGAAAATCAAAGGTAATGACAGTTAAAATGATCTCCCCTCTTCTGTTATGTTGATAAATCTTTTACCGGCTATTTTGGTGTCCAATTTAACAGCCTTCACACTAGGTCATGATCACTGAACAGCTGAGGTAAAAAAAATCGCCCTCTTCTACATATTTAGCACTGCTCTATAGCTGAGAATTGATTTTGTCTTAAATGTTCAGAAGGGCAAACTTTTAATTGCTATACACCTATTACTACCTCTACCAATCTGACCTCGTTATATGATGCATTTATCATTGTTTTCAGGTTACCATTAAAACTCTTCACATTTACAGCCAAATCAACTCCAAATTAAAAGAGTGCCTTATTATTATCCATGTTGGAACAAGGAAAACCGTGCATGTGCCAGAAAACTGTGGTTAAACCGGCTGCTTCACAGCTTGAAGACAGCAAACTCCTCTGCCATGTTAAATCACTTTAAACACAGTGTATACTGTATGAACTGAAAGTTTGAAGACAAATATAAACGTCTAAGTACTGGTATTAAAAATGGAAAATGTTTCCCATGTTCTGAACTTTACTTCACTATATTAGCGTGTGAGAACTGGCTGTTAAACACAAAGTATGAAGTACTTATGACCATCAAAGTAATTACATGATATCCCGGGGGAGCAGATTTATCCGTGCCAAATGGAAAAGCAATCTAACCACTTCTGAGACATTTCACTTGAAAAATCTCCAACTGCCTCTACTAATACCAGTTCTGGAAAAATCAGGGAATCTCTAAGATCAGGAGGATTCTTCATTTAGGGACTTGAATGTCTACAAGTCAGTACAATCCAACAAATGATTGTTGAGGTACCAGCTGGACAAACATGAAATGCAGCTCACAACCTATAGACCATGCCTGATTACACTGAATTAAATTCAGTCTCTAAATGACCCAAGGTCTGTAAATTTAGTAGAACTAAATGGTGGTGATCAGAAACATATGTCCATCTTGACACTGGTTATGCTTCCAGCCAATGACCTTCTTTAGCATCGACAAGTGACCTCAGTGACCCAGTTTCCCTCTGACATGTTGTGTACCTGGGTTCTTCAGGAGATGGCTCCTGTGTGAGACCGTTGGTCTGGGCGGGGCAGTGGGCAGGGCTGTTCTCTGGACTGACTTCTTCCTTAGCACCGTTAGTTGGTGGCAGTTCCAGGCAGGCCCTGACCCCCTCCCACTGCTGTGCTGCATTACGGATGGCCAGACGCCGCTTCTCCTTGATGATCGCAACACACACAGACACACGCACACATACACAGAGGACAGATGAGGTTTCAAATGACACTTCCTCTGAGTAGCAGACAGACGACATGTACACAGACAAATGAAAGTATAAAAGCTGCTTACTTGCTGCAGGCAGATATCACTAAGGTTAGAACTGAAACCGCATATGCATGCATTGGTCAGAGGTATTTGCTGTTCTTCCTGCAGCATTTGGATTTGACTGCAGTCTACTTTTATGGCAGTGAAAAAAAAAGTGGCATCCCTCCCTGGCAATAAAGCAGATTTCTGCTGCACTGCTCTCCTTTACTTCTTCTGTCCTGGCCGAGCTGTAGTTTCGATAAGCTTGGTAATGGAATGTGCCACTCCCCGATGCAGGGCTGAGTCAGTATCAATTCATACTGATTCCTTCCTCTCTCTTACAAACTCTTGGCTGCAGCATTCAGTGTACAACTCCAGGGATTGGAAAGAGTCAGGTTACTGAGAGACAATGAGTGCTGCACAGAGACCGTCTCTCAACAGGAGTAACCACTGCAGCGAGAGCACATAACTAAATACTGTAAAACACAGAAACTGGGGGAAAAAAGGGGCAAGTGCAGGATTAAAAAAAAACTCAAACCAATCACAGAAATTGTGTCATCTGAAAAGCAACCCTACTCTGAATAACATTACCCCCTTCAAACCGTGTACCAAGAGATCAATAGTGTTTTCTTATGCTTTTGTGTTCGTTGACAGCTGTTAAATCTCTTTCTGCTCTAACCATCACAAAACACACTCATAGACAGATATACAAAATAAGTGTACAGAATAAAATAAATGTTAAAAAAATATATACTTAATGCTCAATATGAGGTATGGATAGCACATCTACAATGGCCTGTTATAAGGTCTGAGCAATAAAATGCATCACATTTAATGTATGACATGTAGAGGAGAACTCAGCTATTAAAACACTCCCCACTTTTAGTGCATTTCGGCTTCATTTTCTCCCTATCACCAGGAATAACTGACAATACAAAACCTGAAGAGGGGCACTTGTGAGTTCACGGGACAGTAGTCAATCTACTCTTGGAGACGCAGGCCGTCACGTGTATTTGCTCTTGTAAAACCTAAATCTACGCAGACAGAGACAAAAGAAACAAATCAAACTGAGTGGTACCTTATGAATTGTCTGCTTGTGACTCTCCTTCTTCTTCTCCTCCTCTTTTCGAGCCTGTACACCAGCCATGCGCCGATCCTCGTCCTGAAAGACAGCGCTTGTGCAATCAGACTGTCGCTCCATTCATGAGTTTTAAATTATTCAAGAGAGAGGGGGAACCACAAAAGATGCCGCCAGGGAGACTGTCCTCTACACCAGAAGTGGACCACTGTGGAGGATGGGAGAGATTCTCACACCAGCCGGCTGCATCACAGGATTATCTGTCTGATTTTCAGTCTCGGATCAACAGTGCCCAGCTGTTGGGGAAAGGCAAAACTCCCAGAATGCAATGCTGCCAACACAATCTGAGTGTGGCAGCTGAGAGCTGGGGATCTTTAGCTGTCTGTGATGGGCTAGCGTCGTTGTTTCAGTCTGATCAATAGAAGCAAAACGCCTCACGAGAGTTAAGGCACTGATGTCAGCAAGTGGACACACATTTAGATGCAAGGTCTGTATGTCAAATCTATGGACTAATTCTGAGAGAGGGACAACTTTAAATGGGACAAATCACCTAAATGTGTGGGCTGTAGGGTGGAATGGGTCAATACAATATTGAATACAAAGGCTGCTTTCCCTCTGAATTAATAAAGGCTTTATTTAAGCCTGCACACAATCCATAAGTCTGATTATTTGCTTCTTGTGGTTTCGATCAAAAACAATTTTACAGTTAAATAACAAATTTCAAATACTTTAATGTGTTAAGGTTTGTGGATAAAATTTTAAGATGATTCCACAAACAAACACTTGTCAGTTAAGGCTCTTTTTTTATTATTTGAGCATGCTATACATAACAATTGTGTTCACAGTAGAGCTGGGTGATATGGCCTCAAATCAATATCATGATATATTGAGCAGTTCACCTTGATAACGATAAATGGACGATAACTACTGCTCTCTCTCTCCACATTAACTTCATCTACTTCAGCCGTCGTTCCAGCCGCTACAACTTTGGAACCGTCTTCCATCTCCTCACCTGTCTTTCCCTCTTTGCTACGGACTGGATGGGGTGGAGTCACGTCTCTGACGTAAGACAGCGTCTTAAAGGGACATGAGACCATAGCCTACCTACACACACCAGCTTTTTTTTATTTATTTTTTTGACACCGAATAGATTGACATGGGCAAAATGACGTTGGTTATTGTTGTAAATTTCGGTAACGGTAAATTTTTTGACAGACAATTGAATTTCCCTTCAGGGATTAATTAAATCCTTCTTATTCTTATTTTCGGTTTATCACCCAGCCCTAGTTCATAGTCATATTCAATGTTAAAGTCAGTCACTATTAATCTACTCATAACAGCTCTAAAATAAATTTATTCTTATTCTTAGGAAGAGACATCTCCTGTCTGTTGTTTGTGGCTATGTGTCTGAAATCACATTTTTTAGCCCTGAATCCAAACTCCTCTGGAACAGTTAAACAGTAGCTCTCTATCTCCTCATTTGCAGTATTAACTCTCATCTCATTCATAGATAATGGACAATCTGCCAATGGACAGTCTGCCAAGCATAGATGTTATCTCACATAATCTGATCTCCATTCTACTGACAGCATAGAGCACTGAGACCAAGTTCTCCAGATCACTAAGAGGGAAAATCTACACCTTCAGCGACTACTTTGAAGTCTGCCCAAAGCAAAATCATGACACTGTTTGAATAAATGGAAAGTTTAGCCCCAGACTGACTCTGCTGCACTCCAATCAAAACTTTACACAGCATAAAGTAAACTGTCTGATAATAAAACATTAGCCCTGTCTTCAAACATGACATCTACTGATGGTGCTAGATCATGAAACTCGCCAAACCTGTTAAGGAGCACATATACTCTAAAATTCAAGTAAAAACATGAAAATAGGTTATACTGGAGTTAGAAGGTCCTTTTTTAAGTATCAGAAGTATGTTCTGAGGGCAAGGTGTGTGGTACTTACAGATTCCTTGAAAGTACAAGCTCAGACCTGGGTGCTCCTTGCATGACAGCCTCTTAAAGCATGCTGATATTCCACTGCAGCACTTTGCTGACATGCTATATTAACATATGACTTCATGTTTATGCTAGAGAATAATCGTTGTTTTGATAGTCTGAATTAACAAGATGACAATTATAAGTTCTCTGCTCAAAGTGTAATCACTGCTGCATTGTTGGATCTAATACACAACCGTGACAGATAAATGCTGCTCAAATGCCAGAGGACAAAGGCCAGAGCATATAGCATCAGGCAACAGCAGAGGCTTGGAGCTGCCCCGTTGACAGTCAATGGAAGACAGCAGCATGTGTAAGGTCATCATACTGTATGTTTGTATTGATCTGTGAGATAATCCCGTTTATGTCAAGTCACACATACAGTATGGGCAACACAGGAATTCACTGTCTCAAACACAGTCTGGATTTGTGAGTTTGTTTAAACTTCGTATGAATATTTCTCTTTGCCGTTCAACATGCTAGATGAAATGATAAAACTTGCTGTATGATGTTCCCTGTGGTAGCACAAAATTCTGTCCTTTTCCCGGAAAATAATATTCTAAGGGAATATTAAACAAAGTTAAAATTAAAATAAACTCCTAAGACTAGTTGTTATGTGCAGGGATTGGCCAGTGGCCAGTTTCCTCTTGTGAATCCGAAGGAACAGATAAACAGTTTGGTCTTACTGTGATGCGCTTCATGTCCAGCTGTCTCAGATGAAGCACACAGCGCAGGACGGCCTGCTTGTACCATGTCTCCAGGGCTACAGGATTCCCATCCAGGGTGAGCTCAGACAGGGTGCGTGACTCTCCGAGGCAGGCTAGCTGATCAAATCTAGACAGACACATGGAGGAACAATCTCAGTTAAATCAACCGTTACAGATAGACACTACTTTTTCTGCTATTAAAAAAAAAGGTACAATGAATGTTTTACAGTGATAAAGGCAGTGTGACCCAACACATCTGCAGGGGCAATCAAACATGAAAGTGTTATGCTTTAACAAGATACTCAGAAGACAACATGGTAAATTTACAGGAAAACTGGTAGCAGGACATGACTCAGGGGTAGTGATGAGAAAATTGGCTACTCTGTGACAAAGGCAGACATAAAAAAGCACATTCACGTTATGTAAGGCAGTGGGGTCTATCATTAATAATTTGTCATAATAACCCTGATGAATCATTTGCTGGGAGCTGCTTATCAACCTCCTACACAGCCCTGTGTGTGATCTCTGCCAGAAGGTTTATTTTGGATGAAAATTAAGGTCACAAAATAAACCTCTGGTGTAGAATTTAAGTAAGCACTGGTGGTGCATACAAAAAATCCACAACTTACAATGTGTTCAACTTCAGAAATATCACTCATTTAAGAATTATGAACTTATCGCAGTAACATTTTCTCCTGGTTTACTTGGAGTTAACATGTGGTGAGGACATATTCATGATGTCAGCCCTTGTCCATGTACAAAATGCTGTGCTAATATATGTAATTACTTGTAAAAGAGACAAGTGTGGAAGAATCTGTCAAAGATAAAAGAGGCTGTTTTTCAAAATGATCATAACAGGGAAACTGAAAGATTATCAATAGTGCTGGACTGCATCTCATAAATTTTGCATGATCGTTGCATTTACAATCCTTTAATAAGCCCTCATGGGTATTGTTACTATAATGAAATGACTGGGATGTAGTAATGAAAACTCTACATGCATATGTCCCTGGGAGCTGTCCAAGGTCCAATCAGAAGTAAATGCAAAGAAAATGTTCAAACACTGCGAAACTGTTAAAATTTGTCCCTTTTTTTTTAGAACTACACTTTTTTAAATGACTTAAAATTTGTTCTGCCTTGCTTTAGTTTCATTAGCCTGGAAGATCACTGCAAAGATGTGATTTTGCAAAGAGTTAAATAACCCTTTAAGGCATTATTAAGGTTTTCTTTTTCTCCCACATCCTTCTACTCGAGCACCTAACTGCACCATTAAGGCGAGTGTGTCCTGTTCCTCTACCTAGCAACAGAGCACAACTGCTCTCCTATCAGCATTAAACAGTTTCACACGCCAGATTGAAACACCGGTATACTCACAAGAGTAGTTAGTATTCAAAATGTCTTTAACAAACAGCTTTAAAAGGAAAAAAAATCATTTGAGAAGGAAAAAAGGCAGCCTATATGTGATTAAAATTAGTTAAATAACAAGAACACACCTGGGATAAAGTGTCTCACACAGTGTCATGGAGAGTTTCAGAGTACAAACTGATTATTTCTTGGCTTTTCCTTTGTCATGATTCTTTGTGCATCAATGTGTAGGACACAGAATCACAGAGACACTAGAACAACAGAGCTGACTTGAGATGTCAGGTCAGATCTATCACATCACAAGGTGACTGTAAAGCAGGCTAATGAACACTGGACCACCCTGTATCCCACACACAGGCCCCTCCTCCAGGCGCACACAAAGCAATTGTAAAGGACTCTTATTCAGTGTGCAGCCTAAAGTAGCTAACTCGATGGAATCTCAATTACTGACTCAGAGGAGGAGAAGTAAAGAAAAAAGCAGACTACAGATATTTTAAAAAAGTGCAAAAGAAGGCTAATATCTGCACTAAGCAATAAAACAAACCTCTCATTCATCCTACACACTATCACCAAGCTATGCTGCTCCCAAGTTATTCATCCTACAAATAATGTGTCATAAAATTGAGCTTTCATTTAGCCTGCTTGTCTTTTGTGTGGATAACTTTAATGGATCGGCACACCCATCTCTTAGGTAACAGCATGCTAATTACTTCAATAAAGGACACATCCAGGTTGCTCTTTTCTAGGTTACAGGAATCAACCATCACAGCCCACCGGTATGTGTATGTGTCTGTGTCTGTGGCTTGCTTGTTTGGAAGTATTCCGCCTGCAGCTAGTTGGCCAGACCCCTGCCGAGAGCCAAGGGAGTGGACATGGTAGTGTCCTGCCACTATCCATGTCCCTGCCCTGTGGGGAGGAGGGAGTTAAGCCGTATGAGCGCTTACCTGGTGATGTTGTTGCAGCCGAGAAAGAGGCGCTGCAAGCAGGGCAGGCGGTCCAACTCAGTCTAGAAAGAGAAAGAGAAGGAGGGAGAGGGAAGAGAGAGAGATGGAAGGATGTGAAGAGGAGAAGGTGCCTGGGAACAGGGTACTGCATCGTCATTGCCGTCAGAGCTCTGTATCCCTCTCCATTCCCTCAGTCACCTTGCAGCTCTCGGCTCCAGCATACAGCATCCCCATCCACCCTGCGCATGCACACACACACACACATATACAGCATGCTGCCTTGTCTGCACATGGAGAGGAGGGGCAGGAGAGAAAGAGAGAGAGAAAGGGGGAGGGGAGAGAGAGTGTGTGCTGCGCTAATGCAGAGATCTCCTGCTGCAGGAAGCTAACTCAAACACTTATATAGTCAGCTGCACACACTGTTAGCATGTAGCTCCTCTACCTCAACAAGCAAGAACACCAGCCTGGGTTTGTTCACTGAAAGCTGAATGGGATTGGAGTGTTTTCTTCATCAGGGAGGATCAGCTTTAAGATCAATGCAGAGTTTAGTGAGGGGGTGGGGTGAGGAGGAGCAGCAGCTGGCCAGCTGGCATAGTGAAGAAGATGATATGCAGGGACTCAGCAATATCCCTCAACTCATCAGATGGCAGTGCGTGGAGAAATCAAGTTCTGTTCTCTGTGTGCATGTGTTTGCAGATGGCCGGTGCTCCGCATGCCGAAAGCAAAGAGGACACTCCCAGCAGCAGTCTGAATGAGCTGCGTCAGCGTCCGCCCATGCAGCCACCGCCTCGCAGCCTCCTCCAAGACTGTTGCCAGTTCCCATTCAAAGGAGAGATCAGACTAGCACTGGAGCTAAGCTAGCTCCTCTGCAGAGAAAAGTACAAACACTGCAGCGCAGAGTCTGAACAGTCCTACACACCCTGTCCACACAAGCAGATAAAAATAGTACACACTTGCTCATTCTTGTTTCATCCATTCCCACTCCTTACCTGCTCACAGAAGTACAGTATGCAACATCAGCAAGAATATTTTAGAGCCTTAAATGATGTTTAACACTATTTGATGCTGAATCCACTGCATTAATGGACTGAAATCATTTCATTTGATAATCCTTTCTTAAATTTAGTATTTAGAAGACTTTAATTTAAAAAAAATAGGGACATGGGACCATGTTTTATCAGGTCAAAAGTCAACACAGCCTGCGTGCAGACAGCCCAGTAGTCTAGGAGCTCCAACAAAGTATCAAGAATATAAATAAGGATATTTTTCAGAGGTTGGACATTTTTGTATGTTAAATCCCTTCACTGATCTTAGGAAATATCCCAGTAATATGGGATACTAGATTTCTGATTTGAGACAAAATCAAAACAAAAAGGCTTTAAATATTGAATTTCATCCGTCACCAATATTTGAGTTGTGTTTAAATAATAAAAAGCAACTTTCTTATTACGTATGATTTTTTAAATGCACATGAATATAATCTTAAGATCCCGGCTCCTCACTGCTCTCTGAATGCTGAAGTTGGCTGGTCTGCTTTGTCTACACGTAGACCAAATCACTAGCATGTCTTAATTTATGAGGCGATTCTTATCTTGCGCCCCTTTGTATTTGTGTATTGTTAATAATATAAAAAAGCTACAGTCTTAGCTCTGTGAAAAATGAGTTAAGGGAGTCACAAGATTCACTATTGCTGTCTGTCTCCATACTCTTGAAATAAGTAAAAAGAGTTTTAGGTACACTGCTCCTGAAGATTGAAATCGACTGCACAAGTATTTGGATAGGGGAGCTGGTCTCTACTAAATAATTTTCACAATAGATTGAAGGTTCAGGAGGATAATGCTCTAAATGATGATTTCTGTTATGTGACCAAGGATATGTTGACTTGCTTTTTTATATACATAAATAGTATGTGTTGCAGGTAACTTTGTTGGAACATACCTCTGCTAGTCTTTGTCAGGATGCTTTTGTAAAAGAGATTTTTAACCTCAGTGAGGCTTTCCTGTTCAAAGAAATCTAAATAATATAATATATTTTGGCCTCATAACATCACACTCTTGCTACAGCTTCAATTCAGTACTTCTTTGAAAGACACCCTGATGACAAATAATCACCACCTGACACAACACCTAGCACAAAAATTAGTACAACACTGTACAACATTTAGCATGTGGTTTCTTGTGTAGATTAGCAGCATTGCTTTTAAAACAATTAGTTTTCCTAGGGCTGGGCAATAAACCGAAAATTTTGGATGTAAGTGGGTAGGCTACGGTCTCATGTCCCTTTAAGACCCTGTCCGCTGTCAGAGACATGACTCCACCCCATCCAGTCCGTAACAAAGAGGGAAAGACAGGTGAGGAGATGGAGGATGGTTTAAAAGTTGTAGTGGTTGAAGCGGCGGCTGAAGTAGACAAAGTTAATGTGGGAGGGGGTGAGCAGCTTGTGAAGTAGTTATCGCCCATTTATCGTTATCAAGGTGAAATGCTCAATATATCGTGGTATTGATTTGAGGCCATATCGCCCAGCCCTAGGTTTGGCAATTAAATAAAAACTATATTTTTATAAAAAGGAGACAACACACCTAACAAAAGCATCTAACAACAGATGAGACATTTACAGTGAAAGTCTCAGCGACATTAGACCAGTGACACAGACTTTAACGGTGAAAAAGAGCTCACCAACAACTTACAGGTTTAAACTCAGCTGTTGATGCAGGACAGATATCCGGCATTACTGTAAGCCTATAGGCAGAAGAAGAATTCCTCCTGACAAAAGGAGAATAATCTCTAAGACTCATAATTAGCTTTATAATGTACATTCATAATATTCTGCCCTCCCCGCTCAGTGCTCTACAATTAGACTGAGGAAATTACCATTAGCAGATAAGTGTAAAAACAGGCTGAGTGACTTCACAACTTGTCTTTTTCAATGTAAGGGGAGAAAAAGAGAGAATAAAGACATCGATTGCATTTTAAATAAGAAAATGTAGGGTTTTTTGTGAACTGTTCACTCAGGAGCTTAGCAGTACAGCCATTCACTTCGTTTTCTATCATTTAGAGAAACTGCAAGTCATGCTAACCGGTGCTAGCTTGAGCTGACCCTCCTACACTCTCCCACAGCCTCTGTCTATGGATGCTGGTGAAGCAGCAGCCACTGCAAGCTGTCTGAGACTAAATATAGAAGCCCTGTCTCAGACACAATGATGTCATCACTGAGCTGATGTGCTGCATAACAATCGCCAACCAATGTGAGATCTTTTTCTAAAAGCCCAATTGATCAGAACCAATGAGCTGACAGGAGGTCAGTTACAGCTTTGTTGCCGTGTGTTTGTATATGTGTGTGTGTGTGTGTCTGCCTTTAGCAGTGTGTTCATGTGCCTATTTGCCTGTGTCTTCACCTCACTGTCCTGTCTCCACCCATCTATTACTGACAGTTTGCGTGTCTTCTTTTTCCACACTCATGCTGAGCACTGACAGCAGCATTTCTCCACACAAACAGAGCTACCTCTCATCACAATTGTCTCTGTTGCATGCAAAAAATGCACCACTAAAGAGTCTGAAAGCTGCCCAAATAAACACACAGGTACATGTGGATGCTAAGCGGGCGTCAAATAATAGTCGCTGTTGGTGTTTTGTGGTTTTTCCTTTGGATAGATAAAGCTTCAGGCATTAGCCTGGCTGGCACACATCTGGGTTCAGGTATTGTGTGCCAGAACTGCAGATGCAATTCATTATGTGGGGGGACACATTAGAACTGCAATTTAATGTTAAGTGCTTACTGCTGTGTTTTGTTTGGTTTTTGCACTGCAAACACACAGATATCTCTAATCATAAATCAATCAGTCTGAAGGGTTCCTTTCTGTTGTGCATTTTTGAGCCACAAAAAGCTAGAACAAGCTACATTATGTATTCAGAAGATATGATGAACTCATGACCCGAACGCAAAGACAGACAACAGCTGACTAACTAGAGCAGAGCCAGCATTGAACAGTATGGCTCATTAACTGACCCCACAAGAAGAAAAGCCCATTGGAAAAACTCGAGCTAATCCATAAAGCCTGGCTGCCTCTGGGTGATTCCTTTTTGCTCTGTCTGTTTTATCAGTGCTTATGCTGACTTCAGAGCTCTTCCAAACAAATCCCTGCACCTAATGCCAAAAAATGTTAAAAGGATCACTTACAGTACTTCTCAATGGAAAGACCCACCTGAGAGCAAATGTATACAGCAGAGGCTTTATGACATGGCAATCTGTGTATAACCCACAGTAGTTAGAATAATTCCATGTTGGGTTGAAAGTATTACAAAGGTGTCATACCGCTTACACTTAGATAAAGTCTACAAACTGACCCCATTAAAACCTACATGGAAACTATTAGCTGTAAAAGGTTAACAAAATACATCTGTCCTGTTGCATCACAACACAACTTAAAAACTCTGTTTTGTACACTAAAAGATGTTCATGTGCATTATCAATGGTGGTACAAACAAATGCATGAAAAACTTTTTCTAAAATATAAACAAGTCTGAGCTCACATAATATAGGCCCCTTACAGCACTTTTTTTTAAGTCCAGGACTCTACAGTACTTTCCATACTTTGAATGAAAGGGAAAACCTGGACACCTTGAGGATGGTTATTTACTTTGAGCCTGATAAAAGCACTTGGCAGCTCAAACCACTAATGACAGAGGCCGCAGAATCTGCTGAGGGGTAACATTCTTCCCTCCCTTGAATCAAATCAAACACAACATCCGATAATTACGACTGGAAGTGGTTCAGGATCAGAACTTGCAGGCAGAGGACACGATGAGTGACAGGGTTAGGTTTTATAACACAATGCTGGATTCTGCATTTTCTACCCCAAGAAGCAGGGAAAGAGCTCTGGGGATTTGCATACAAATGAAGGGGCCTGTTTTGGCGTGCACTGTTCTGTTTATCAGATTAAAACTATAGAAACCAAGGGGAGGTTATTTGCGTGTTTTGAATATCCAGTTTCTCTTTTACTGCGGTAGGTTGTGGGTAAAGAGCTACCCCTCCCTGGGTAACACCATTGAGATACATTTCACCACAGCCTTTCTCACAGTGAGTGCATTGATGTAATTTTCTGTTTGTTATTTTGTGACAGTAAAAACTGTCAAATCTGATCCCATGAGAAAGGAAACAGAAACCATCCACAGGACCTGATCCAAAGGAATGACATGAAGATGAAAGATGTAGCACGCTACCAGCTTCTATGTCCTGAATATTTTCTTACGGGATAGTTGCCAGTATTAATGAGTCTGTTTAATTTTACATCGAAATGAGGAATGTGTCACCTAAACTGAGCACTATTTTTAGCAATAACATACCATCAAGCAGCTGCAGTGTTAACAGCCTGGAACTAGGGAGTCTACTTCATCAGACTTTCAGGTGCAAGTAAAAAAAGCTATTTAAGTTTGCATCTATTTTCCAACAATTGTTTCACTTTGTAAAAATTATCTCCAATTTGAAGGGAATTAAAGCCACACAGAGAAAAGGCAGAAACCCCTGTCTTGTTTGAGGTTATGTTCACTCTGACTAGTTGATTTATTTCCCTTTAAATGAAGCTGAACAATGAGCATGCGGAGTAGGAAATGCATAAAACTTAAGTTAAAAAGTAAAAAGGCCCCTCACCAAGACAGAGATGTGGTTGTGCCGCAGGTTGAGTTCAGTCAAACTGTTCAGGCCCTGCACGTTTTCAACCCTGGAGATGCCATTTCCTGCCAAGTTCAACACTTGCAGCTCTCTCAGGTGAGACAAGTTTTCTATCCTGGAGATCTGGAAGAAAACACAGTGAGACAAAGATAGTAGAACATTAAATTATGCAAAACAGCAATCTGGATAATCATACTGTAAACAGAAAACACAGGGGGGAGCAGGGATGGCAGTTTGTAAGACACATAACAGTACACATTCAGGGCTCACTCTCTGATTCAACTCCTGTTTCTAAGATTATCACATATTTCACATGAGTTTAAAATAACATTAGGCTCAATGTTTTAGAGATAAAAAAAAGCCCCTGAAGCTACACTGTTACCTATGATACTTGAACTCCTCTCATGTACCCAAAAACATCATCATAGATGCTCAATGAACAGTCAGCCATATCAAACCCTGACCCCTATTTCACCTCCCAAATCATAATAACAAACAACCAGCTGAGGGTCAGTCATTGGGTGAGATGATACCCATTTCTGCCCCCTCCCCTTTTTGGAGGAGGGTAGTTAGAGGCCCCGGTCATTATTACACTTAAAATACTTCTGAAGAATTCCTGGTAGCTGTTACCCTGAGAGTGATGTGTTTGCCCCCCAAAGTGCACACTGTACACAGAGGATTGGGTTCAAAGGGCAGCGAGGGTTCAAAGATTCTGTCAAAATACAATACCTAATGACTACTGCAGTTCAAAGTCAAAGGAATATCGCCAAAGGTTTACTATAAAAGTAGCATAAACAGTAAAATAGGATTTACTTCTGGATCATTTGGACTTATTATGTCGAACATGTCATGTCACTCTAATTGACTTGATTCACTATAGCGCTATTCGGAGTTCCTCAATGACTTATCCTCATCTCGATGGCATCATGACTTTGAACTCTCTATAGGTTAAGATACCTTATACTAGTCAAATAAAAATGCATACCTCTACACAAAGAAGCATAAACCGTTGCTGTATAACATTACATTAAACTAAAGATGATAAGATTCTCTCTCAATAGTTCACCAAGAAACTTTGTAAACACATGGACTCCTTCAGCTTAACTAGGCAACTCAAGCAAAATTGCATGACGCACAGTTCTGTAGATATACGCACTTAGACAAACAGTTTTAATTTCACTTCCTCTGAGGGGTCCTCTGTTATTGAAATGGAATGACCTGGGAGGTTATTGATGTTTTAATGCCCTATCTTTCCCAAACAGATTGTTTGTGTGCTGTCTTGTATCTCATCCAACATAAGCATCCTGTTCTCTACTGAGAAGCAGCGCTCCTTGAGAATAGCATCCTGGTCTTGTCTGCTGAAAAACAGACTAGCAAAAAAAAAAATCAGCTTTTTACGAATGGAGTTAATGTGTGATAAAAATATTCACAAATGGCAAATTTTAACACAAATATATTCCATTTGCAACTCTATTCTTATTGTGTTTTTTTCCTCTTATCTTCTGCACCAGAGGCTGGATAAAGGAGGGAGAAAGTGGAGGAGGAATGGGAAAGTGTAAACATTATTACTAGTGTTATGCTAATAAATCTACAAAACTAAAACAGGATTCAACAAAAGAAAGTGCTATGCAGTGCTGACTCTTTTTTTTTTTACAAAATAGGTGTGTACTTACAGGTGGAAGCACTGCTAAGGAAAAAGATCAAGCTGAGTTTGTCTGCTCTGAACACCATCCAATCAAAGGCTATGTGGAAATCATTGCACTTCATTGAAAAGCCTTCACAAAGTAAAACTGTGGTGTCATAATGATATAAATACTTTCATGCTACTGTCATGCACAAGCAGCACAATGGTACCTCTGAAAATTGGAGGTTAAAAAAAATGGGAAGGTATGCACACAAAGCAGCATGTTGATGCAAAACAACCTCCTGCTTAATGAAGATGAAGTAAAAAAACATACTTATTGCCCAGACAGGACAAAAAGACCTCAGGGGTAGGGCTGGGCGATATGGCCTCAACTCAATATCACAATATATCAAGCAGTTCAAAGATAAATGGACGATAATTACTCCACAAGCTGCTCACCCCCTCCCACATTAACTTCATCTACTTCAGCCGCCGCTACGGCCACTACAACTTTTGAACCACCTCCATCTCCTCACCTGTCTTTCCCTCTTTGTTACGAACTGGATAAAGGTGGAGTCACGTCTCTGACGTAGGACAGCGTTTCAAAGGGACATGAGACCATAGCCTACCTCAGTGGTTCTCAAGTCCAGTCCTCTAGGCCCACTGTCCTGCATGTTTTGGATGTTTCCCTGCTCCAACACACCTGATTCAAATGATCAGCTCGTTATTAAGCCATTACAGAGCTTGATAACGAGCTGATCATTTGAATCAGGTGTGTTGGGGCAGGGAAACATCCAAAACATGCAGGACGGGGGGCTCGAGGACTGGACTTGAGAACCACTGGCCTACCTACACACATCCAATCCAAAACCAACTTTTATTTATTTATTTTTCTGACACCTAATATATTGACATGGGCAAAATTATGTCTGTTATTTTCGTAAATTTCAGTATCGGTAAATTTTCAGTTTCTTGCCCAGCCCTACTCTGGGGGTAAAGATTAATTTAGGCCTGGACTGAAGCTCTGTGTTCTTACCATACAGGCTTCAGTGTAAAAGACTATGTCAGTACAAAACATAGCACCTCTGCACGCTCTGAAGTAAGAAGTATTTTATGTTACACATCGTGAATTAGGCGTGTATTAGGTTCAAAAGTGTTTTTTCATTCAACTAAGATCTTTATGTATGCACAGTATATTTGACAGAACTTTTAAAAAAATGGAAAGGGAGTGGAACTAAGCACAATTGAATTCAATGCAACTCAATTCAATCTAACTCAATTCAGTTCAGATCAGTTCAATTCAGTGCAATTCAGTTCAGTTCAATTTAATCAAACTCCATTACTGTCCCTTAAGGGACAATTTGTGTTTATACATTTGTTCTTGTCTGTGAAGTTAAGAGCGACTGAGGGACATGCTAAATGGAGGAGGTATTAACATTAGGTTCAAGCACGTTCCTTGTAAATAATACAGCAATCATCCTCTTCAACTTAATGGTCTTTTCTTACCAGAGACCAGACACAAACAGATAACCTTGTGTTATTGTGCCATTATGACATAATGACAGCAAAGCCTGGAGCCTCCTTCGAGTGGAGGATGTCTCTGTTCCTGCCTCAGCATATCCCACAGTCCTGCAGTTATCACTGATGACAGAGGTAGTCATACTTAATGAGAGTCATTCTTTCTACATGGACACAAGATCAACCAACCACTCTTACTCTGCAAAAATGTGTCCTTATTTTCCAGACACTGCAGGGCATGCTCCACTATCCTCTGTGAATATCCACATCAAATGTCAGGTCACTTTGCAACTCCAACATGTATTTACTGAGACTAAGAGTGAGTTATCCCGCACTATCCCAAAGAGAATATCCTCTTTTGAATTCTGCTTGCTTATATCCCGTTTCTTAAACATATTGGTTAAAAGATAAGAAAGAAGAAATGTGAGCCTTCCTGCTCGAGGATAGGAGGAAGAGAGATCAAGGGTGATGTACTGCTTAAGGTTAACACATTCACACAGATGAAAAGAGGACAAGCAGCTGGTTTCCAACAGCTCAGAGTGACTTAACAACAACCTGAATAGTCAGAATACCCATGACCCTCAAGACAATCAAGAATCCATTCATCAAACTACCATTCATCCCTCTGACTTCACTGACTATATCCTCTTGTATTACTATAGCGCAGTGATTCACATCATATTTGGGTGGTCATGTCTCTGGTGGGAGTGGGAAATAGTGAGTAAATGTGATTGAAAAGTTATTCAAGCTCACAGAACAGGAGGTTTTAAAGTCAGTGAGTGAAAATCAACCTGTCCTGGTTGGAATAATAGATTCCTCATCTGCTCCGCTGTGGGCGCCTTCCAATAAATGGCCTCCTCTGAATGCAATGTGCTTACATCACAAACAGGATGAGCCCAAAATGGATTCATTTTGCATCACTTATTCAATCGTCACACTATCAGAGGAACTATTTGAATTACCCTTATAGATGTAGTTAGGAAACACAACAAGTGGACAGAGTTTGAGGTAACAGAGTCTCCTCTGTAAGGAGAAGAGTAACCCAACACTGTAGAAGTCATTGAATAGTAATTGGGACGCCTTCTCATGCAAAGTGCAGCCAACATCAGAGAGGGCGGGAGTCTAAGCTGGGCTCTAGAGCCGCTCTCTAAGGAGAGGTGTGGGCGGCGTGCTGGCAAAACACTAATTTGACCAAGGGAAGCCTTTCTATTTTATCTTTCCTTTCCAGGAGCTGCTAAAATCCTCATCTGACATCAGTGGTTCTTACATCATTTGTTTTCTCAGGCATTTAATATCAGAGAGCCGCGCTGCACTGCGGAGGCTAAGTAAACAGCCCCAGTAATAGATTTAACCACAAATTAATCGTAAAGCTCCATAACCTAGCATAGCTCAGAACAACATCAGGGTTAAAAACATAAAAACACTTGTGCCTGCTGAATAAATTATGCTGGGGTCACTGAGGAAATGGATGTGGGAGTAGACCCTTGACAAGAGCTGGTGGGTTCTGCTGGTTTTCTATTCCTTGCTCTCTAACAGTGGTGGGAACTGGAACACATGTCCATAAAAGCTAAAATAGGGTTAGGCAAAGGATGATCATAACAGCTGTATAATTTGTTACAACGAAAAAACTCTGCTACGTTGATCAAGGGAAGAATGCTGGGCATGACAGCTGCTTTCTATTTCAGAGATGTTGCACAGACTCAAGGAAACATTCTCATTATAATGCGTGCCCTGAGTGAAGTCCATTTAATAGGTCTATAATGATAGACCTATTAAAGACAGTGTGTGAGCTTGTGACTATTCATGCCTGGCCTCTTGCTGCCATGTTTGTTTGACTCTAGCACTGAGAGAACTGCATCTCACATAGCAAACTACAGGGTGACAGAGGTGTAAGAGACAATCCACCTCCACTGCTGAAGATCATGACCTCCGATTACATAATTAAAATGCAGACTAAACACACATTTCCTCTAGGAGGGAAGATAGTGAAGGAGAAGTACCTTATTGTCATGCAAATCCAGGATGTTCAGCTTGGACAGACTTTCCAGACAGCATATGTTATGGATCCTGAATAAAAATAACAAAGACATGAGATAAATGGAAAATGTAACTTGGATTAGGATCCAAAAAGAGGAAAGTGGATCTGCCCAACAAACATACAAAAAAAAGAGTTAATGCAAAACATACATTACAGGAAACCAAACATACAGCAGTTTTAAAACACTCATTAAACTGTGTCAACATTTAGTTTGAACCACTAAGGACCATAATGTATTTAAAGTGACAAATGAAATGTAACTATGGACTCTTAAAGGAACTTATAAAGGAACTTCTTCATTACAGATTTCCGAGCTGACTTGTAAAGTTTTAGGATTAGATTTTACATAAAACCAATATGTGAACCACAACCACAGCTGTTTATATCAACTCTTAAATATCATCTCTGTAAAAAATGCTACTCTTAAACTCTTAAATATTATCTCTGTAACAAATGCTACTCTCTACTAATCCACTGACCTGTTTTTCCCCAGCAACAGGATCTTCAGAGACCTCAGATTTTCTATGCCAGTCATGTCAGAGATGTGGTTGTCATACAAGTTGAGAAAAACTAGCTTTTGAAAATGGGACAGATCCTGTATAGCAGTGATTAGATTATGCTGAAGGTTCAGAAACTGCAGATCATCCATATTGCCCAGCTGGGGGCACTCCTCCAGACAGCGCCTGAAACATTAAAACCACATTAAGCACAATTAAGACTAAATCTTTACCAGTCAGCAGTTAGTTTATATACCTTAAAAATTGTATACTACTTTTAGTCATGCAATCTAATAATGCAAATTACTGGGTAAGAATTTCCCTGTTCAAAATGATTGGCTTAGTTCTGCTTGGCATCAAGTAGAGAAAGTCTTTGTCAGCAAAATCTGTAGAGACAGGGGTGGGTGTTATGAGGGACTTTGCTGCTCCCTGGTGGCAAACATGAGCACCTGCCATTTCATGCAAAAGCCAAATTAATTGTGCTGCAGCTACTGTGATAGCCAGTCTGAGTCCATCATATCAACAAAACTTTTTGGTAAAGGAATGACAAAGGGAATATAAAATACACAGCAGGTACAGATCAACAGAGTTTGCTGTGACACATGACATCGCAACCCCCTGACGTGAAAATCTTATTATTTTAGTGCTGTTCCAAAAAACATAAATAAGGCAGAGGTACCTGTCCAAGTCAATTCTTTGAAAACTGGATTCAAAGGAGTCATGAGGCCTTTCAGTGAAGGGAAAACCAGGAACTGCCCTGTGCCTTTGTCTCCCAGAGCCACCTAATAGCAACATACAACACATTTTAAAACAAACAAACTATCAAACAGTACAATAAGAACAAATTACAAACTCCTTGGTAATTGATGTAATGTTGCAGTGCCTGAGATGGCATTACCATAATAAGTGACTCCTGTGCTGTGAGCCAGTCTTCTTGATTTCTCCCTGAGATCGTGCACAGCTTTTAAATTTGCCTCGAAACGCACTGGATTATGTGCAAAGGAATCTGTTGACTCACAGGAAAATTCTGGCACCAGAGATGTCTGGACAAGCCCTCTCTGGCTGCATGTGCGCAACATGATTTCTACAGAGGATATGGTACACTCAGTAAAATGAATAGTAAAAGACAGGTAGGTTGTTTACATTCCTTAGCTTCTGAATATACAGTACAATGGTAGAGATAAGTTTGTAAAGGAGTGGACTGGCTCAGGCTTACCTTGTTCAGGGTTGGAATGATATATTGTGTGGGTGGTATTCATGTTTGTTTCTTTTAGTAGATCTTTACAAGAGTCAGTCTGTAATTAGAAAACATGATTCATTGGTTTTGAAGTCTTTCCAACTGCTAACTTACAGAAAAACCCATGCCACCAAAAGCTTTTTCAGAGTATTGGGTTATTTGAGCATTGTGTTAATAGATGTATGAATACTAAAGAACATGATGTGAGCCATAATGTTGATGATTTTATATGATTTAATACAACATCATCATAGAAAGCAGATTCAATGTCAACTAGCTCTCTAGTTTTCGCTATTCTTTGCCTAAATAAATACGTTTAAAAAAAAAACATTTTAAAAAGTTAAGTAACAAATGATAGAGGGAGTAGCGTAAAGCAGTGGTTCTCAAGTCCAGTCCTCTGTGCTGCATGTTTTGGATGTTTCCCTGCTGTTTCCCAACACACCTGATTCAAATGATCAGCTCGTTATCAAGCCCTGTCATGGCTTAATAACGAGCTGATCATTTGAATCAGGTGTGTTGGAGCAGGGAAACATCCGAAACATGCAGGACAGGGGGGCCTCGAGGACTGGACTTAAGAACCACTGGCGTAAAGGCTCAGTGACACATAAGTGTTTTCTACACAGCTGTGTCCTTTCAAAGGCAATTTGGGTTGCCTGACTGCCTGAAATATGTTTTCATTTTGTGACCATCTGTCTAAAAGTTGGTACTGATTGTGTTGCTAACTGCATCTTGCTTTTTTATTTATATCTTTTAACAAAGATGGTCGTTTTTTTCTTTTTAGTTGTGTTGATAGTTTGTAAAACTGAGGATTTGTGAATGAAAAATGTTTTAATATTTATTCTTTATACTTACCAATCTCTGGGTTCTCTCTAGTACTGTTGGCTTAACAGTTGTGTGGTGCAATTTACAGCTGTTAATCTGCAAAAAAATATGATAAGATATCATTTACTGGGTGTTAAAAGCCGAAAAATAATAATTTGAAGCATGTTCACTGAAATCTGATAACTTTCCGGCTGACTTTGAGGCTTTAACTTGAAATAATGGGAATTTCAGTTTTGAATTTTTTGTTAAGTTCACCCGGAGTTGCTGAGTTTACCATTGGAGAAAGAAACGTCCTCTCGTTGCTGTTTTTTCGAGGCCACATTGAGGTTCCTTTAGTCCGCTCCGGCTCCATTTAGCTAACTTCTGTTTGCTGTTCACGGCTGGTTTACAATTCACAGTAAAACCGCTGAGAAACACGTTTGGAACTGAAAAGGTCGTCTGTTTCAATAGCATGGAAAAACTGCCTGACAATGTAGACAAAATTTGCTTCGGAGGTCATTTCTTGAGCTAAGTTTTGTTCGCTAAGAAATTCTACATCAGAGGAGCTCTATACAAACTTCCTAGGAGCCAGGCACTGTTGTCATGGCAACATCGGTGCTACTTGGTCACATTCATTTCCTGTGTGTCACTGAAAATGTACTCCGCGGGGAACCGTCGCATGATTACCATTCTTGACAAAATAGAATACCTTCAGTCTACAGCAATAAACAGTATTTTTTCTATGCTTAAGTTAGTTACAATGTGAAATTCTGAAATAAAGAATACATGATAAATCACACATTTTATTCATGTCCAGTTACAAGGACATTCTGGAGACTTACAGAATCAAAAAGCCACAGATGTCTTACCATATTTTATTCATGTTTTATTCATGTTTTATGTCTTATTATCATGTTTCCTAAAGGCATCATTTCATGAACTACTACTGAAATTGGCTACAACTGAATTTTAATCTTTTATACATGGAGACCTTAACTTAAAAAAAAAACAGACATATGTAAGGTATGATCCAAGAATTATTTTGAGAAAATAAATACTTATTGCTTTTATAATTACTGTTTATTGAAACCATGCTTTTTCTCCACTCTTTTATTCTTTATTATGTCCTTTAGTCTAATTTAAAGTTAGTGTAGACATGTCAAACCTGTAAAGTCTTTGCAATTTGGTCTTGTGAAAATGCCATTCAAAATGTGTTTATACAGTATGTTGCTTGTTGATTTTAATCTTATTGTGTATGTTCAGAAACTGAAAAAAGATTATAAAAACCAAAACATGCCTAGAAACTATTCCTCCAAGTGTGATCAATAGTTTTATCTATTTTGACAAGAATTTGATGTGCACACCATTCAGAGAAGAAAACCAAAAATAGATATAAACCTGCAAATGTTCTGTGCACTCTTCCTAAACCTGGACCTCTTCTCGAGGGGTTAGTCTCTAAAATATGCATTAAAGGCAGGCTGTATTGACAGTGCTTTTAAATTAGTTCAAGAAAATTTATACATAGATAAGTAACTAAACCTGATGAAAAAGATTAAACAAAATGATGTTTAATGGAAGAAAAAATAAATCATATGATAACTCAAGTAACGCTGAGACCCACTAATTTGTTTTTAAATAACTGTCCTGCCTTAGATCTCCATCAGTCTCAATCGATAAACAAATTCACTGATAAATTACGAGAATGAATTGAAGCTCCCACCTGCTTGCCAACATATTTTTAACAATACTGCAAGCTGATCCTGTTCAGATTCTTTATCGAACAGCATAAATTATGAAACAATTGTGAAACTGATCTTCACCTTAAAACTGTTTCTCTCACAACACTATCCTCAGTTTATTTACAAATTTGGACTCTGTCTGTTAAAAGACAGCTTTGTAACAACCTTTATTAGTCATCTTATATTTGTTTTGCCCACTCAGAACTATTTACAATGATGTCACAAAATATTGCACCCATTAATGAAGCAGTAGTTTCATTGTAAAGGAGCTTAAATGAGCTCTCTAAGCGACCATAGTATATAGTCTGCTCTTGGAACTGACAGTGTGAACACATGCGCAGAGGGTAAACAGAGGAAAGGTCATTTGGGGGTCACAGCTTTAGACCCCACAGTCACATTAAGTTGGCCATGTTTGTTAAGCCTCAAGTCCTGTCACTGAACATAGCAGTGCACGTCATTGTTACTCACTCACAAAGGTCAAGGTTAAACTTTCAGCCAATCGTGTCAGTCTTTTGAGCGTACACCTACTGCAGAGTAAATACAGCAGAAAGCAAATGGTCAGATGTACACAGTAGCCTCGATAAACCCTAGAAGCCAGTGCTATGGTCAGTTATTTGTATCTAAGTGCAATGACATTACTTCAGTAGAGTAATAGTATCAAATTCACAAGGACATTGGATAAAGCTTAAGTATGTTAGCAAGATGATACTGTTAAAGCAAAGTTAGAATGGTAAAAGGCCTGAGCATTTTGACCAACTATAGCGTTGCCAGAAAACCTGTTTGGCTTTGTATGTTGACAATGAACCATGGGTGTGAACATAAAAATGAAAGTTTACGTGTTCCTTCAAACTTAACTCAAATAATATTTAAAGAAAACTCCTAAAAGGCCAATCACTTGCTTCTGCCTACAGACAAAAGCAACTGTTCTGACAAGGTTCCCCAGGTAAGTCATTTGCATATCTCAAATATCTGGATACTATTTGTTGTTGACTCATACCTGTCATTAGCTTTGTGTTGACTAAACTCATTCCTGTCCCTTCATCATTTGCATAGCAACCTAACCTGTTATTGAATGTCTTGTTGGACTGTGCCTCAGCAAAGAGCAAATAATGAAGAGAAATATAACTCTCCTAGTATCCTGCCTTTTCCCACAGTTGTATGTATGATACAGATTACTCAGCAAACCCTGAAACCTCATCTTCATCCAAAGAGAGCAATGTACTTCATGTTCTGACTGAATTGAACCAAAAGGGACAGAGGTAGACTTTAACCACTGGCAGGGACCTTGAACCTAAAGACTCTCTATAACTGTTTGTATTTTATTCCAACTTTCTCTTTTTACTTTTAATTTCCAAAGGCTTCTAAAATGCCACTGTGGAGCAACACCATGCAAAAACCTTGTCTGAGGTAGAAGTTGTGAGGAAATATTCAGGAAAATTCTTGATGCCGCTCTCACATTTAAGTTGTACTAAACACACTAGACACAACTGAGGTGGACTAATGTCTCCAGTACTCATGGGGAATGGTTCATTGATCACTGCAATACTTTTTCAAATCAGACACTCCAACAGTTTAAATCAGACACTATAATAAGGAACACACAGTGAACTACTAAAGCAGTATATCCTCCGGAGATTAGTGTCCTCTGCATGTGTGTTCATGTCCCGCTATGAACATACTGTAAGTTTCTTCTAAAAGAAACAGTTCAAGAAATCTCTTTGGTGCCAAATTTTTTGTATTTTAATAGTATTTTTTTGACTTTTATTTTATTTTAGTATACTCCTTCAAGTCATGTCTGGTACAGGTCAGTAATATTTTGCTCAAATTTTACTTCTATTATTGCTATACCTCTAATAGTCATCACTAAATAAAAGATAGAATTTGAGAAAAGGGGCTTTATCATGAGTCACATAGCAGAAAGTTTTGCCTCAACTTTGTTTCAGAGCAGACGGATAAAAAGCACTGTGTCGGTCTGTGAGAGCAGCACTGTGCAGTACTGTATGGATAGTCATTATTTGACCCTTTTAGAAAACTTCAGCGGGAAAAACCTCCCTAAACTCCCCTTCTCTCTACATATCCTCCAATGTAGTTAGCTGGATCTACATCAATTCATATAATCAAGTCTCTCTTAAATTTCAGTGTTCCAGTGTGTCACATGACAAAAATAGCCCATATTAGAAAAAATTGCTCATACAATTTTGGTTTAATAACTTCCCAAATATTCACCAGTGTGATAATGTAATGCTCCTGGTATGGACACTAATGAAGCTAGAGCCAGCCTCATCTCTATTGTCAGCACGACTGAGCAGACTGCCCATTTCATCTCGGTGAGTAACACCATAGAACACCAAATGTGATAAAATAGATTTTGTTGTGTATTTTCAGCCTTTTCACTCTGGCAGGAATAGGCGGTTGCACGTCCAGATTCATCAAAGGTTCATCCCACACACTGCCTGTCACAGTCTATTCATGAGGCACAGACTGACACACGTAATGGGAGGAGATCTTTAGTAATTTGTATGGCAGGTCATATTGAAAAAGCGCACTGTAAACTCCTGTTATAATTATGGGAATCTGCAAATGTACAAAGGCTACATACATAAATGTATTATCTGTAATTCCCAAAGGACATGCAGACACAAAAGCCTCAAAAGGTATTATTCCAGCGTGTAGCCTTGCACATTCAGTGATGTATTTTACTGTTTTTAGAGGGTATTTCAGGAGGAAGATTGATGCATGCCGGAATGAGTATGAGATCAGTGTCATTTCGTCTTCAAACCGGACTTGGCCCATTCAGATTGATTCTGCTGCTGGTAGGAGACATACACAGATATTTCCTTTAAATGATTTTAAATGATCAGAAATGAAAAATAACCTGGGGGGTATTATACAGCTGGTTCGTTGATAGCAGAACAGTAGGTACCCTGTCTTAACAGAAAGCAGAATTGAAAATGTAAATAGAAGGATTTTTTGTGAAACAATTTCCTCATTTGTAGAAATAATAATAATAATAATAATAATTCATTTTATTTGTACAGCGCTTCTAAAAACACTCAAAGACGCTTAATAAGGGAGAAATTAGATGGTTAACAAGATGGTATCTGTGGATCTGTTGTTTCCTTCATCGGGCAGGGATTCTGGAGATATGTTCATGAGAAAGGAACAACTGTTTTCCTCCAACCTTTGTATTCTTGTTTTCCAAGAAGAGCTGAAAGACATTTAGTAAAAAAAACGAATTTGTAGACAGCACTGACTTCATGTTTTAATGCTGAAAACATAGTCTACATACTTCACTTATTCAGGGTGGTTGTTTAGGGTTAAATGTGACATCAAGTATGTTTACTCACACAGTATTGCATGTTTAGCTAATAGCTACCACAGTCCTCGAATTATCAACAGTATCTGGCTTCCACAGAAATCTGGAGTTACAATACTTTGTCTAACTTTGTCCCAAATGTGATAAAGTTTTTTAAGAAACACACCAGCAGCATAAGATGGGGATGGTTGAATTCTGTTATTTCTATTCTAGTTATGAATTCATGTGTTCAAATAGTATCTTGTTTGCTATGATGGGGGTTGAACACATTTCCTCACAGGGTTTCAACCATCCCCCATGTTTGCTGTACATATTCCTACAACATCGAGGAAGGAAAACAAGGGAAGGGGGAGACAGACCATGCTTCCATCTGCTACGTATTACTGTTATCAAGCTTTGCATGGACAAGACAGGAAGAGCACTGAGAGAGACAAGAAAATTAATGTAATTGTACAAGAATCCTTTATTGAAATTTGTGAAAAGTAATTAAATACTTTCATTAAAAATTCCTTTGTTGTTGTACGTGTGGTATACCTGCTGCATCAATTATAGCAGTTTCTAATGTTGCACAGCAGGTTTTGACAATCATAATGAACTGCTGCCGCAAAGGGAACTGAATGTGCTGTTCATTCAGAAGTCTTCATTCATTTCATAGGGTGGTGGTGGTAGGTGGGTGTGTCACATTTAAACCTGTGTTGATAATGGAGATGTCACATTGCTCATGATGTCACATGTGCCTAATCAAATGACTCAAGAGTGTACAGCCATGCCAACAGCCCTCTGAAGCCACACAATGTTTGAAGATATACACTAACATGAGCAGACTGATGCTCAAATAATGGCACTAACACGCACCGATTAACTGTTTGCCATCTCAGTTTTCATCACTAGCTAGAATTTGGTTGTCAACACTTAGCAGAAAGTACCGATGAAGCTACCGGAATTACCACAGAAGCCAATAGGCCAGGAATACACTCCTAGTTAAAGATTATATAAAACTGAGCAAGTCTCGGCCACATCACCCATTTGTTTCTTACAGCGGAGGTGTCATGCAATTTTTTCAGACTCTATATTTCCTTTCCAATACCTCTTCAGTAGCTTTACATGATTTTCAGATTTTAAAAAAAAAAGCTTCATTTTAGCTACTGTCACTTTAAAATGAGATTGAGTAAATAAAGAATTCCAGAACTGAATCAAAACTAAAGTCAAGTTAAAAAATAAATAAATAAAAAAAAATAGTAAAAACTTTCATACACTTATTTTTATATCGAATACATTTTTTTTTAATTCAAGAACAAACCTTGAACTTTCAGTATCATTTTTTTTTTTTTTTAATCACATTTTTTTTATATAACAAACCTTTTGGCCTGGATATAGCTCCACAACATTCCAGCATGGCATTTACACTTTATCAACACTGTTCCCCTAAAAAATAAGTCATTTGTCTTTGTTTTCTAAAGTTCTCAATCTGTGTGTCATTTGTAAGATAACAATTGATATCTGAAAAATACAAGAAGGAAGTTAACTTATCATCAATCACTCCACAAATACCAACCCTGTGATGGCAAAAGAGGAAAAGACATATTCTGGGAACAATTACTGCCTGTGCAAAACTGGAAGTGTGAGAGCATGAGATACGGACCTACAAACATACATCCAACTTGGATGGATGTGACAGTTTCAGCATTGAGACCACAACCAATTTCCTTTATGTACCTAATAAATTTTATGTTAAGGTGGCTGTATTTGTCTTCCGCGAATAATCCTCAGAGTGTATTCGAACTGTCTCACAGTAGATAATGAAACGTCATGCTCAGTTTAGGTGTATATACTAAGAATTCATGGTTTCATAATAAAAACACCTCAGGTAAAGCTGAAAGACTCCCTCTGAGATCACATTAGACACAATATAAGGGCTGTGTATTTTTAAATGTGTACCGTTTCAAATGGATTTAAAGAGCAAAAACACTGTAAAGAAAAAAAGGCGGGAAAGAAAGGGAGAAACTATTATACTACTATATAAGAGAATTGTTCTGCTTTGAAGAAAAGGAATCAGAGGTGGGATAATAATAGTTATCAAGAAAAAGAACCAGCAGGTTTAAGTGTGAATAAGAAGAAAACTGCAAGGAAACTGAGGCTACCAGTTTCAAGCTTCACCTAGAATGAACTCAGTCCTTTACTATTGTCCTTACTTGTCTTTATGGAGTAGTGCAAAAAGGTTTCTAACAATTTTGTACTAACTGTTCTGTGCTAATCTTTTATGATGCTTCTGAATGGTATTTCATGGAAGCACTAAGTGGACATGCATCTGTACATTTTATTGGTTCAGTTCTCTTTCAGTAATGAGTATTTTCTGGTTATTCAATCCAGATCTTGAGTTTCTTATTGTGTTACCAAAAGACAATAGAGATAGCTCTTCTGTGATAATGGTTGTTACAAAGGGAAAAAAGGAAGAAATAAAAAGACTTAACTTACACCTGGCACATGATCTTCCACTGTGATTAGCCTCTTGTTTTGTTTTGTAGACCACCTGATAATTATCCCGTTATCACAAGAAAATATGTTTTATTATCTGATGACTTGAATTAATATCTCATGACAGGGAACCAGGTTTTTGATCAAAAGCTAAGAAAAAATACTTTAAATTTTCTGTTTACAACCACATATTGATCTTGTGAAAACTGAGGAAATAAAACATATGAATTCATGTCCTCTTGGGACCTCCAAAATATGAGAAATAAGGACTACAGGAAGAAGGCTTGTGTTTATTAACCCTGCAACAAACGAATCCTCAACAATACATATCTTTAAATACTCATTTATATACATCTTTGTTGATGTTTTGCACTCATTGTGGGCAGAAAAGGGGCTCATCAAAGATTAACATTGTCAAACAGACTCCAGAGAAAATGGTATTCAATGAAGCTAAAAGGACATTGCAGCATCCTGGCATCACATGGTTGCACTGTTTTCAGTTGCATCTTATCTCTGTTTGGCTGGTTCAGGGTAAGACTAAGGTATGAGGGTTTCTCAAAATAAAAATATTTGCAGTGACCATGCTGGAAGAATTTTCTCTTGAACTGACAAATTAAGCCTGGAAACAAACAAAACATGAAATGCCCTTGCTTATTTTCTGCCAATCTCTCCTCCTCTCCTTCCTTTCTCCCCCCATGATGCATTGTACACAAACTGAAGCCCTGTATGGCATGTGGTGCAGAGAGTGAGTCAGACTGCCCACCAGCTGTGAGCACGGCTCGCCGGTAGGGAGGTGTAAAGATATTTCATGCAGGGCAGGCAGCAGCCAACAACACTGGAGTGGGTGATTTACAGGGCAATTAGGATGGAGGCCAGCAACACACTACCAAAACTTGAGATCTAGCCCAGAGACAAATATTCAGCTGCCTGCTTGAATCGTGTTTTTGAGTGAACTCCTACATATGCTCTTGATCTACAAATCAACAAGCCAGTGATTACAGATACACAAATCTAGATAAACACCCTTTTTGTGGAAACCAAACAAAACCATTGATTTCACTGGTTTTATGAGCAAAGAGCAGGAATACAGCTACCACCAGAGGTTCCAACTTGTGATTCATATTGACAATGGTACTGGGAAGTTTTGTATTTGCATTAAGAAGAACTTTATTGTACACAAGCAATAGTAGAATAGTGTTGCTATTCTTTCAGTGTATTCTGTGATTGTTATGACCTAAATTTTACTGTTATGACGTTATCAAGTTAAAAAAAACTGACTTAATAGTGTTGTAAAGAAAGTTATCAATCAATTAAAACTTTTAAGCACTTTTCAAAGTATGTAACACAAAGTGTTTTACAATTTATTAAAAACAATCCCACATGCCCTTTCACCGAACTACCCACAACCATACAACTGACAGTCAACAGTCAAATACACAGTCACACCCAAAGCCACACACACTCCCACACACACTCTCAGAGTACAGATAAACCAGTTGAAAAAGCACCAGGAGTCGAGAGTTGCCCACAGACACAGGAAATCAACAAAGAGCCCAGAGGATAGAGGTAGCAGGCACAACCTCCCCTGGAACCCTGAAGACAGGGCCCTGCAGCCACAGCCAACCACTGCTCCTGATGCAGAGGGCTCCCCCAGAGGAAACACTGGGGGCCTTAAAAATGATACAAGGATAATAATAAGCAAAAACTAAAATTTAAATAAAACACAGGCTATAAAATAATGTAAGAATTAATAGGAAAAAAGAAACTTAACTGTCAGTGGCATGAATCCTTGCTCCAGAGCAGGAGCAAGAAGGCAGATAACCCCGTTCATGCCCTTATGTCTGGAGGCATGCCACACTGAAGTGACCTCTGTCTTTAGCAGATAGAGCTGTGAGTAGGAATCATTCACATTAATGGTTTTGCAGCTGTGCTTCCAAAGGAAAGAAATTGAAAAAGTATATGTGGATGCCCTATTGGTGAGCCCTCTGTATGCCAATTGCAAAAATGTAACATCATCATATTAATAATAATAATGAAAGGAAGAAAGAAGAGAAAAGAAAGTCCCCCCCCCCCCCCCCCAGTGATTAGAATATAAAAGGTGCCCTCATGAATCTCCTTTACACAATAAAACATGACACTCTGTTTTCTCAGATTCCCTCAAAATAGATAAATGTGATAAGGTGTTCTTTCACCTCATTGTATGATAACATATTCATGTTTGGTCTTCATACAAAGTTTGTGAGTCAAGTTTAATTCTCCAGCCTTTCTTTCATTTAAGTGTTAAATCAGTTAATTATATCATTAAATGAACATAAATTACTCATGGCTCCTACCCTCTCAATGCTGAGTTTGAGCTGCTCCCGTCAAGCAGAAGGCTCAAGGTACGAGCCTGTAAAACCAAGTGGTACAAAAATAGTTTTATTCCATCAGCCATCTGGCACTTAAACATGGGGAAGAAACCTTGAGAGCTGTTGGTTTTTATTTTGTTTTGCTGAGTTTTTTTTGGTCTTATTTGATTCATTTTTATCTCTTAACCCTGAGCACTGTTGTCCTATATAAGTGTGTCCTGTTGCATGTACTGTGCTGTTTGTTCGACTACTTTAATACATGTGATTCAAACAAAATTTACCTGAGGGTACAAATAAAGTAAAACTCTGACCTTTTTGACCTTTCATTTCTAACAAAACCTTTAAAATAAGGATCCAATGGACTCAATACAGAGAGAAGAGCTGATATTTTTTGTTACGTTATAATGTAGTTTTCTCCTTGGTTATATTTTTTTACACAAAGCATTCAATGTTGAAATCAAGGCCACCCACTGCTATGGCTGCCTGCCTGATTTTTTACCAGCCCTTATTTTTACCAGACTGTCCCCAGCTTGTTATGCAACTGTCTGTTAAGTTCGGAAGGCGGAGGACAGAGAGAAAAACTACAAAGTGTACAAAGATTGTCTTCAAGATGCTGCTAGAGGGTCCGTGTATTATCCGGCCATTCAATTATTCCATTCAATCTAGTTAACGAAAAACGAAAAAACGAGTCAATAACCAAAAAATAAAAGAATTGTGTTTGTTTTCGTATTCTCAGTTCAAAACAGAATATATAATAGAGATGGACACGAAAACAAAATAATAAATCTACTTTTCGTTTTCAGGTTATTGATGTCCCCATTTCCCACAGTGCCTTTCTACTGTTCGCAGCTGTAGCCAACAACATGGACCAAAAACTCCAGGCCAGAGCAGTAGAGAAAGGCTAACCTGCTGTCATGGAGATGGACGCATCCTACATATTATTGAAAGCTGCCAGGAGGGTCACACTGAAGGAGGAAGATATGACTGTAGAAAAAATGACCAGAGCTTTTTTACAACATAAAATTTTGGCAGGGGAACCGCTCTGTCGCATCTTTCACCATGGTAACTGTCGCTGAGGATCATGGGAAGGCCAGTGTAGCCTCCATGTACGTATGCTCAAAACAGGCGCACTCAAAATCAATAGTTGTAAATAAAGGTCCTTACACACCACCACCAGCTTACGAGCTAAAGTTACTTAGCACAGATGAAAGTTAAAACAAAGACGTTTGGCAAAATGTTAAAGCACAAAAAATATCGTCATATGAGAAATCCAATACTATGACTCTCCACAAGTTGTCCTTCAGGTCGTTATCTTTGTAATGTTTGTGTTTTTTATCAAAAAGCACTCTGTTCACTGACACGTAAACAATCAGCCGGTTGGCCATGTTGGATATACCGGTGAATCAGACGTTGCAACAACACGCAATCTGATTGGTCAGAAGTGGACACACAGTATGCGAAAATTTAGAAAAATAGACCATGATCCGAAAAAATGCCGCAATATTGCAGAACGGGAAAACGTTGCTGTTGTGAACACTAGTATTGACAGGATACAGGTTTTTAAAAAAATATTGCCGTCCGAAATAATCGCACGTAAAAAACGGTCCCGGTGTGAAAGGACCTTAAGATTTATTCTTTGGTTTTCATTTCCTTCTCTATTATATATTCTGTTTTGAGCTGAAAATACAAAAACAAACACTAATTTGTCATTTTTTGGTTATACAGATAAACAAATAAACAAAATATTGACTTGTTTTTTTTTTTTTTTTTTGTTCATTAGCTTGTATGGAATAATTGAATGGACGGATAATACATGGACCCTACAGGCATATCTTCATGAATCATAAGTGTGTGTGTGTGCAATGGTGCACCATGGCATGTATGGGGTGCCCTTTCATTCTGCCCCCACGGCCCTTAAACAGCATGGGTACGCCACTGGATGGGAGATGAACTTAATTTTTTAGCTCTTTGTTTTGAACAGTCAAGAAGGAGGGTGTCACTGGTTGACTCACGGTCAGAAACTTTGTTCTAAGTTTCTACATTACATTAAGTGTATAATCAAATTTCACGGGACTCTCTGTCATACAATCAGATAAGCTCTGAGTTCAGACGCCTTACTGTTTTGTCAAAAAAAACTAACTTGCGTTCATAAATCTCGTTTTAACTTGTTTTTCTCTTTCCTTCAGGCACATGACCCTCCTGCCCCGAGCGTGCAACCTGACGCTAAAAGCATGTTATCCAATTAGCAGCGTTAGAGGAGGGGTCGTCCTTGGCACGGCAATTTGCCAATTAGAGAGAACAGGTGAATTAGCTCTCCTACTTAGCGCCATGTAAACGGAACAGTCGTGTCTTTGCTAAAGTAAGACAACACTGTGAGTCGTGAAAAAAAAAGACCAGAGTGAAAAAGACAAACATGCACGCTTTGGTGAACGCCTTCATGCGCTGTCTCTCCTTCCTCCTGCCTCCCTCCTGGCTTTGTGTCAGCTTTTGCTTGTGGGCTGGGAATGAGTACGAAGAGACGCTGCCGCGGTCCAATCCCAGAGCTCGTTTCAAAAGCAGAAAGCCTCTTACATATGAGGAAGTAGCAGCCGTAGCAGCAGCAGCAGCAGCATTAGAAGCCCGAGGAGGCTCCAGACCGTCGGTCTCTCCAGGTCCAGGCTGCGTCTCGCTGGCTGCTAAAACCCCCGCTACTCCTCAGGGCCCTCGTTTGGGTCGGAACTGGATCGGGGGTCTCTGGCGAGCCGTGGAGCGCGTCCTCGGAGCCCCCTTGGTCCTTCTCCGCCATCACTGGTGCCCTAAGAAGCATCGAGCAGCTTTACGCACCCCGTATCCTGTCTGTGCCCTCGACTCGAGCAAGATTAAAAGCTTCCAGGGAGGCGCTGCTGCTGCTGCAACCGAGGAAGGGAAGCGTGCGGCCGGAGGAAGCACCTTGATTTATCCGGGGAACATGAGCGGGTCCGTGGGGATCCCCGATCCGAGCTTGACGGAGTGCGCCTCGGTTGCGTCAGCGGAGCAGGGCATCGATGAGGTAATCACCGTGGACCAGCACACGCAAGAGATGGGGACGGTGACGATAACAGTGGCCATTCAAGCGGCAGAGGACGAGGAACCCGAGGAAGTGTCACCCAATAACATCGATTTCCTCGGAGGGAGCTGTAGCGAGGACGAAATCGGGAGACATGACAAATCAAGGTTTGACTTTTTAATTCCCATTTAGCTAATTATCTTTAACTCTTGACAACACGGCAGCTTAACTCCCAAACTGGGTCAGCTGCATCATTAATAAGTTAAAGGATTGTTTCTTTGCCTCGTAAGACCTCACACCATTCAAGTCTGTTCGTCTGATGTCTGAATGATGAAATAAAAACCCTCTGAGAGGCAGACTCGGTTCGAGAAAAGTTCGAGATTGAATGAAACGTGTTGCTCTTTGTGCCAAGGTAAAAGAAACCTTGTGCCCTCGTGTTTTCGCCTCTTGTTTAATCCAGCACTGATTCAGGATTTCAGATGGAGGACTGCCAGCATGTGAGCAGCGTGGGTACAGGTAGGTTATTCAGCTTGAGTGAAAGAATGCCTGTGGAGTATCGAGATACTGTACAAATAAAGCTCTAATCCCAACAGGTGTAGCCTCTCACAGTGACAACAAAAGCCAGTCAACAACATCACAATGTGCCATGAGGACAAAAGCTGCCCACAATTGTGAGTGCAAATCCTCCCATGACATAAAAGCTGTGGGTTATTATTAGCCTGTCTCCTGCAGACAGACGGAGAAGTGTTGAACCACCTGTGGGCAGCATTGGTGCTGTAGCAGCACACACACCTGAGCAAGGAAGAGGGAGGGCCACATAGAGGGAGGATGGCACCTTCACTTTAATCTAATTCCCCTGCGTCATGCTCTGCTATTTTTATCCCCTGGCCCATAAGTTGCCGTCTGAGAGCGTGCGCAAAGAGTGAGTCAGAAAGGCCAGAGGGGAGAATAAATCGTTCTGTCCAAGTCAAACATTTGCCTGTAGGTCACACCTTATTGTTTCTCAGAGTGTCTGTAACACCTGTGCACTCCAGTGCCGTGTGCCTCCAACATCAGACAGAGAGCATGCATGAAACTTGTGGTAAAAGTTGCAGTTACCTCTTTCTGCTGCTGTTTCATTTCTGCAAACTTTACTCAGGGACTTCCAGGAATATTGTATGGTGACTTGAAACAAAGGCATTCTTCATACCATTCCCATACTGTTTTCTTTAATCCAGAGTTATTAAATAATCTGGAGTGAGCGATAAGATACTCTCCTAAAATCACCTCTCAAGCAGAGGGCTCTACAAGACAGCTGAGATGCACGTGCATTCGTTAAATTTGACCAGTATTCCTTCAGCGCTGAAGTGTGACCTGAAATTGAACTCGCAGCTTATTAGAAATGTTCCCTCTCATTTTTTTTCTGCTTTGTTTTCCTCATTCATTCACATTTTAAAACTCTCCTGTGTGTTGTCAGTCTTGTTATTTTGTCCTTAAAGCTCCCCTCCTGGCTGTCTTTATGCAGAGCCCAATGGAAGCAGTGGGCTCGTGCCAGCTGTGCGGTCAGCGTGCTGGAAAGCTGTTGACTGAGTGTGTGTGTGAGGGAGAGAGAGAGGGAGGGAGGAGGTGATGAGTCATCCACAAAATTTCATTCAGACCCTCTTTCTAATCTTCGGACTACCTGACTGTGCAGCTCTGCAGCTCCTCCCTGGCGTCTGACGGGGATCAAACAGAGCCTGAAAGCTTTGACAATACAGTTCAGGCAGCAGTGTCTGTGTAGATTGTGTGAACTAGATTTTGGTGCCACCATATTCTGTGTGGGAGGGCGAGCCTGTGACTTGCTGCCCTTCAGATGGAGAGGTCTTGGCAGGGTCAGGGTTGGTGGGACACTGTGGCATGGAGGTTTGGCCCTCAGGCCCGATGACTGTGGCTGAAGACTCAGCCTGTCAGCTGCTGCGAGGAGAATTGTAGAATGAAATGGCTGTATGTCAATGTAGTCATGCCAACAGTTTGTAATCCTCTGGTTTATTGTATTAATGAAAGCCAAATGTGTAACAGTTGTAATGTTGGCAGTTTCGGATATGAAGCATTCTGCTGTTTTTAGTGGTGGACTAGAGTCTCTGACCACGATGAATGTTTTCTTCCCACACACAGTGGAGCCGGGACGAGTGGAGGGGAGCTGGAGGAGGAGAGCTGGCAGCCCCCGGATCAAGAGCTCATCCAGAAACTGGTCGCTCAGATCGAGTACTACCTTTCTGATGAAAACCTGGAGCACGACGCCTTCCTGCTGAAACACGTCAGACGGAACAAACTCGGCTTCGTCAGCGTCAAGCTGCTCACTTCATTCAAAAAGGTAATCAGACGAACGCCCCTGTTTAAGCAGATATCCTGCTCTGTAATTAGAAGTATCCTTTGTCCTGGAATCATGGTTTTATTAATGTCCCAGTGAAGGGTAAAAACGCTGCAAACGTGAATATTAATGGCTGTCAGTTTTTAGTGTCAACATGACTAGCTGTTGGCGGTTTAATGAGATTCTCACACTGATTCACAGCAGCTGGTGCCACTTTGGACTCATACATTCAGATTTGTTGGGTTGTTTTTTATCTGTTTATGCCACAAGTAAATCGAATCGCCTCACACACATTTATTATAAATACAAACAAGGACTCAAATGTGGGATTGAGGACAGTGAGGTGATACATTTTGAACATGAGTAAATTTATACAGTGATGAACTGATTAATGCAGTGACAGCAGGATGTTTGAGTGTGAATCTGCGATAATGTAGTCAGTTTAGGAACTGATTCAGAGTATCGTATGTACAAGATGTTACACATTGCTGATTATCACTGTGGTCTGGCTCCAGTTATTGGTTAAAGCTTCATGACTCTCAGTTTGAACCTAATGGCTCTAAGCTGGTCCTCTCGAACCACTTAACATCTCACCCCCGTAACAAAATCATCTGTTTCCTGCAGGTGAAACACTTGACTCGTGACTGGAGAACGACTGCTTACGCTCTGAGACACTCAAAGATCCTCGAGTTGAACGATGAGGGCCGTAAAGTGCGGCGTAAATCTGCAGTGCCGGTCTTTGCCAGTGAGTCGCTGCCTAGCCGCATGCTCCTGCTGAGTGATCTGCAGAGGTGGCCGGAGCTGGCTGCTCTCACCAAGGATAATGGAGGCAGTGAAGGTGGAGCCACTCAGCAGGAGCAGCTGATGAAGCTGCTGCTAAAAGCATTTGGGACGTATGGTGCCATCTCTTCCGTCAGGGTCCTGAAACCCGGAAAAGACCTGCCAGCGGACCTGAAGAGGCTGAGCAGCCGCTACACTCAGCTGGGGACTGAGGAGTGTGCCATTGTAGAGTTTGAGGAAGTGGAAGCTGCTGTCAAAGCCAATGAAGCTGTGGGGAATGAGGATGGAGGGGCCAGTCCTCTGGGGTTGAAGGTAGTCCTGATTGGTACCAAGCCACCCAAGAAAAAGGTGCCCAAAGAGCGACCACGTGAGGAAGGAGGGATGCGCAAAAGTCGCTCGCTCAACAGCAGAGTACGAGAGCTGCAGTATCACGGGGACGACTCGGCCTGCAGTTCCTCAGAGACTGAGAGCAACCCCACATCTCCAAGGCTGGCCAGGAAGTCACAGTCCTGCAACAAGCTGAGCCCCACCACTGCAGGCATCAACTTCCAGAACAATCATCTGAGTCCTGGTATGTCCCCGCGAAACAGCCCCTGGTCCAGCCCCCGTGCCAGCCCCTGCCCTCAGCGCAAATCTCCCCACCCCCATAAGTCACCTTTAGCCAGCGAGGGCAGGCTGAGCCCAGAACCCGGCCGCCGCTGGGCAGACTACTCCTCAGACAGTAGCCTCACCCCTTCAGGGAGCCCGTGGGTCCAGCGGCGTAAGCAGGTGGCGTCTCAGGAGAGCAGCCCGGTAGGCAGCCCCATGCTGGGTAGAAAGATCCAGAACGCAGACGGTCTACCACCGGGCGTCATGAGGCTGCCGAGGGGTCCTGATGGGACCCGTGGCTTTCACTGTGTCACTGTGGGCGAGAGGGGGAAAACTGCTGCCACTCAGACTTGATTTGTGGAGCACTCTTATGCAGTCCCCAGAAGTGTAGTGATGGATTGGTTACTTGAGCTGTGCTTGGCTTGTCGCTCAGCCCCCACCCAGCGTTTGAGACTGTGTAGAAATATTTTTGTTGAGTGCATCAGTTTTCGGTCTTTGTTATATTTTTATACAATGTTTTTCAGTTACCATGGTAACATTAGTGGTTTACCAATGGAAATTTGAGTGAATGTAAGTTGATACTGCTTTGAAATGGACCATTTATGTCTAATCTTGTCCTAAACGGGGCTGGCTGGAGAGGGATTGCCACTTTTATTTGAACTGAAAAGTGTCCTCTGTCTTGTGTGTAAGAGCTCACATCTTTTGTCTGTCTGTCTCAGTGGTTGGTGTGTAAATGTGTTTGTGGTGTAAATGGCACATGGACTTGATAGAGATATCACCATATGCCTTCTCTGTGTTTGTCTACTGTGAGTTTCATTTTTACATACAAACTATTTAAACTGAGGCCATAATCGCTCCACTGCCATAAAGGTTAGATGGTCAAACTTGGACATGGTGTTAGTTTATATTTTGCCTTTTTTAATTTCAGTATTTTCAATATGCTTTGGCACTTTGTTGGGAGGGGTCTCTTTAGCCCTGTAAATGTTTATTTGTTTGGCAGATATCTGCTTTATTTATTTTTTAGCTTTATTCTTTTTTTTTCTCTCGGCGTATCTGTTTCCATCAGTCTGCGTCACAGTGAGGTTTGAGGGATCAGGTCAGGCAGAGTGAGTGCTCCAATGTTCTTGCCTTTACATTTGAGCTGGGGTATTTGTACAGTGCAATTCTTATTGTACAAATAAATCACTGAAAATGCAATCTGCCTGAGTCCTTTTTTTGTCTGTGACACATTTTTGGTGGTCGTGGTGGTTTGAAACAACCTCAGACCGGTTTTATTTTCTGTTTCAGTATGTAAGCAGAAGTGAAGTGAGATTGTATTGTTTTGCCAATACTGCAGGAGCTTTCCAGACTTGCAGAGCCGAGCTGGCACAGGTTTTCCATTTTGAAAAGGATGGCACAGATGGGAGGATGAGAAGAAGGAGTTGATGGATTAGAAGCTCTATCAGCCATCAACGAGGAAGATAAAATTGACAAAACGGCAGTAGAGACTAGTTGCATGAGTGATTGTGCACATTGCTTGTACTTTAGTATATGTTAAGGGATGATTATTTTTGACACTGATGAACAAGAAAACTACCATTGCTAATATTTGACAAATTTTCCCATTAATTCAAACCCATGGGATTCAGCTTTTTCAATTGGTGTGTCAGAGAAGCACTTGTTCAAAGTCTTAATCTGGTTGGATTTTCTCCATAAAAACTCTCCACTCTGTCAAATTGCATGGAGACAAAATTTAAATTAAAGTCTCATCACTTTCTGGATTGACTTTTAAGCTCCAAATTGGACATTTTAAATTGCTGTTTTGTAGCACACCCCTGTCTAGCTTTGACATTATGGTTTTGATTGTTGTCTCCCTGGAGAATAGTCTCCCACAGTCCTCCTGCAGACAGTTTCTCACCATGATTTGTCTGTATTTTCTTGTGCTTATTTGAACCTCTCCTTTTATAGTCCTGCCAGGACCTGCTGCAGAGAAGCATCCCCACAGCATGAAGCCGCCACCAGTTCCACAAAGCTTCATGCTGGGGATTCAGAGTGCCTGTTCATATGCTTGCCTCTCAGAGAAAGTCAGGTTTTAGGAAAGAGATTTAGTTTTCGATAAATGTCTACAATCTTCTCAGGATCAGACCAGCTATCAAACATTTAAAAAACAGATGATTTGATTTCAAAATCACCTATTTCTTAAAAGCACACACACACACACACACACACACACACACAGATGTCTCAATTTCCACTGATAAGAAGCCTTAATAACATTGCTGGCAGCAGTTTTGGTTTATTCCAATTGGAGGGATATGAGCACTTATGCATTCAATCAATTTTCCTTTTAAATTGTCCTTTATTTAGATTTCATTGTCGAGCTTTGTTTTATTTTGAAATGAAAATCTGGACATGATGATAATTACTCCTGTGTGATTCAGTGTTTCATAATAAAACACAATTACAAAGTCCAAGAGTGGTGCAGCTGTATTGGCAGGTAATTTCTGTCCTATCCTCAGATCATTTCTCCAGGACCACACACTCACACACATGTAGTTGGATGTGTGTTGAGTGTTTAGACTTTTGAATTGGTGTGGTTGTAGCACTCTGTTTATCCACTTTATTTTGGAGAGGTTATCTCCTGTAGGAGTGAACATAATGGGAGGACACAATTTGCCCGGCAGCTCTGAAAACAGAGGGTCAGAAACGATGATCCCAAAATCTGCTCTGCAAATGGACTCTAAGAGGGATTGCATAAGAGGGCTGAATAAACTTTTGTTCTCCTTTTCAATGATTTGCAGTTCTGCATCAGGAAGTCGTGACACTATCCTTTTTTTTTTGACTGACAATATTTTGGCTGAACTCCAAATTACTGTTCTTTCAAATACTGAGAATAAAGAAAAAAATTAAACTATTATCCTTGAAAGATTAAGTTCTCGATAATTACAGTTAGGGGTGGTTTCAAACACAGATAATGAGGAGGACAAAAAGAGACAGTGATGATAGCCTAACCACAAACCACAATAGCCATTATTTCTGATTGGTCTGCGGCCTTCAATAGATGAATAAGTTACTTAATGCGGCAATTTAGTTATTTTCTCCAGACCTGTTTGTCCACGACATACAGTAATTACTGAGATGTTATATCAGACTGAATTTAGGACTTTCTAAAGGACCCTCCTTTTTTAAATGTTTGTGTCATTTTGTCTAAGGCTGCTGTGACAAACTTTTGCTTTGTGTGGACTTTGGTGCTCCTGTCTGTGCACAAGGATGGCTATCCTGTCTCTTTACTGATTTTGTCCTGTACATGCCTGCAGCTCTTAAACTTTCAAATGTGTCTCTCACTTACTCATCCGGTATGACACCTACCCCTACACAGAGGTTTAGGTATTAAAATTTGCAAAATATAAAATTTCAATCATGTGCTGTTTGCTGGCCTTGCTGTCCTGTTTTCTCCTGTAGGTCATAAAAGAAGTATCACTTCTGGATGTTACATATTTCACCACCTGTTAATACTCCTCAAAGGGGCTTCAGGTGAACCAGCATCATCATATCATACCTACAAAACATAGATTGCAGTAAATGTATATTTTTACCAAGCTTTGAATTCTGATAACAAGGTACAAGAACAGTGTTCTGGCAGAACTTTTTGTCCCTCAAGAGCTCCCTTATAAATAAGTATGAGCTCACCATGTATCCAATGACAACATTAAGAACTCCAAATCCACAACATTTGGGACGTTTTGACATATTGACCAATTGCAAAATTTTTACATCTTACGTTTAATGGAAATTTGTGTAAAGGAAACATCAAATGTTAAAAAAATATTTCTGGTTGAGAGAAAAAAGGTGAGCGCTGCACAGGGTCAAGAAAAACAAAGTAAAGTTATGTTGTAATGGGGGGATCGGGCATTCTCCACAGCTGCCCCTACCCCCTGGAACTCCCTACCACCCTACATCAGACACTGCCCTGACCCCACTACCTTCAAATCGCTTTTAAAAACTCACTTATTTAAAATTGCTATTAATATTAAACTATTTTATTTGACTGTTTTCATGTCTCTGTTTTATTATCTTGGGTTTTACGTTCTATGTAAAGCGTCTTTGAGTGTTTTTAAAAGCGCTGTAAAAAATAAAAGGAATTATTATAATTATTATTATTAATCAGTTGCTCTCAGGATGAGGGACAAATAGTCAGATTTAAAGACAATTATCTATTTTCATACTGTCTAGGTTATTTTCAAATAAAGTTTGTTGTGAAAAATCCTAGTGTAAACTAAAAAACTGTTCCAGATTCTTCATTAGGACAAGACATAGCCAATAGAAAACTGTTGTTTAAATATACTTAGTGACACACATAGCACACAACACACAAAAAGGCAGTCTGAAAACATCAATAACTACTTGTAGAAAATACAAAGGGACAAGCAGAAGCACACTTTTGTTTATAAAAATGTCAGAAATAGTCTAAACCTCTACAGGGCTAACTTGATCTCCACAGCATGACATCGAAAAACCTTAGGGTAAATTTTCCCTGATGTATTCGTTAAACCCAAGGTGTTTGATATCATGCTGTAGTGATCAGAAGTGGACCTCTCTATTTCTTGACTTACAGATGTATGTACAGGTATGTTTACTTGTGCCAGGATTTTTTATTTTTTTTTGTAAAAAGATGATGTTCATGTACTCGTCCCTTTCTGTTCTCTACAATGACTTATCAGTGTTTTTAGATAGCCTTTTTGTGCGTTATGTAATTTCTGTTGTCTTGGATTTAAAGTAAAAATAAAGGAAAATTAAAATCTCTCAACTGATGGGGTCAATTTGCAGCAGGTTAGTGTAGAAGATGTTCACCTCTTTGTATGAGGCTGTGTGAGTAAATGTAATTTAATGTAAAATTGTAAAGAATTCTGGGATTTCAGCTGTACAAAATGTCATGAAAAAAATCAGAAAATCCTGAGAGATGTCTAAACTAAAGAGATAAAGCAAAAAAAAAAAATCAGTACTGGATGGCTGTGATTTTTGGACCCTCAGAGGACACTACATTGAAAACAGACAACAGGAAATTGCTGCACAGGGTCAAAATCATTTTCAAAACCAGTTTTCTGTAAATACAGCTTTCCACTGCATCCACAAATGAAGGTTAAAACTGAACCATGCAAACAGGGAAACCACATGATTCTGCAATTTCTCTTTGCTCCGGCCCATTTGAGATGAAGTGAGGCAAAGTGGAAAACTGTGTGACAAATCAGAATTTAACATTCTTTACTTCTTAGAAACCTTATGTGCCATATCTATATTTAAAAGATGAGCAGGGCCACCTGGTTTTTGAAAAAGTTCAACCCCAACAGCTGTCCCAAAAGTTTTGAAACAGCGCCAGGATCAAATTTTAAATGAGCATGTTCTCTTCATAAAACAGTGGCATTTTCTATGTTCTACTTGGTTGTCTTAGCATGATTTGTAAACCATTAAATTCTGTTTTATCCACATTTTTCTCAAAGACCCAACTGTTTTATGATTGGGGTTCTGTATCCAAACTGTAAATAGCCCCATCACACATAAATCTATTTAAAAAGCATGTGCAAGTAAGTATTAAACTTGTTGCATCAACTCCAGTGAGTATACTCTGTCAGCCCAGCTGGCAACTCAAAGCAGGGTACAATAGAAGTACATTTTGATGGTGTTTAAACCTACAGCATGTCAAACTGCAGTACATTGGAGTATTTGATGGTAAATACCAATAGCTTGTACACCCAGGATTACAGCGCCTTCTGTCAATATGTCAGCTGTCAACAATTGAATGACATGTTTTCAGAAGGTGGAAATAATGACTTCTTACAGGATATAGGTGAGCATTAAATATCCTCTTTAACTCAGAGCATATGACAAACACTTGCATCAGTCAGTGGGAGGGAGCTGAAGTGCCTGTGAGTGGGTGGTGTCAAAGTTGAGGAACTAGAATTAGGGTGGAGTAAATTTACAAGAGTCTCAGCAGAGCAGCCAATTGGAAAAGTCGACACAAATACGAGAACTTACTAGGAAGGAAATGACTTTTTTTTCCCCAGTCACTTTTACTCGCCCTCTTCTTATATAACATGAACTCAGATATTTCTACTGAGCATTCATGGTGAACTTTCTCTGTTGTGAATATGTGTAACTAATAAAACAATGATTCTGTCCCTTGCTGTGGCTCAGTCGCTCTGTCTGCCTTGCTCTAAAGCCCTTTCACCAGTCTTACAGAAAGCAGAACTCCTAAGCTGCTTGTTACCCCCATGTTGACCCCATCATCTGCCTCAGGCCTGTGGGTGACAAAGGCCTCTGGCACCACTCTCTGGGTTAAATATGAGAGAAAGTACACACATCTGTGAGAATGACCTGACTAATAACAGAGCTCCTACTTCCTGTTAGAGGCTGCAAGAAGATCAGTGTTCAAGCAGATGGTTTGAACCCTTCGAAAGCAAGCATCTGTCTACAACATGACCCCTATTTTGAGATGATGCTTAGTAATGGAGCTGCGGTACATAAGCAGGACTTGACAAATGTGTATAATTCACAATTTTATTTACATAACTTAGATGTAATTTAAATAAAAAATGGCATTTACAGTGTTTGTACAAAATAAAAATGACCTCACTCTAAAGCACAAAACAGATTTACATGCAGTGAGAGGTGAGCCCAAATGTGCCACTCAGTCTCAAGCACACATCTTAAAGTGAGAGTGTTTTTTTTTACAATGTGTCAAATGAAAATGAGTGAGCGGGAAACGTACAGGATACTCCTCAAACCTCAACACAGGAAAACACAAGTACAAACAGTATGTAAGTGTAAACCATTTTGGAGAGTTACGATCTTTATCATTCAAAGAAATACATTGTTGAACTATTATCTGTGTTTTTCAAAATAGGAACAACTTACTGAAGTGCAAAATGAGGATAACATTGTTTCCTCTGCGTATCCTTTTGCTCTCTGACAGTTTTGGATACAGTCTGAACTAACAGTAGCTCTTATGAACATATTTACACAACTTATAAACTTCACAACTCATGCTGCACGGTCTAATCAATTCAAGCTTCTGAATGGAATCCTTTGTATAACCTCAAAGGGAGCATTATACTTAGAGTTGTGACCTTCTCTGTTGGCTCATTTCAGAAAGCTTGTAGAATGACTGTTAAATTTATGACCATAACACCTATCAGCTGTCAATTACAGCAGAACATGTTCCCCTCTGCATATTCATGCTTTCCCTCAGGACACTCATATAAGCTTTCAGCAGGTCTATTGTGTATGTTGTCAACATAAAAAGCTCTGTACCCATGGTTACCATCTGACCCCCCTCGGATGCATTTACCTTGCAATGAGGGAGGAGCATCAGGCAGCTCCTAGGTGACAGGATGTCTGTGAAAGCACAGCTCCACAGGAAACCAGACTTATCTATGTGTATATCAGCATGACACAGTCCAACCAGCAGTTTAGTCAAACCAACAAATAGATGTAATTACTGGTTTCTCATCCTCCTGCACAACTTCATCTGCAGGAGATGGACGCAGAATGATTGGGATCGATCTGATGACTGTGTGGGTAGAGACGGCATTGGTGAGATGAGGAAAACACTTCCTGCTTGTTAGCAGATGGGCTGAAGACGTGATGCACAGCAAATTTGGGCAGGCAGACGTGCTAAGAACACGGCATCTCAGATCTTCGGTCTTCGAGAGTGAAGCGGTGCGAAGCGGAAGAGGCACAAACCAGCTGGCTACATCTCCAGATTCTTACTTCAGATGTAGAGAGAACCGTCTGCAGGTCCCACATAACCAACTCCTATCAGGAGAACATCGATCAAAGTCCAGATGCCAAGGCCTCCAAAGCTGAACAGTTTGCCCAGACCCTCTCTCCACTGGCCCAAATAAAACCGGTCCGCCCCGAAACCACCAAGGGTAATGCTTCAGAGAGACATGTAGAGTCAAAAATACTGTAAGTAACTCCAAAATCTATTGAAGCAGATAGTTCTCAACTTCTGAACAGATAAAAACTTCAAAGATAATAGTATGAGGAGTTACCTTAGAGCTAAAGCTGTTGACCATTTGTATCCTCCCGTCCAGTTACAAAACAAGCGTTTCTGAAAACGTCTTCTACCTACAAAAAAAGCAGACATTCAGCGGACAAAGACAGTTCACTCTCTCATGACCCTTTCCCAATGAATTGAAGCAAACTCAAACTACATCTTTAGAAGAAAACACATTTCCCTTAACATGAGCACACAGTATGTATTCAAGAAAACAGATTAAAAACAGTGACTGTGAACTAATTATGATTTTGATTTCATTTCAATGTGATAAACTAGATTGTGTTATAGTGAAAAAAAGAAAAGCTTTGACAGGATGAAAAAATGCTGTTCAACGTCCCAAAAGCTTTCTGTCAACAGGACTGACTGTGACCTCACTGATAGCAAAGAAACCCATCAGGTTTTGCAGCAAGTCTCTATCTTACCTAGACAATGAACATGGTCCAACACGTCACAGGTGGCGTTGTAGCGTTTGCGTGGGCAGGACACTGTCATACAGTTGGTTGAGTTCGAGCAGCGATACTGGGACTCATCCAGCTGCCAACAGAACTGACAGCTGATGGAGAGAGAAAAGTTGGTCTGCTGCTGCCCCGACTCTCCCTACAAATACAAAAACATCAGATCATTACTACACAGCTGTTCCAAAATTAAAGCACCACAGGTGTTCTGCTAATTCCATCATAACACACTTATTTGTCTGGAGAACTTAATTCAAAAACACTGAAGTGACTTACAGCAGACTGACACGAACTTTTACAATGAGCCAGATGAGGTAGAAACATCAACGATCAAATCTACAGCCTTCATTCCTCTGTATCAGAGAATAAACAGCTACTCACCACACAGTGAACTCCTTTTTTAGGTTTACAGGGGAAGGTAGCTGGTTTCCTATAGGTACAGTTGTGGTGGTAAATGCACTGAACGCAATCAGCTGGCAGACGACTACACAAACCCCCACTGGGACACTTGGACGTGTAGCTCTCTTCATCAGCAGGAGACACTGAGAAACACGAAACGTACTTATAAAGAAAAGGAGGCTGCAGGGGGTAAATGTCAACCAATCACAATCGGCAAAAATACCATCAAAGGGCGCTCAAGGATGCTGTTTTTGATTGCTCTGTTATGAGGCTTGATAGCCAGCACAAGAAAACGATTGTTGCACTGTCAAAAAGTCACCAGCTCTCACAACCCAAGAGAACTTTTTCTTTAGTAGGACAAAAAACAGATTATTTTCTTAGCTCAAATACTCTTCGATGGACAAAAGGAAGTTTGTTACAATATGTATGAATCCTTTAGTTACTGCTTAGTGGCACACAGCATGCACAAATTAAGTTGGATGTAATTGACTGTTTAATATCATGACTGGTCAAGATATTCAAATTTGGATTTTTAAATCTCAAGCTGTTCAAGAAGAATCCCTTTCCATATTGGGGCAGGCAATATCTTCACAAGGACAATGATCTGAGGGCTATGAACTTCATTTCCAGTTTTAATATTTATTTCTATTTATTCATTCAATTTCATTTTTTATTGAATTTAAATTTAGAAGTCCTGACACTGAGGTTAAGTAGCACAGAAGAGAACATGTTTATCGTCATTACACAGTCAGTGTCGCTTCTTTCTTACACAAAAACATGTTTGCACAAGTTGTTGCAAGAGGCTGACCATTGAGTAGGAGCAATATTGCCAAGGAAATGAAAATCCACTTTTTGTTACACAGACTTAACCTGGGAGTCACACCTGAGTATATCAACGGTTGCCTGGTTGTATGTGACGAGCCATTGCAGCTAATACATTTGTTTATTTTTGAGGAAGATGACATTGTCCACAATCAGCTAATCTGTTTACTCTGTCTGTTCCTCTTACTGCTGTTCACCACGACAGACACACATACACACCGTGATGACACACACTCTTTGTGTACTCCTCTCTGCAAACAAGAGTTTTTGGAGCTCGTGTTTAATGTCAATTTTAATGATCACCTGTGATAACAAAAAAAAAAAATCATTTAAAGGTAATTTAATGAGCTATATTGCTGAATGAACAAGTCATGGAAAGTAGGGATGTCCCGATCAGAAGTTGATATCGGTCCGATATCGGCAAAAAAAAAAAATAATAATAATAATATCGGGTTATATCGGCCTGCATCTAGATTCATTTAATAAAACAGGACTCTTGCTTTTGCTGTTGTGTTCAGTGTGGTGCTTGGTTTTAAGCAAAAGCCTGATGAAAATCTGCTAGTGCATGATTTGATAGATCTTCGTAGATACGATGGATCAAACAGGTAATGGGCAGGTGAGGTGTATCTTTGTTTACCTGAGGCTGCAGCGGGGACCACAGGGCTGGTGATGACAGGCCCATGCTGGGCATCTCTGGTGTAGTGAGGCTCCTGACCAATATGAGGGGAGCTCAGATACCCTGGAAAGCAAACCAAGCAAGCATGAGTGTTGTAAGACTCAAGCTGAGTCATCTATTTGATATTAGCACATTAATAAACACAACTGAGCTACATGGGTAAACAACGTTTAGGCTTCGCACTAATGTTATCTGTACGTACGCTTATACCAAGCACTAACTACTACTGGCTGTCTATTTACATTAAAAATCTATAAAACGTCTAGCTTCTCAAAGTTTAAACCAACACTGCACGCTGTTTTCATCGCTAACAACTGGATGCTCTTGTGTTAGCTTGTTAGCTAACAGCAAACGCTAACTCCTCAAGGAAGCTAGTTTGAGTAGGATAACGATTAACAGCTCAACAACAAAGCGACAAAGACAAAAAAACAGCGGCAAATACACAACAGCCTCCGTCAACATACCATGAACACACTGTAAAACCAGGTCCATGAACAAAACGGTGATAATTCCATAGGTTTTGAGACATCGTCCTCGGTCTGGTCTCCATGTATGACAGCTAGCAGCCATTGTTGCAGTGAACTAACGCTATGTTCAAGTCCTGTGGGAAAACAAAGATTTATCAATAATTCTCTGCAAGTCTTCGACAAGAAGAGGCACTCAATCCAGGCATTTGGTTAGTATTTGTCTAAAGTATATCTAAACTAAATGCGATGGGATATAAAAATATACTTCCGATTTCGAATATCAACTGTTAAATTTACGGTTTTAACTTTACACTGTCAAATAGCACAGTAACGCACACACACACACACACACACACACACACACACACACACACACACACACACACACACACACACACACACACACACACACACACACACACACACACACACACACACACACACATTAGTGAAGTGTTGACAAAACTGGAAAAAACTGCATTGATAAAGAGGGGTTTTAGTCCCCTAATAATGAACTCTACCGAAGTAGCAAAACTTCCGAGTCGGACATGAAACTTCCTCGTCCTCATGTTACCACGCCCATCACGCTCCGCCCACAACAACCCTGTGATTTACAGTTTCACAAATCCCGTGAACATCTCAACAAAATTTAGTGCTGGTTTTGCGTCGTCTAAAATCTTAAATTTATTTTCTTTGAATATTGTTTATCAAACTAACATTTGTCTTAGGAGCAGAGCACTCATGTAGGAGAGGGACATGACAGAAATAAGTTTCCCTTTCAGAAGGGTTGACTTCCTAATTTGACCAGTGCACTGACTGAAAACGTGACCCCAGAAACCTCAGTGGTGAAAAGGGTCATCAGCAAATAAAAGATTACATATTCACAAGTGACAGCTATTCAATTTTCCATACTGCTTTGTCTTGTTTAAGTTCAGTCACTGAATTTATAGAGTTCCATTTTATTTTAAACTCCTGTGAGAAGTTTTAACTTTATGGAATAGACTGAAACTCAAAATCAAACAAGACTATAGGTTGCAATATTGACTATATCCACACTGTAATTTTTGATGCCTTAAAACCTGCTCGAGGAGGTAGTCAGTGGAACAGCAAAAGCAAGAGGTTTGTTTTTCACACTTTTCACACTTAACATTCAAAAATGTACATTCACATCATCATGATTTCCTTTAAGAGCATGAGAACCATAAGAAATAAATTTTTTAGGAGAATAAGTTATGTGTGTGCTGTTTGAAAACTTTAAGAATTACATAAAGCATGGGTTCCTACAGCTTAACTAGTGAACTAGTTTATTTAATCTCTTTTGGCGTTCCTGGTTTTCTCTGTGAAGAAAAACCTCTACAGAGTATTCCTACTACCCATGTCTTGTAAAAAAAAAAACTTCCAATTTTAACAAATGAAGAAAATACCAGAATAAAAACATCAAATTCAGTATTTTTTTTTATTTCTGGGGATCCCCATAAAGACAGATATTTGTGAAAAATCAGTGCCAGATTCAGATAACCTTCATTATGGCAAAAATCACATTATTTTAACATAATTTACTACTTCGACCACAGATATAAACCTGCCATTTTCTTCCTTCATTTCATAATCTAATGGGTATCTCAGCATTGTTTGGCATCCTCGTTCATTACAACCTTTCATCACAATTAAATTATTAACTGTGTGATTTCTGCTTTGTGTTTAACACTTTCACTACACCATCTTCCTCACTCCTTCTCTTGTTTTTCACATCATCCATCAGCAGTTGAGGTATTCGTATTGAAGAGTCTGGATTGTTCTTTGTCTTGATCAGAACTCCTCCTCTGCGTTTCGACAGCGGGATTGTTTGAGCAGGGTCAGGCGAGCCAGCACCTCGGCCACCGACAGCTCTCCGTGGACTTTGTTGTCCCTCGTGCGCACATTGACGCCGTTAGTCATCTTCTCCTTCTCCCCGACAACTGCCAAGACACACGAGGACACAACAGCTTGACATGGGCAAAGTCACAAAACACATGCACACGTAAGCTGGCCTAACACAGTGCTGGAGGGGGAAAAACAAACTCAACATTCTTAGAGATGCAATCAAACAGTCTACAAATAAACTCTGAATGTGCAAGTGATTAGATGTACTTTCCAAGTGATTGAAGCCCACCAAGAGAGAGTAACTTCAATGTGAAGTGTGGTCAAATGTATAGTTTTCTTACCAAGGATAAAGTTATACTGAGCCAACTGAGCGTTACGGATTTTCTTGTTTAGAAGGCAGCTAGAGTCGAGGTCCGCATCTGCCATGAAACCAGCCTCTGTAAACTGCTTACACACCTGTCAGATGAACAACAATCAATAATCAAGACAAAGATGAGAGGAAGTTTGCCAACAGCTTTTCTTAATGATGAGGCCAAGATGAGGAAATGGACGACAAACCTTCTTGGCATAAACCTCACAGGAGGGGTTGACAGGCACTAACATGATCTGACGAGGAGAGAGCCAAAGAGGCCTGATGGAAAGACAAAAGATGAATACACTGTTTATGTACTGGTACAAAGACAATAACAGAAACACATCCCCCTGAAAAAGAGTACGCACCGGGAGAAATCTTTATGGGTCAAAGTTATTTAAAAAAAAAAATCCAGAAAGGAAAGAGGATATTGTGCTAAGTGTTGTTAAAAATACAGCAATTTGATATTCCAAAAAGATGGTTCTTACTAATAATAACACTAAAATTAGGACTGTTGATGCAAAATACTTGATAACGTCAATGAGCAAATGACAAAAATGACAAAAGCCGGTGATATCAGATTTGTGGATCGTGGGGAACCCTTTCAATTTCATAGCATTTTGGATATAGTTCTGGAAATGATCCTTACCATTAGTGCTGGGCGATATGGAAAAAAATGTATATCACGATATGGATCATTTTATATCACGATAACGATATATATCACGATATAGCTATGGTATGCTTTCAGTTCTATGAAAAATTTAAGTGTATACAGCTGCACTAGTACAGTACCAGTACAAGACCAGCACTTAAAACTAGAAAAATGAATAAACAAATACGTGGCTGAAGTGCGTTCATGTCTGTGCTCACCCAAAGTTATGTAACACTTACAGAAAACGCTGATAGTGTGAGCCGAAGCACTCCATAATAATAATAATAATAATAATACATTTAATTTGTAATGCACTTTACACTTCACACTGCTAGATGTTTCTCCTCCAAAGCTGCTCTCTGCCTCCATCATTGTTTACTTTACTCTTGAAGCACGTAGCAAGACCCGAGCATGAATCCGAGCGCTTTATTCGCCTATCAGGGGCAGACAGGTAAGGTGATTTGATTCGCCACGACTCCAGAAATGATTGAAAAACTACAGAATGTCACAAAATTACGTTTCCTCGCTGCTGGCTTGAAGGGTACAAATGCGCAGCCGCGCTCCCAGCTGACAGGAAGTCAAACCGCTGTTGTAGTTCTTTTGTGTTGCTAGCGCGGTCAAGAGTGTTTACTCTCACTGAGAGATGACTACAAAAATGGACGCACCTGTTCATCTGGTTGTTAAACACGGCTGAAAAAGATCATCTTTTCATGTTGTTCCCGCTCCTGCCCACTCCCGTTGCTTTTTTTCCCGTCCCGTCCCGATCAAGAGATTAATAAAAAAAATGACTCCCATCCCGCGGGAATCACGTGACCCACGGGAATTCCCGAAAAAAGTCATCCTCCACAGGGAAGGTCCCGGAGCAGATGAAACAGGTGCCGGAGCGGCTGAAATAGGTCCCAGATCCGATCAAAAGAGGTCCCGGATCGCGCTCCGACTTGCTCCGGCACAAATTAAGCACTGCTTACAATGATCCCCTCACGTGTGTAACCCAGGTAACCCGCAACGGCGGGAGGCGCTGGACATAAAGAGGGCACGTAAAGCGGCGTCATGTCGCAAAATCGAAAGAGAAATGCAAGCCTACATGTCAACGCATCCTTTTCTTTGTAAGAAAATATTGTTTTCTTTCCCGTTCGACATCAAATACACTTACTGAATGTGCAATTATTGTTGTTGTTACTATGAATCATCTGATGGCACAAGCTCTATGGATTAAATACAACCTATCGCCCGAAACGATAAGAATAAAAATGGCACGATAGACATTTTCTATCGTGCCAACGATATATATCGTCCAATCGCCCAGCACTACTTACCATTTCCCTGCATAGTTCTCTGTGAGAATGGCAATCATCCTCTCCACTGAGCCCAAGATGGCCCGATGAATGATGACTGGCCGGGCTTTGTCATCTCCGTCCTTCCTGCAGGAAGTAACACAAAAGTGATATGTCGGCAAGTGGTGTAACAACCTCTACCAATTCAGCGTATAAATATTCAAACCTCCCTGAATTACATCTGTGTCTGACTCAATGAGCAATCTTCAGTATTAGATGATGTCAAGGCAAAACACTACAGCTTCATGATTGCCCACTCAACACTGGCTCCAAAAAGAAATGGAGGAACCCATAGTAAAATGCTCATTTTTACAGCAGCACTGGAAACATTTTCCTGTTTAAACTGTATGAGTCATTTGTATTGATTTTGGCTGACATCACAAGTTTTTAGTGAGTGGCATGTCCTGAGGTGCCCTAGCCATCTCTGGTGGGTTGGTACCATAACAGCCATGCATAATTAGAGGCCTAGCTGATTTGATTGACAGGTGGACGCTGTTTGCCAGAGGACGGAGCAACGGCCCCAACTCCACCTCTTTGCAGATTTTTTGAGTCATCTAAATATTTGGGGTCAGCATTTCACCACAATCATATCTTGGCTTCATGACCCCTCTTCATACTCCACAGAGAGGCAAAATTGATAGTATGCCCATACTTAATACAGTCTATGGTCTAACCCCCGGAGCTAAATCTGACTTCCTTACACTTAAGTACTGAGCCACTCCTGCCTCTGTTTATTTGTAATACTGGGCTTTTTCGATCAGCCCTCAATGCTGCAATTCTTTACCAAACAGGTTTACAATTCAATAATCCTAGAGAGGTGATAAATCAGACTGTCACCTGTGAAGTGAGTTCAAATCTACAAAGCTCCCCACCATATAATCAGAAAACTCTGCGGACACAGAGCTCAAAATTAGACATTTTATTCAGAAGGGATTAACTGATAATCCTCAGTGCAGAAAAGAACAGGGTCTCAGCAGCGTGTCAGTGTTTTCATCCAATGACTCACCCCACAAAGGTCAGGTTGAAGCGGATAGGCAGCTGGAAGTCCAGCTGAATGGTCGCACACTGGTGATAACGCCCAATTGCATCTTTGATCTTAATGTCGATCTGCCATAGCACAGAAAAAAAACAGCACTTTTATAGGTTACAAGCTGATAATAAAATATTATTTTTAGTCTGATGGGTATTATCAAAAAAGTGTCTTACCTTGGGACCATAAAAAGCACCATCTCCAGGGTTGAGTTTCCATGGCTCCCCAAACTCATTCAAGCTGTTCTCCAATTGCTATCAAACATGAAACATAAGCTGGCAGGTAATTAACATCTTAACAATGAAAGCAATTACTATAAAGTGGACCATATCACACTGCTGTATATATTTAAATACAGGACATACAGTTCAGTCTGCACTCTGAGCTGAGTTAGGTGCTGCTATAGTGACATTTAGATCGATACCTTTGTGTAATTTACAACTGAACAAGCTAATAGTTAACCTGCATCTAACCTGAACTCCAGACACCCAGCTATGCCGTAAGCTTTGCTTTATTAGCAGGACTAAAGGAGGTTGCTAAATGAAACTATTTTTCATAATGAACCTCTTTCTTTTTCATTTAGTGTTTCCTTTTGTTGTTTCATCAAGACGTGCCTGTAGGAGAATCATGAGCTACGTCGTTACAAATTTCAAAAACACTTTTTTGTGACTATTTATATCATTTTAACTTCACTGCCTCCAGATAACATTAGCAAAATGACGATAACACTTTATCGATCCCCAGAGGAGAAATTCCGTCGTTGAAGCAACACAGACACAGTCAGTGAGAATGAGAGTTAAAAATAATGGAGTCTTAAAAAAAGGGTTAAAATACAATAAAGAAAAAAATTAACAGAATAAAAAAACAAGTGCTATACAATACAACACCAGTGTTATTGTTATCATACAACTGTTACTGATAAAAAGGAAAGCTATAGGGTAAAGTGACATGGTATTGTGATTCATAAATACAAGCTCAACAGACCCCACATTAGTCACTATCGCTGATTGGGGAAAGTAGCACTTCTTTGGCTGGGTTCAAGTTTCACACCTTGAATTATGTATCTACTGCTGGATTTTCAAATGTATTGAATTTTCTTTTCCACACACTAGTCATTTTATCTGACAACTCAATTCTTTCTATGACATTAAAAAAATTTACTATGTTCAAATAATACTAGAAACTTCTCTCACAAGTTCTTTTTTATTGTTATTTTCATGCATCTTTTCCTGTTCGAATCACAACAAGTTGAGTTTGTAGACTGCACTTGTGGTTCACTTTGTCAGCATTGCTTGCATTAGCCAACTCTATAAAAAGGAAAAACTTAATGTCTCCCTTTGAGTCTGTGTGTATTGCCCAGTGGCACAAACATTATTGGCATTAGCTGATGGATTTGCAAGTGAAGCCACTGTCCTGCGGAGGTAATTTCTATCAATTGCACTTACTTTTTACTGAATAGTGCCATGTTTGGATGCTACTTTACTTCTCGATGAGTCTTACAACTGAACACCTTTGACTTAGAAAACAGCAATGCTGCCACCTTGCTGCCACCTCGCTACTGAGAAATATAGATTCACCAATGCTACAGACTGGAGTGTTGTCACTGTCTTGTGCTGCAAATGGGCCTCTCTTCACAATGACTCACAGCTTTGATACTGCTGCACAATCTCACAGCAGGGAGTCAGCTCTGTCAACAGTAGAGCCAAGTTTGTGTCAGCCTGAGCATTCACTTGATTTTGACATAAAGTGTGGTAAGGACTCTGCTTTTATACTGCAATTACGAGTGTCTCATACTGATAAAAACAGAGGTAGATCTTATCATAAATATTTACAAAATCTCCTGCCAAGAGATTAATTCCAGACACAAATCTTAAGGGGGTTTACCTTCTCCGCCTCGTTCCACACAGCGATATCACCCAGATATTTCTCTGGACGGGTGGAGAGATGGAGCTGGAAGGAGAACCCAAACACATCGTACACACAGCGGAGGAAATCCAGACAGCCTTTCATCTCTGTTTCGATCTGTCAAAAAAACAACAACAACAAAACAAAAGTTTCGTAATATTGGGAATGACTCATAATAAGCAGGTACTTGTTTTTCGTCTTTCTTGACTTGTTTTTCAAAAGCTAAATCACACACACTCAGATGAGTGTTCCCTTCTGGGTCCAACTTGCATAACAAGACTAAAGAGCACTGATGTGGTCACCTGATCCATGGTGCAGAAAATGTGAGCATCGTCCTGCTGGAAACGGCGTACTCTGGTCAGCCCTGTCAGTGTTCCCGACAGCTCGTTTCTGTGGAGGACACCAAAATCCGCCAGTCTAAGAGGAAGCTCCCTCCACGATCGAGGTCTGTGACTAAACATCAGACTATAGGACAACCAGAAATTAAGAATTGTATGATTATGACATGCAGTATGTACTCTGCAGTTTGATTTAAGACATTTAGACACTCTCGTCATGATGTTGTTTCTCTATGTGTGATAAATTCACCAGTGTCCAGGGCAGTTCATGGGCTTGAGTGCAAAGATGTCCTCCTCCACGGGGAAGGAGAACATGTTTTCGCTGTAGTGTTGCCAGTGGCCTGAAGTCTCCCACAGTTTGCTGTTGTAGATGTTGGGGGAGGCTACTTCCTGGAAGCCTCTTCTCCAGTACTCATCCTAGAAAAACAAAGCAAAACCACATAAACAAGCTGGAACTGCCAGTTGGACTGCAAAGGTACTTTGTTATAACTTTTAGCATCAACTGTGAGCTGCAACACAAAATAACTTACTGTTAGATTTATTCTTATATCTATTTGTTGGTGCTTCTTGAGTGTTTTAACCCTTGATAGGTTAGCAGCTAAACAGACAAGTATACTTTTCTGGTTAGCTGCTCCTATTTCAGTGCGATTTTGCACCTAAATGAGCCCAAAAAAAGATTTGTAGGAGTCCTGACACAGCAAGATTTGACACATCTACATTTTAAGCACTATAGAGTTTACAGGAAAAGCACGACTTCCTGTCGTTGGTGGCTTTCAGACTGATAACAGACTGCAGCGACGTGATAATGATCTTACACCGCTTCTGTGTAATGTATGTGAGTTCCTCTTGGCTTGGTATAGTGTGTTGGAGTGTGATGTGAAAGTCCTCAAGATGTCAACAAATATTTTCTAAATGTCACCAGGGATGACTTCCTGAGCAGTCACTGAACTTGTTAAAAAGAGTTCAAGACATCCTCAAATGTTGAACATCTCAACTTTAGTCTAATCTTTAATCATGATTTAAACGTTTTATCAAGTAAGGTGAAACTTGAAAAAAGTGAACTAAAGTAAACTCAAGAAAGTGCTTCAGTGATTACTTATCAAGGCCATTCAGGTAACTCACAGGTTAGCTTTGCCTTGAGGACCACAATATGAGGTCTTAATTGAACAGTCAGTAGTTCAAGAAAAGAGAAACTGTTATGAGGATGATTTAGAAATGCTCGTAACTCCGACCTTTTGAGGTGGAGGAAGGTGAAGTGGAAAACTGTTTCATGGCCTGGCAAACCAAAATGTGGCGTTTTTTTTTTTAGACACCACGGATGCTGCATCCTCCAAGAGGAGAGGGACAGCTGGCTGGTCTTCAGCACACAATAATTTTATTTTGCACAAATCAATAACAAAAAGTTCAGTTTAAACATTTGAAATAATGTCTTTGAACTTGATTTGACTCAATGATTTGAAAACCATCGAGCTCTACTTTATCTGCATTTTACCCAAAGTCTCAAGCTTTGCAAGAGTGTTGTAAAATATTTTAACAGTATCAGCAGAAGGTTAACATGTCAAAAAAGGGCCCCTTTAAACAATGTTCGCAATATGAAAATAAACAGTTTTCTGACAGATTTTATCGGCTAAGAAAGAAATTTCTTTACACAATTATAAAAACCAAAATTTTGCAAACAAACGTTTTACAAAAAAGGTGCTGTTCTTACCCTGATAAACTCTGTTAGTGTGTTGTAGATGTAAGCTCCTCGTGGCAGGAAGAAACAACTGCCAGGACTGAGATCGTGGAAGAAGAACAGTTCCTGATCCTGTGAAAACAGGACAAGAGGAACCTTTCATAATTCTGTATCCCAAAAATCTGCAGGCAAAGATGTGGACCAGGTTTCCATCTGAGTCTGTGAAGCAAATCCTGTCATTACCCACTTTAAATTACAATGCTTCAGTCTGAGAGGGTTAGCGTGACCTTCAATAGAGAAGAGTATTAAATTTTAAGATCTGTGAGGAGGAAAATTGAGTTTCATCAGTCAGACTGTAATATAGCTTGTAATACTGATTAAGATTATCATAATGTCCTGAACAAGTATAAATTAAGTTTAACCTGGCTAGGACTGAGCTGGCTGGTGAGGGCAGACACTAAAACCTGATTCATTTTAACAACTGTATGAAACAAGATTTCATAAGCGAGTTGGAGACAGAGCATAACCTTCACATAGCCAGACAAGGTGAGACTTTATAAGAGCAGATTCAACATGAAATTCAACCAAAAGATACTTAAACGTAGCAGAGAGGACACAGTAAAAAGGAGTGAGAAAAATAATTCAATGAGTTGAAAAAAGACGAGAAGAAATAGTCACAATTAAAACGACAACAAAAAGCTGCAAAATGAGATGAACAGTTCAGAAGAACTACAAGTAATAGGAGGAGATTAAAAGACTAAACAATATTTGAAAGTAAAAAAAATGGGTTTGAAAAAGCTGTTAAAAGACGTAATTCTTGCTAAGACTTATTTGTCATGTAGGTCTCTCAAAAGCTGTGGGGTCCTGACTGGGGGACAAGGAGGAGGACCCCTCAAAGAGTGCTGATAAGGTGTCAAAAACTCTGCCATGGGTTTTGAAATAAGCAGCATGTCATTATTTATAGTTCATGTAAAGCCCTCGGGGGATTTTTCTTTGAATATGTGAACAGCAATCTGTTTATTTCCCCTATACAGATGTCACAACTGGAGCGGTAGATCATGTTTGCTCAGGTAAATGATATTGATTTGTCAAAGCCACAGCAGGATCCCCAGAGTGCTTGTTGATGGAAATGTTTTTACTTCAGTTTTATGGTTAAATTGGGTAAATCAGAATCACATCCAGCCCATTTTCAAATATAGCTGTCATCAGACTGGGTGCAAATGATGAGGTTTGACTTGGGATCACGTGACAGCGCACCATCTTTCGAACAACATGCCACTTTTAGCACCTCCCTCTTAATGCTCTCAACAGTAATACCCTGATTGTCGCCTCTTATATGGAACTGTCCTGTTATCAGAGCTGACTGAGGTGCCGTCTGTGTCTCCCATGCTGAGAAACCAGCTGGACCGCTCAGATGACTCTCAGTGGTCAGTTATGTGCCAGCATGAAAGAAAACAGCGCCCTCAGCTGGCATAAACAGCAACAATAATTTATAGCAGGAAGGTTTCAAGTTTGCCATGAAGAGCTGACTCTGAACTATTTTTGATGATTCACAATGGGCTTGAGATGAACTTGACTGGAAAGAAAGTCTTTGTAATGTCATATTTTTCATTTAGAACATTTCATGTGTCTTTGCCTGTTTGCTTGAAGATTTTTTTTGCTCCAGGTTCCTTTCAGGCTGTACCCACATCTATCCAACCACAAACCTAGACTTTGATGAGAACAAAACTTAAACAAAACCCCCCAAAAGATGTGTCAGACATCTCCTCTTACAATAAAGACACAAAATTCACTTTGTTCTGGGTTTCAGATTTCAGATTTCAGCTTCAGGCCACAGCCCTCTGGGTGGGCTTGGACCTGACGGCCTGCAGTGACTCACTTTGCCGATCTTGCGATGGTCTCTATTCTTGGCTTCCTCCTGAAAACGTTCCCACTCTTTCAGCATCTTTGAGTCTGGGAAGGAAATCCCATAGATCCTCTGTAAAGTCTCCATGTCGGAGCGACCTTCCCAGTATGTTGCAGAGTTCTGATGACAGAGGTGGAAAAGATGACATGTTAGAATTTTTACATTTTGTCAGGGCAGGAAAACCTACAGAGAAGGTAAACGAACTGGTGGCCCCAAACCTTCTACTGAGTTTCTTAAGTTTGAATAAAGTTCAACTTAAAAGTCAGAGGAAAGTGGTTTATGGCTTGGGTATTTCAAACAAAACTGACAAATTTATGGAAGACATATTTTCTACCAACCTTGTATATCTTCATGGCTTTGATTTTGCCTGTATGTCTGACATGAGGACCTCTGCACAAATCAATCAAGGGTCCACATCTGGGGATTAGATTAGATAGAAGTTTATTGATGCTTTTGAGAAGTGTCCCTGATGGAAAATAAAAAAAATCTAATGTTTTACCATAATTCATATGTTAAAAAAGAGTTGGATTAACCAAGTACAAGTACAGAGTAAGTTTTGTAAATTTTTTATTTTATAGTGTTAGTTTACAAAGGGTGCTAAATATACCAGTTTATCATCACCCATCAATGCCCAATAAATACATGTAAATGGTTTGACTCTTTTGTCCTCATACTGCATTCAAGCTTTCTCTCTCTGGTATAAATATGAGATCCTGCTCTTATAGGCAGCTTACCTGTAGACTGTAGTAGTAGGGGTGGTAACTTTCTCATTCAGAATGCGACACTTGAATTTGTTGTACTAAAAGACAGAAACACCTCGATTTAGTTAGAAGCCATCCTTTACAGAAGAAATACAGCATGATATGGCAAAAAGCCTCATGTACTGTAGTTCCAGTTTTGATAAAAGCAGTGATCATTTTTTACAGGGACAGAATAACATGATGAAAACAGAGAAGAGAGCCATCTCCCTGTCTCACCTTGAACATCTTCAGCAGTGTCTCCTTGCTGATCTCAAGCCTTTCAAAGGGCTGTTTTTCCTTCACCACAGCCTTACACAACGTCTCAAGGTCCCCAAACTCAGTGCTCGACACTCCCCTGGAAATGACGAACATCTTTAGAAATTTAGGACTGTCTTGATTACCTAAATTTGCTGACATGATGCCTCTATACTTCAATCTGGTAAACTACTAAATTTCCCCTCAGGGATAAATAAAGTTCTTCTTATCTTAGAAAGATAAAGATAATCAATTATCACAAATCAGTTATCAAAACTGAAATGTAAAACTTTGAGACTAAAATCTTTATCTGTAAATCTTACAAGAAGTTGAGAACAGAGTAGAAAATAGTGAAAATATTTGCTCACTTCTGTCCATCCAGGAACATGTCATAGTAGAAACCGTTCTCAATGGGGGGTCCATAACACAGACAACCTCCATAAAAGCGCTCCATGGCCTCCCCAAGGATGTGAGCACTGGAGTGCCAATACACCTAGAACAAGAGCGGAAGATGTATGTATCACCTCTGTTACTGACATTTTATTGTTATTAACTTGTTGTTTTAGATAACCACCTTTTGTTTGAAAATGTATACAATCAGCAACTATGGTATGGTTAAACATCTGTCCAGCTATTTATAACTTTCACAATCTTGTGCAGTACAACTTTTAATTATTATTATGCACACTTACATTTGATATTATGTACAATCTTACAGTTTTTGTTTAACTGCTTTAAAAACTTTTCTACTTTGCTTACTTTTTTGACTTGACTTTTTGTAGTTCTGCTCTGCAATTTCAGGTACTGTTTTTTTATTACCTCTTATCCCATTCACTTTATATTTCACTTTACACTTCATGATTTGTATTTTACGTGAATATGATATATTTTGTACTCACAGCCTGAGCATCCTCATGGTCAAAGCGCAAAATCTCAAGAGAACAGTCCTGTTCAAGAGGTCTATCCAGGTCCCAGAGCTCCCCATTCACCCGAGAAATCACAGCGTTGTCAGCCAGGCCCCGGCTGAAGGAGGGAGCAGTTGTCAGGATAGTTCACTAAGAAATGCTCCTGTTCAGATAGTACTGATAGCATTTTGAAACACGACTGTATGATACAGTGTCAGGCTGTTGATTTCATGCTTACCTGATATCACAAGCCAGCTGGTACGGTGTGGTGAGCCAAGCCTTGCCCTCCACCTTACGTCCATCAGGCAGCTCCACGGTGATGGGTTTGCTGTCAGCAGCTTTCTTCGCCAGCAGGGCATCACTCTCTTTCTTCAGCTGCTCATAGAGACTCAGACGCTCTGGGATGTACTCAGGCCAGGGATTCATCTAGGGACAATGTGGAAATTAATAAAATTCAAGAAATAGCCACAATAGAGACACTAAATTTGAATGATTTCATGGTATGCTTTTTTTATTTTTATTTTAAACATCCACCTCTTTAAGACTTCCACTTCCTTGTCCTTTCTCCTGCTTCTTCTCCTTCTTGTTGTTCCCATCAGCTGGTTTGGTATCTGAAGGTACCACCTGTTCACAGACAGAGAATGTATGTGTCTTTATTTAATAGGCTCTTTCCTTTTGTTTCATCAGCTTAATATTGATATCACTTGTCCATGTCAGTATCCAAAGTGTGCAACAACTGTCTCACTGAAGGGGTGCAGCTATTTTTGGAGGAGGGGTGGTGTAGTTTGTCATTTGGCTTCACTAGAGATAGGCCCGTTACTCATGATGGTGCAACCTGATGCAACACTGCTACCACTGACCTCACTTCACATGCAAATGATACTGTAGCATGTTTGCTGTTTTTATTTCTACCTTATTTTCAGCTCGGTTGTTGGTCGTCTGCTCTTTATTGATAGTTTTCTCCTGAGTTTTCCCACATTTTACTCCCTGTAGTTTCTTTCCTTGTGCCTCCTCCAGCTCCAGCTCCACCTGAAGACTCCTCCGGAGGTGCAGCAGCCGGTATTTGAGCTTCTCATTCTCAGCCTGCAGGTTCTCCAGCACCGGAGACACACCCTCAGTACCGGCTACACTCACGCCTCGGCTCAATCCGTCCCGAAGAGCGGATATTTCCTTGGTGAGGAGGCGAATTTGCTCCTCCTGGGCGGTCAAACGTGCAGCCAGGCACTCCGCCATCTTTAAAAAGACCATAATGACAGCTGACTTCCGGTGAGGCGAATGTGGAAAATAAAAGCGTAACCAACACAAAGGATTGGGATCCCACAAAATTGTCTGTTTGACTGATAGCTATATTTTAAAAGTGTTTATTCAATAAAAGTCGATATAAAAGTAAAATAAATAAATAGAGTCATTCAACATGTCGAATTTAACCTCACAAAAATGCCAGCTGCTATGTTCAACACAAAGCATACATTATATGCTAAATGGTTACTTTGCATAATAAAGATATCTCTACTTCCTTACAACTTTAAACCACTTAGTTTTAAAAGTAAAAAAAAATTACAATGATCTAAGCTAAACTGCTTTGGCTATCATTCTTCTCTATATCTATGATACAGAAGTCAGTTTACACCTTGGTTTAATTCCATGTTAAAACTGTTCCACAAATAAGAAAATTATAGACCTCTAAGACAAGCTCTCTGTTTTATTATGTTCTTGCAAAAATAATGTCTTTTTGAGCTTCTCAGGAATTCATGATTGACAAGTAGCTGTGTGGGTGTTAAAATAGACTTACATTTATTTAACTTTTGGACTTATCATTGTATTTAACATAAGTAATGATGAATTTATATGATTTAATAATCATTGATAAAAATTGAATGATTTTTTAGAGAACAGCTTCTCAATCTATGGAAATCTTGTACCTATTCACTTGACAGGTGAATTACCTGAATGGGGTAACCAGATTTTGTTGATTTTCAATGAGTTTCAGATTTATACAGACCCTTAAAAATGTGGGAGGAAAAGGCAAAACCATAGACTATATATAGAATGAACGCCGTCTGCCTCCTTACTGGGTGAAGCCAGAGGGAACAGCACCCTCTAGTGACGGGCTGCAGTATAGGTCATAAATCCCGCCTCCTCCAGCAATCCCTATGGAGCTGTGGACAAAGTTTAGAAATTTATGACACTGGATATGAATTTTTCTCTCCCCCTAGTGCGATGTTGACATGTAGTTACTCTAAGACTGGTTTGTGCTCAAGACCTCTTTTTTCCTTACTGCCCCCATTTTTAAAAGTTATTAGGGGTTCGTGTTTTCTATGATTGACACTTGATTCAGCCTATGGGTGTATGAAGATTGTGTAGCTCACCCAGGGGATACGCTGTTTGAGCTGAGCGTCATCACAGTGACTCTCTGCGACTCTTCCGCCGAATGCGCACAATGCTACTGCGCAATGTTGGTTTCAGGAAGTGGAGAAAAACGCAGAAGTACAGAGAGCTTTTCGGCTTCAAACCTGTATACTGGCAGAAGGCGGAACCAAGTTGTCCAGAGTACATACAGTCTATGGGCAAAACTTTCCAGTAACATAGAGAAATACCTTGTGTAGGAAAAGCACAGTTTCCTTTGAGTTATTTTCCAATTATATTTTCAATGTTTTATACGTCCTTTAATTTCTCGCACTCTCTTGGTCTTGGGAAGGCACCTTTCACTTCTTCATGGTAGGTGAGTAAATCAATGAGAGCTCATCACAGAATGCTGCAGTGACGCAGCCTCAACGCTAGGGGGCGGGCTCATATTTTCTAGCTCATTTCAGGTGTCAGCTGATCCCAGCAGTGCAGCGTGCAGGCGAGCCTGTCAGGAATGTAAACACTCGTTCATGTGCTGAGGAACCCTCAGTCTTCAAGTCAAAATCAGGTATTTGTAAATATGTTTTAAAAGTGCTTTAGTGTACTCTGGAAAAGTCTACCTGCTGCAGCTTAACTTTTGTCTGACGGTACATTTACAGAAGCTTTTTTTTTACCGGCCAGATAACAACCAGAACAGCAAGTGCTAAGTCTGCTAGCTAGAACTTGTAGCGAGCTCCCAGATTGAGCTTCAGCAGATTTAGTTCATTCAGCCGGTTTTCAATGTTTATTTGCCGACCTGTAAGACAAATGAATGTCATGATAAGACTATAAGCAGGCTGCCGAAAGTCAAGAACTTATTCTGCATTTATATAGTGATAAAACACTTGATATATACGTGGACTGGAAAAGGACGGATGCCAAAATACAGTCAACACTTTTTTCTGATTGCTCAACACATAGCAAACAGAAAGTAGAAGACGTCTTTACTTTTTATACATCTCTTTGGTACAAAGCACGGCAATTAAAATGTAGAAATGTGCAAAGAACAGATTATGTTCTTTAGTGGATGTCAGGCTCCTCAGTTGTTTATCTAAAAGAGAGAGATGTTACCTGTTATTTTCGTCCCTTTTGTCTTAGAGTTTCACCTTATAGAGGTCTTATTCAGACGTGTCTACAATGACTTGAACACCATGAAACTGGCTTCACATGTGCTCAGTCAAGGCCTACATCAATGACCCACATGTTTAGTGTCTCTTGAGAGTCCCACCTTTGGCACTGTTCAAAGTCTTACTGAAATGTTGACACTTTGCTGAGTGTACTGCACACATTTCAACTTTCTACACAACCCTACGCCGTGTGTTTTATTTTGTGAGTCCTGTACTACAATAACTTTTTTCTGACCTCACCCAAACAGAAGACAAATCAGAGGTTTAGTGCATCTTCTTATTCCCATTGTGGTTAAAAAAGTTGATCTACTCAGGCCTGAGGATTTGCAGATGTCAGAGAAGGTTGTAAATCAGCCAGTCAGTTCTCCATGAATGATATTTTCTTCTGTTTCTTCAGAACTGCCAGGACACTTGATGCTGCTGCCATCATGGCCTCAACCTCCAGCTTTGCTCCTCCCAAACTGGCCGACTTCATCCTCACAGAGCGGCTAGGCAGTGGCACCTATGCAACAGTCTACAAAGCCTATAGAAAGGTGAGTCTCAGGAAAAGTTAAGGTCAAATATATATAAGCCAGAATAAGATGTACTTTTACACAAACGATTTCATACGATTATTAAGTCACCACTGGACTGTATAGATATTATAAATTCAATCTAGCCTTGTCTTCACAAATGAAAGTTAAGATCTTGTGTGATGTTGCAGGGGGACAGCCGAGAGGCGGTAGCAGTGAAGGTGGTTAGCAAGAAATCTCTCAACAAGTCATCTACAGAAAACCTGCTGACTGAGATTGAAATGCTCAAGACAATTCATCATCCTCATATAGTCCAGCTTAAAGACTTCCAGGTACAGCCTGTTTCTAAAAAGTGTCAAGACATCACTCAAGGGGTATGAACTGTGAGTGCATAAACAGTCTAAGTGTATCCCTTGAATATAATAACTCTTCTTTGCAGTGGGATGCTGAGAACATTTATCTGATCCTGGAGTGGTGTTCTGGTGGAGATCTATCAAGCTTCATCCGCAGTCGCAGGATTTTACCTGAGAGGTTGGCCCGACGCTTCCTTCAACAAATTGGTTAGTCATTACTGAACTGGGTCAACAGCTTACAAATAGACTTTATTGTGAAAACGGACATGATGACTATGGATCTACACAATTACAATATGATATAAGAACTAGTGACACAAAAAAGTCATATCCAGATCACTCTAATGCTTACAGCATCATTATTTGTCATCCTGACAAATCATATTGACAATTTCAGAGTTGTTTCAAGTTTTTTCTTATTTGAAAAGAAGGATAAAATTAAGACAGAGGGTAAGCCGTTGCAGTTTTATCGCTACCATGTCACAACGGACAGCTATAAAATGCAAAGACAAAATCTGAGTTTTCATTTTCATCAACTACAGAATGCATTTTTTTTTTGAGGTACTGAGCCAAAAAGATACATGTCAGATTTAAAGTCATTTTCCAGTTTGATTTGTAAAAGTGTAAGAAATGTTTATAAATGGACCTACATTTGTATATAAATTTGTTTTGATTCTATGTCCATATGAGTTAAGATTGGGCATTTTTAGACAGCCAGCATTTACTCTACAAAAATCATATGAGAGTATTTGCATTGCTGTAACATCAACTGCTTTATTAGGCACACTTGGTAATTGTGACACACAGCTTTTATTTACCTGAACTCTTTGCATTGTGCAAACTTGTTATGGGCTGAGAGTAGTTAAACCTTTTTTCCACTGCGTGTATGTTTGTCTGTACAAACAGCCTGCGCGCTCCAGTTTCTACATGAACGAAACATTTCTCACTTGGACTTGAAACCCCAGAATATTCTGCTCAGCGGCTCCCTCCTGAAACTAGCAGGTGATCTCACACTTGCCCACACAGGCACAGTACATCAAATGAACACATTTTGATCTGCATTTTATGAAATTATTTTTATTGACCTGACAGACACTGGGAGAATGGGCTGTTATGTTAGCAGAGTAAGAAAGTTATTTTTTTTGCCAGCCACATTAGCATTTTGTTGTCTTAGTGCAATATGCAGCTCAAGGATGTCAGTCTGCAAAGCTGTCACAAGGAATTGTATTGGTTGAAGTCTCTCACAGTGAACATGTTATGAATCTGTTCCCTCTCAGATTTTGGTTTTGCTCAGTACATGTCTCCCTGGGATGAGCAGAGCGTCCTGAGAGGCTCTCCTCTCTATATGGCTCCTGAGATGGTGTGTCGACGTCAGTACGACTCCAAAGTGGATCTCTGGTCAGTCGGGGTCATTCTTTTTGGTGAGTGCTTTGATTTTACTTTTTAAGTTGCAACAACAAACTCTACAGCTGTATGAACCAAGTCTTACTTTCTTTTCATTAGAATTGTTTGTATCATTCCAGTGATTCAAAGATGCTCATTTTTGATCTGGGAATATTCAAAGTGGAATAACCATCATCAGTGAGCATGTTATTTGTAGAATTTAACTTCAGGCTTCAAAGAATGGCCTATTATTTTGAAATATAATATAATTGTCTTAATCTTATATGAACATAATAGATGTTAATGTATTTCATATGATAGTGGCCTTTTTAAATAAAGGTTATTTCATATAAATACTCTGTTTCAACAGCAGTTCTGTTTTTTCAGTCATCCCAACATAGTTTTATTGTTTTTACAGAGGCTCTGTTTGGTCGAGCACCATTTGCTTCAAGGTCATACGCTGAGTTGGAGGAGAAGATCCGCAGTAACCAACCTATTGAAGTAAGAACTTAACAGTAAATGTGTTCATCATTGTATCAATAATGAACTCATCACTGAATGAGCGTAGACTCCCCTGCTGAGGAATAAAAATGACTCAGTGCACACACTGTTGCTTTACAAGCACTACACTGCTCTCTCTATTTTTCAAACAATAGATGCTGAGCGTGCTCTGTTTGTACAATACTTGATTATGCAAAGCATAATGAAAACCTTATAATCAGCAAAGTTTAATTTTTGTTTAAGTTTGCTAAAGCCAGCAGTGCAATAGTGTTATATTTCATGGTTCCACAGTTTTCCAATTTGGTATTCTGTTTGCAGACTGAGATTTCACAAGACGGCAAACACTTGATTTTCTTTATTTTTCCACAGTCACATGCCCCTGCAGATCTGGGAAAATGTAGACTTCTGTTTTCTGTCGTGTGCTCACCTAAAGTTTTTCTCTCTTTTCTTGATCCAAATAGATTTCAGTGCAAAAATTCAAATACACCATCACATCATATGAGCATTAATAATTTAAAAAGGCATTTGGCATGCATTTCCTCTTGATACATTTAGCCCTTTTTAGTAACTTGAAATGATTGTGATGCACAAGATATAGAATATATAGAAAAATAAACAAATACAGAAAAAAGTCCTCAAGGAGATAAAGAAATGCAAAAAGGTAAAATTAAGGCAGAAAAAAAAAGCCAGGAAGAAAGGGTAAAAATACAGAGAAAGAAAGAAAGAGAGGAAAAAAAGAGACAAAAAATAATAAAACAGAATAAACTGGAAAAACAAATACAGTAGAAAAGTACAGATAGGCAAAAAAGAAAGAACAAAGAGAAAAAAAGTGGGGAAAAAATTTGAGTAATGTATTAAACAAAAAAGAAATATAGAAAGAAAGACAGGAGATTAAGGTGAGGGAGAAATATGTGAAGAAGAGAGAAATTCAAATGAAAATACAGAAATTGATACAAAACACTAGGAATAAACAAACCATAGAGAAGTGCAGAAAGAAATACAGACAGAAAGGGGAAAAAGACATACAGAGACACAATGAATGAATGAATGAGTGAAATTGTCTGACTGCTGTTTGACATAGAGGAAGCAGAGTCTCTACTTTAAAAAGCACCTTTAGTTAAGAAAAAAAAGTGAAAGTTGTGTCTGAGTGTTTGTAGTTTTTCATCATGAAACCACTAGAGGTCTCACTTTCACACACGCCATCCAAGCAGGACTGGCAATTCAGCTGAAACAAGGACCTATTGCTCATCTTCACTTATCTAAAATTAAAAGACATACAGACATCTGTAGTTATTAATATGTTTTAAGTGTTAATTAGTTTAAAAGCTTTTAACAGAGTTTCTAACTGAGTTTCAAAAGGCTCAAGTCATGATTGTGTCGGTCCGGGTTTGTCTGCAGACTACACAAGCCAAATGTTAATTACTGGGGCAATTAAGGATAATGGCGCTATTTAATGATGGAGGGCTTTCAGTACACTTGGATTTCGTGTCAAACATTAGGCTGGAGCTCAATGGCCTGCATTAACATTCGGTCCGTTTCCCAAAGTTTCACATCGAGTTTTAAGGTCATCTTTTGATAAAAAGTAGTGATGTGAGACTAGAAGGTCTCTGGCAACAATCTGCTGTCCTTTCCCTCTGCATCTTCCTGTGGATTGAGTGTAACATAATAAGGTCGTGTTTTGTGCATCAGCTCCCTCCTGGGGCCAGGGTATCCAAGGACTGCAGAGACCTTCTGTTGCGGCTGTTAGAGAGAAATCCAGATGCCCGGATCACCTTTGCAGAGTTCTTCACCCACCCCTTTGTGGATCTGGAGCACATGCCGAGTGCAGAGAGCCTTGTGAAAGCGGTGAGGGAATAAAAGACAGGGACATATGCGCTGGCATGTGTCTCTTCTCCGGACAACCATTAATAATGTGTGTGATTGACTGAGCAAATGTACACATGTGTTTTCAGGTCTGTGTTCATGCCTGCTCCACATGTGCTTCCTCTACATGCATGCATTAGCAGTGAAGAGTAGTATGCATTCAGTGATGCCACTTCCTATTTCCTCCTTTCAGAAAGAGCTGGTGCTGCAGGCCGTGCAGAAGGACCAGGAAGGGGAAAGATCTGCTGCTCTCTCTCTGTACTGCAGTGCCCTTGAGCACTTTGTCCCTGCTATTTACTGTGAGAGCAACAACCACTTTCTTTCTCTACCTTCCAACAATGCGTTGCTTTTGTTTCACTGTGATAAACCAGCAAAGTAAATGCACTTAAAGAAAAACTAAAACATCTCTGCTCTCCGCAGTCGAGACAGACAGACAACGTAAAGATACCCTCAGGCAGAAGGTAAGCCTGAAAACTCTTCCCGCCTCCACGTTCAGATTACTTTCTATTTTCAGTTGGTCTTTTTTTTTTTTCTCTCATTACACTCGAGTGGCTTTCACTGGGAATGAATTCTCCTCTATTAATACCATATGGGGAGAATGGAGAGCATATGGCATGGTTGACATGATTAAGTTGAGTCAATGTAAGAGGACTCCCCGCAGGTCAGCCAGTATGCGTCCAGAGCCGAGGAGCTGAAAGCCTTGGTGGCCTCAGACAACAGACTGAGCTTTGAGGAGGCCCGGACCTCCAGGGATATCCTGCGAGGTAAAGAACACAACTCAGCGCAGAGTTAGAGCTGCTGCATGTCGGCTTCAGCTTGGTCTGATCTGGAGCTGCATGACAGGGGAAACTTGAGTTTGGTGTTTTTGTACGTGCTTTAAACTTTGCTTTGGAGCGTTTGGTCTTCTTTCATCACACCCAACTGGTTTTACGGTTTTAAAATACTGTACATCTTCAAAAATGTCTTATTTTGGTACAAGAACAAAACACAGCTTTAAACATTTCCCTTTCTGACTTTTTAATTAATCAACTTCATCTTCTTTTCCTGTTTCAGAGGTCAAAGGTCAGGGTCAGCTATGAAGTTACAGTTTTTGAGTCTCCTAGGGACTCTGCATTTTGCCTAAAGACACTTAAGCTCAATTACCCCGCTGTCCTTAAATAGATATTTGGAGAATTAAAGAGTCTCAAGTCTAGAAAGTTAGATAAGGACACAACTTTTGTAAATTGCTTCATATGTTTAGTGTTACGCATTAGTGTTGAAGTAGAGTATTCAGTCGGTCTCCAAGAGTTTTTGAGTTTTTTTTTCTTTCTTTCTTTTTGCAGAAATGTCTCGGGACCAACCCCGGCTGCTGGCTGCTCTGGAGATGGCCACTGTTGCCATTGCTAAGGTTAGAGGGAGTTTACTGCTGCATGGTGACACCGCTTTAGAGACACACAAAGGTAGGGTGAAGCAGAAGTAATACAAGAGTAAAAAAACAAACCAGCAGGGTACAAACCAATCCCCTTTCTCAGCCTGCTTTCCAAACCACATCTTTTAAAATCACTGGTGAACCAAAAACATCTATTTTGTGGTTTCGCTGCCCGTGTGTTTTATATTTGTGTGTCTCTGCAGTTTACGTACAGCCTAAAAATGTTGAGGATGTGAACAACCACCAACGACAACTTTCCCAGAGTTAATAGACTGAAAAGCTTCAACTATGCATATTTATCTATGGTCAGTTATGAGGCTTTAGTTTACCTCATTTTGAACCTTCTCCTGCAGGAGGAGAGTGGAGCTGATGATCAGGAGGCCCTGGATGTGTATCAGCAGGGCTTAGGAGAACTACTGCTGGCATTAGCAGGTAAATAAACATCTTTATTTCTTTGTAATGTTTCCCTCAAACCACTCATTTCCAAACGTTTTCTGTAGGGGCCTTTATTGTAGACTTAAGCCCTCTCTTCCTCCTCCATACACACCAACAGATAATCATACATCCATACTTACTAAAACACACATTTGGAAACCTCCAACAGATTCCTGCATTTTTGGAAACATTTGGACCTCTGTCTGCCCGAATTTCTCTTGGGATCACTGAAATTTCTCTTGGTATCAACAAAGTATCTGTCTAATTTAAAAAAGTGCTGAATTGTAACTTCTGTGAGCGACTTGACCTAAAAAATTAACGAGACAGTTTTGCACAGTAAGCAGTTTGGGGGAAGCTGCATCATATGACTTCTAACTTCTTAGTGTGAGTGGCTCCATGTTGGTGGAGGTCAAGCTGAGGGCGAAGTATGGTTCATCATAGTTTCTTGTCCTTGTTTTAGGAGTTGTGGTATTTAGTTTAGATTCATGTCAGCCCTATACTCTTACCGGCAGTTGTTTCACATGCCAAGCTTTGCTAGCTGTGCAGATCTACTTTGTGCATTGTATTTATTGAGCTTTGCCCCCACCCCCTATGATTCTGTGGACCTCTAGGGGGCACCCTCCTGTTTGGGAATTGTTGCTTTATATTTTCTGTACCTCCCATTATGGATCTTTGCTCATGGACACTGTGGTAGTAGTGAGCGAGCAAGGGAGCAAACAAAATCACATTTAAGCTCCGGTAAGGAACATTTGGTATGTGTTCATTTTGGTGTATTTTTTTATGCTTGAAGGGATATTCTGGCATAAAATTAAGAATCATTCTGACTTTTGACATTCAAATTTATCAACATTTTGGTAGGGAAAATTCAAGAAATTAGCTTTTTTATGCCACTTTGCAGACACCTGCCCCCTTACACCAGCAGCTGGCATTAAAATTACACAATAAAATTTGTCCTCTTGCCACTGATCACATGATCACATGATTATCACATGATAAAAGGCATCATTATGAATGTCAGTCTATTTATTCAACATAGAAAAATAACTCCTTACAGGAGTTTATCAGTCCCACTTATTTTTTCTCTGTATTTAGAGACATCGACACAGTCCTGTTTTCTCATTTTTTATAAGAGAAACTGTCCCAAGAGGGAAAGAAACATACAGTATTCTACAGAGCAGAAGATTACTGAGTAAAGATTATGACTCTAGGTCACAGCAAGAAACAAAGTCAGGTCAAAAGATGCTGATCAGAGAAAATCTCAAATATAATGATCTCACAGGATTCAGAGCAAGTGGACTGAGTGTGTTAAACCTGTAAGACCAGACTTTCACCGGGTTAAAGCTACTGTGAGGAGTTTTTGATTGATTTTGAAATGGGCTGAAATGAGCAGTGATGTGTTTCTGTGATCTACAAAGTTAAAAAGTTCACTATAAAAAGACAGAGGGTGGAGAATTTCCATCAGTCAGCTCCACTCTCACAAGGATGAGATGAAATCAGCAACAATAAAATAAACACAGACAAAAAGTTCCTCCCGAGAGCCTCAATTGATATGCATTTGTAGCATGGATTTTGTTATTAGCTAGCTCTCTGTTCTGCTTTTCAGTTTCCCCTCCTTTTCTTAAACTGTTGTAGCATCCGAAATGAAATCTCCCTTTAATCATTTTTAAATAATTAATGCTAATCTTACTCAAAAAGGAAAACTCTCTGGATGAGGTGGACTGTCAAAAGGTTGCTAAAGTGCTTCATGTCTCTTTCCATTTTAATGTGAACAGTGTTATGAGAGGAGACATGTATCAACAGTGGCGCTCCGTGAAATCATGAATGCAAAGTGAATTATCATCCCAAGAACGATTTTTTTTTAAAGAAAAGCAAACAAAAGAGAGCTAGAGGCTGGAAAAAAAAGGAAAGAAAAAAGCTGGAGAGAGATTAAAGATGGAGAGATGCTCCAAAGTGAGACTAAAGTGAAAACAGAGAAAGTCTTGAGGAGATGGAAAATAACTCAGAGAAAGTGATTTAGGAAGAGTGAAAGACAAACTGACAGAGTGAAGCATTAGACTTGGAGAGAAACGGAGACTCTTAATAAGCGACAGGCAGACAAACAGACAGAGGAGCTACAGAAGAGACTCCAGTGACTCTCTCTGCGGCCTGGCGTCCATTAGCTCGGGCTCATGAGCTCATCTGGAAGATCGGCCTAATGGAAGAGGTGGGATAGAGTGATCCAGATGTGGCTTTGAGCCGGGATCAAACCCGGTGCCAGCACCCTGTGTGTGGTATGAGAGCCCTGCCATCTGCTTTTCATTCAGACAGCACACTTTATTTGTTTGTGTTATTGCACACTGGAAACAAATAAAAGCTATTATCTCTTTTTTTTTATACATCATCCAGCCAGTGATGATGAATAATGTTCCAGGGCGGGTTTGAAGACTTTTTAATTTTATTAAGATAGTCAAAAATGTTACAAAAGAAAAACTTCATAATCAACCAGTGTGTGATAATTTTATGTCGTCTGTACAGAGGAACCTCACCCTGTCAGTATATCAGCAACAAAGATGGATGGTAATGAAGTTTAAAGTCACCGTTACTGTACTGACAGATTCAGATTTTCATCAGTTACTTCAGTGTTATTCAGCCAACAGTCCTACACTTTGAACTCTGAGGTTTTAACTCAAACAGTCACCCTTCACTTCTAAAAAATCCCTTCATTGCCTTTTAAGTTTAAAGTTTTATAGTGTGTTGAAATGGGAATCTTTAGCAATGACTAGCTGTTGCTCCCTTGCTCACACTTCTCATCTGTGAAGCTACGGTGGCCTTTGAGGACAACTGAGCCCTTTCAATGCATGAAAAGCATGATCCTGCATTTGTCAGGTGTTTCCATCAAAAATGTTGACCAACAGAAAATGTTTTGTGCACAACAACAACCGCTCCCTTCTATTTTGTCTTCCAACCTGTGCATTGCAGCCCATTGTTTTGTGCTACGGTAAATTGCTTTTTTATCATAATGCATCTTTGGGCGTTTTCTGTTTAACATCAAAGTCCTGTATCCCTTCTTAATAAAGACAGTAACCCAGAGGGGAAAAGGATACCTGTTGCATCCACCAAGCATGACAGGTGTAGTGTGATAAAACAAATAAACACATGTTAAGACAGAATACAGTCTTTCAGTGACCAGCAGAATTGAAATGTAGAAATGGCTCCTAGTGAACAAGCTAATGTTAATTTAAGCACTGGAGCAAATTAGTGGCAGTGAGAACTTTTCTGTTTGACTGACTGCTCAATAGTTATTGTTTTTATATGATGATGATGATGTTTTATAACTTCTATTGTGCAGTCTTCTCCGTTTTAAAAAGTTTGATAGTCTTCCAGATAGACCATAAATTCAGTTATCTTAGGACAGAAACAGCAAAAGAAGAAATATCCTTCAGAGGACTACTTATTCATTTTAACTCAGTCTCTACTTTTTCACTCTTGATTCTGTGCTCCTGTTTGTACTTTAACTCTGCTCATTTGGAAAAAATGTGTGTTTTTTTTCTGATCGATCATATATGATTTACTGGTCCGACTGATCCCGTGCCATCCCAGCCAGCCTTTCTCCAGTGTCAGGCAGCCACGTTGTGTGGGCACAGCAGAAACCACCAGGGGGGTTGTGGGGAGAAAACATTGGTTCTTTGTTTAGCTAAGAGCTCTTTGTTGCCCAGCTTCCCAACATGCTTTGCCACCAGAGCTCTTCTCCTCCTCTTTTCCCTCTCTCTCTCTCTCTCTCTCTCTCTTACTCTGTCACTCTCCCCTCCAAGATGACTGACTGTGAAAACACTGGCCTACATTAGACCCATTTCCACCCCTGAGACTCAAGTCTACACGCTAGCGAAATCCAATCTTGTAGTTGACCTCTGCCTGAATAAACAAGGTGATTAGTGAGTGGACCCTCTCCTCCCTTCCTCTCCTCATTATTTTCTATATCTTTTTTTTTCTCCCCTCGGTGAGCCAGCCGAGCCGCAGGGTCGCAGGAGAGAGCTGCTCCATAGTGAGGTGAGTGTGTGAGAAGGGGATTCTGGTTGAGTGCTCATGATAAGAAAAACTATCAGTCACCTCTGAAGAGCCCAGGGCTGATCACCTAACACTGTGGATGCTTCATCACATGACCCCTGAGCCCTTTTTCCAACAAGTACAAGTGCATGTTGTTTGTTATAGAAGCTAAATTATATAATCCATCATTTTTATAGCGGTTACATACACATAAATCACTGCCTGTTTTATAATTGGATACTTAAAGCACCCCAATCAATCAATAATGAATCTCTCGACCACTTGTTTGTACAAAAAAAATAAAAAAAAATAGACGTACACAGATGGAGCAGAGACTCCAGTATTTAAAGACCCCGCTGTTACACTCTATTGAATTACATCTGCCACTTCATTGTTTTGGTTGGAATACCTGCTAATGTACTTTTTAATTTTTTTTTCTGTCACAAACACTAGCAATGATCAGTGTGAAAAATTCAACAAAGTAACACTTAAATACTACGGCTAAACATATTTTGTAAGTGCCGGACAGAAACATACTTGGAAAATACGACATCAAAGGAAAGAGCTTGTTTAATTTAGTCTATGTTTATTTTCAAAGATAATAATGCCCATTTGTGGTTGACAGCTTGTTTCTGCTGCCCCCTATTGACAAAAAATATTATTCCTGTGTGAAAAAACTGCCGATAAAAAAGATTAAACTTAATGTGAGGACTTTTCAACCAATTTTAAATCAGTCTAAGTGTTTTTACACCTGAATAGCTCCAAGATGTCCCAAATCATGGACTGTTTTCCTCCCCCCCCCCCCCCCCCCCCCACACACACACACACACACACACACACACAAACACTAGAATTTTGAACAGATAGTTTTGTATTATGTATTATTATTATTATTATTATTATTATTATTATTATAACAACAAAGATGATATATTTCTCAATTGCAGAAATCCTTCAATAGAAAAAAACACAATCCTGAGGGCCATTTTGAGAAGGGCCCCCAGATCCTGAGGTTTTCTGAAGTGTTAAGGTTTACAAAAAAGCTGCTATCTCGGCCTCTGTAGTCGATAGAAACAAAATTCAAAAAGTATTTGAGAGCTTATACATGTGGCTTTCAAGAAAGCTCTCTTTTAGTTTTGCGAACCTTCATCACATTTTTGAAAACCTTGAACAAACAAACTCAAATGAAATAAAGCGGCTGTATAAATAAAAGTAAAGGCTCTGCACTGGAGAATGACAAATAATTTGCTTTCTGTAAAACAAGTGGCAGTCATGATAAAGTGTCCATTCAATACAAATGTAAATATAGAAAATAAGGTGTTGAAAGGGTAAACAGCTGCCCCAGTATAGTGCCAGTACAAAAGCAGAACTAAAAACTAAAAAATGAATAAATAAATACGTGGCTGACAGTGTGTTCACCTCTGTGCTCACCCAAAGTCATGCAACACTGAGAGAAAACGCTGATAGTGTGAGCCAAATCACTCCATATGAAGAGGTTGTTCACACTGCTGGATGTTTCTCCTCTGAAGCTGCTCTCTGTCTCAGTCATTGTTTACTTCACTCATGAAGCTCATCAAGCACGTAGCAAGATCCGAGCATGAACCCGAGCGCTTTATTCGCCTATCAAAGGCAGACGGGTACGGTGATTTCATTCACCGCGACTCCAGAAATGATTAAAAAACTACAAAATGACGTATCCGCGCTCCCGCTGATATGCTGACATGCGTACACAGAGCAGAGCTGTCCCCTCGCGACTCTCTCCCCGCCTCGTCTCCTACAGTCTGTCAGCCTCTGTGCAGCACCTTCGGAGCAAGCAGGGGCGCCTACAGCAGCGGGGGGTCGCCAATTTGACAACAAGAGTTAATACATAACCGCTTTGCAGTTAAGATTTATTATTATTATCTTTTATTTTATTTTTTTGGAAGTGCTCGTGCCGCCCCCCATGAGTCATGACACAAATGCCGCCCCGGGCGGCTGCCCTGTTCGCCCGTGCCTAGAACCGCTACTGCATCCTGGAGCAGTTTGTTAACAGTGAAAATGAAGCTGCGATGTAGTGACATAAGGACAAAGATGGTGTGAGCGTTAGTCCACTTTAAATAAAATAAAATTTGATTAGATTAGATACCAAAATGACCCAAGGGAAAAATAAGACGATGCATCAAATTTTACGTCCAAATTGGAACAAAGCAAACAAGCTCTAGGTGTGGAAAAGACCAAGTTTTAATACTTCCGCCTTCTTGTGCCCTACACGAAAGAACCTTGTTTTGGTGTAAACTATAAACTCTACCCCCCCAACCTGACCTGAAGAGAGTACAGAGAGATTTGAGTGTACATCTTAGGCTTTGGAGATCATGTATGAAAGGTAAGTCCCTGGAAATATAAGGGCCCAGGGTATCCAGGAAAATGTCCAGGAAATTTCAGAAGTTCTTGTGTTAGATGAGATTTTTGTGAGACTGTTGTTCGCCAGTATTTTCATACAGCCGGGGTTGGTCATAATGGACTATATAAATGTGCTGTTAGAGTTTTAGCATTACCATGAGATCCTACTTTTTGTACTTTTATAATATGTCCAGACAGTAAAATTACCAACATAGAAAACATACAAACAAAAATCAAAATGCAAAAGAAGAATGCTGCTCCCATCTTAAAAGGGCAATCTAATTAAATCTGTAATTACCATAAATGCTGATTCAAGGAAATACTGAGCAGAAAAAAATTAAAGCTCCACACGCCTCTCAGCTCAGATTTATAAACTACATGTTACATTGCTCTCCATTATCAGTAGTTGTCATTTAATCAACTAAATTAGGATGAGAAGTAAATTGAATTTGTTAATAAAACCGATTCATAGAAAACTACTTTACTTGACCAAAGTGACAACATCCTCAAGTTACATAAGTGAACCTTGCAAAGCTAAAAGTAGATAAATGTGTGACAGAATTACTATGACTACTGCAAACAGCTCTGTGCAGAGAAGAAGAAAAATGTAGTTTTACAAATAAGATATTCCCTTTTTGTCAGTTCAATTCAAAACAAAAGTGCATGAAGATTTGATCTTGATCTAAGAGCTCACAGTGTGTGCGGTCTTTGTCCACGGGCCAAAAATCTCTTGTCTAACTGCACTCATAAGACCTTTCCTGCACATACTTACGAAAAAGTCCTAAATTTTGATGGTCCAATAAATGTGCTGGCTAAAACCTTCAGGAATCAAGACCCTAAATAACTGCATTGAAATGAGACTTTGCCAAACACATGTAGAGAACTTGTGTGTGTGTTTTTTGTAATGCTCTAGATCCATTTGTTTTTGCGCAGTGTTTAGCCAGCAACTGCTCCACTAACAGACAGACAGACAATATTTCACTTCTAAACCCTGGAAGAGGATGGAGGTTTGAGTGGGCCTCATAGACCTCCCTATTTGAAGTTTTATGGATGCTTGTCTTAAGTAAACTCAGATGCGGGTGTAATAATCTAACACAGTATTAAGGAGGTGGGGACCAGGATTCAATCTAAAGCATATGTGTAAGTAAGAATCAGAAAAAAAGCCAACATATGCTGCCTGACTGGCCTCCATGTGTGTTCATATCTACTGCAGAGCACACTTTAGCCTTTACAGCTTTTGTTTCATATCCTGTCTCCTCCGTGTGAACCACAGCTTTCATTTATCACGTGCATGTAGACATACTGTAGAGTCCATGTGGCTGAAATATATGAGGTCATGTTGTCAGTGAGTGTAGCTTTAAAACTCTGTAAGTCATCCATGTGTCCCATGAAGCATCCTTAGATTTCTCCTCATTATTATACTTGGTGATTACAGGGGCTGTGATGAAAGTCCTGTGGCTGCACAAGGTTAGGAAGAGGGCAGAATGCGAATAAAAAACAACCCAGAATGATTTACTGCAACAGATCAGTGTTTTAGAGGGACATTATGGAAGCCATCAGTGTTGATTATGACCCTCAGATGTTGCTTCAGTAATGCCCACCAGTGTTTGCTTTATACTGCGACATAATGGTGATATAAGTAGAGATGAGGTGCAGCCAAAACCTTCATGATCATCAGAGGACCACAGTAAAGAGCGCCCTCGAGCACACGATGACGACAGTTACCAATAGCACATGTGCACCATATGAAACGTTTTCACAATGTAGCACAGAGAGGAGGAAGTGCGTCAGCAGAGGTGATCAGTTTAATCTGATTTTGTCTCGTAAAATTAAACAACTGCCTTTTTTTTCTTCTTCACAAGAAAACAAGAGAGGCTCAGTAAATAAATCTAGTAAATGAACACATTTATATTTTCCCTCTTATTATTTTAAACCACAATTAATTAGAGGAATAGAAAACTCACAAAGTGGAAAGCTGTGAGAATAAAACTTTGCTGACTTTGGGCACAAGGGAAGTTTCGGTTTAGTGCAAACATTGGCCTTCAGGGCAAGTCCAGACTTTTATGACCAAGATGGACCAAGTGAGGCACTGTCTTTGTGTGCATGGAGACACAACACAAAAACTAATATTCTGCTGTTTTTATCTCCACTAGACATACAGTACAGGCCAAAAGTTTGGACACACCTTCTCATTCAATGCATTTTCTTTGTTTACATTACTATTTAAATTGTAGATTCTCAGAACTATGAATGAACACATGTGGAATCATGTGCTTAAGAAAAAAGTGTGAAATAACTGAAAACATGTTTTATATTTTAGATTCCTCTAAGTAGCAACCCTTTGCTTTTTTTAGCGCTGCAAACTTTTGCTGTTCTCTCAATGAGCTTCATGAGGTAGTCACCTGAAATGGTTTTTACTTCACAGGAGTGCCTGAAGTAACTCTGACAAGGAACTTCTGTCATCAAGAGCAAAGGGTGGCTATTTTAAAGAAACTACAATATAAAACATGTTTTCGGTTATTTCACACTTTTTTTATAAGTACAAAATTCTACATGTGTTCATTCATAGTTTTGATGCCTTCAGTGATAATCTACAATGTAAATATTCATATAAAAAAATAAAGAAAAGACATTGAATGAGAAGGTGTGTCCAAACTTTTGGCCTGTACTGTATCTACTTTAACTACCAGTATTAAAGCACCACAGTAGCTGCGTTTACATGGGCACAAATAATGGAAATAAAGGCCCGATCGGAATAAAATGCGTAATGTAAACGTAACGATCGGAAGATTCTGATCCAATCAGCTCAATTGCAAAGAAATTGTATTCCGATCGTAAGAGGTGGTTTATTCCGATTGTTATTCCGAAACGCTTCCATGTAAACACTTGATCTGATCGTGACTCTCTTACCTGACTTGATCTTAACTCTTTAGCCTTTGGCATATTTATTGAGGCCAGTTCAGGAGGTTTCATTATTAACACTCTGACATAAAAACACAACAGCAGGTGACGTGTCTGCTCCTCCAATAACATAATAAGGCGTACACACAGGGTAATGATGTCACACCTACACGCACAGTGTAACCTTTGCCAGAACAGTAAAATAAGTAAGCAAGGGCGCCATCTAGTGACAACATTTAACAGGGGGAAAACTCCTGAATTGTATGGAGTGAGCCACTACAGCATTTGTTGGTTTGTTGACAGCACAGGCGTAAATACAACTCTTCGTCCGAATGTTTCTAATCTGAATAAAACTTGGTGCATGTATATACCCATGTCATGATTGGATAATTTGATTTTGCACCCTTATAAACAGTGGATTCAGATTATCCAATCCCTCCAATTTTTAATCGGATCAAGAAATTTTGCCCATGTAAATGTGGCTACTGATGGTATTTTACTGTGTATGCCTTAGCTTCAAAAGTACCAACATATGAACCTTCAACTCCATTCTCAAAAGACTCAACAGGAAGTTATTTTTTCAAAGACACAATTTACAGTTTAATTTAGACGTGCACCGTCTAACTGTCAGTAATGTAAAATGTAAATAAAATGTTGATTGTTGCAGTTCAGCCCACATAGTTGATTTTGGCAGAAGTCCAGCTTTTGTCAAGCCAACCGTAATCCAGGATTTTAGGTTGGCATATGGGGTGGCCTTTCAAACCAAGGGGGGCCCATGCCTCCAAGTCACCGTTGTAGACACACCCCTGATCAGTATACTAACATGTATACAGTCATGTTATACTTGTGCCTGAGTCCTGAACAAAAGTATAAGATTGGCCCAGAGAAGGATCCTGGACTGGAAAAAGAGTGAAGGAGCAAACTGAATACATTTGAGAAAAAAGAATAATCTCAGATTTAAGAGGACAGGTTAACAAAAAAAACAAATTATTCTTGGTGATAATTATACAAATTGATCCAGGATATTTTTGTTTCCTAGCCAAATGGTGAACCAACTAACCAACCAACATCCCACTTTATAGTGCCGTGCTTCAAACAACGAACAGAAGTTGAATACCTGTCAATGTGTTAGCAAGACCAAGTAATTGTTATTAAAGAGTGAACTCTGAAATTTAATGTCCCACCAGATTAAAACCCTGATGTCCAGAGCAGAATACCTCAAGAAACATATCAAGGTAAGCTCCCTGGGATCAAAGTGATATTTGTCGATTTAATTGTGAACATCTCTAACTTTTTTATAAACAAAAATCCCATCATGCTTTCTCTTAACGCTAAAAAGTGTCTCTCATTGAGAACTTTGCCTCAGAACATGTGAAAACAAATGCTGAATCAGTGCCCCCACCAGCGTTTTCTAATATTCTATTCTAATATTCTTTAAGTTTGTTTTTTTGGGTCACACAGCTGCACTTATATTACTTTTAATCTGTCTCATGACCAGCTTTGACTCTTCTCACAGGAGCTTTAACTCCCCGTTTCTGTAAATCCTGCACTTGTTTTATTAAAGTTATTACTTATTGCTTTTGGCTGAAGGCAGGTATGTGTGAATATTTCAGATGCAGGAGACTCAAAGGGACGCGTCTCTGGATCGAGAACCTCTGGCAGACTCCGTCAGAAGCTGTGAGTTTCCCCACTGTGTTGTACAAACTGCCTTTCTGCTCAGAGTGTGTGTTTTTTAAGGAACCTTGCAGCAACTCTAATAAACTGCTTCATGTAGGTTTGGTTCAGGAAGGTTATTGGGGTGAAATGAGGACTGAAAGTTGTAACGAAGCGTCCTTTCATTAAACGTTTGTTCCTCTTGTAAAATATGAGCCATTCTCTAGCTGCGCTGGCCACCCTGCAGGACTGTCTGGCTCTTTGATTTCATCTCAGTGCAGCCCTGGGCCACTCTGTCCTCTGCCCTCTTGTAAAGCCAACCTTGTGAAAGTGAGACTTGCTGCTTTTAGAGAGCAAACTGTCTAACACAAAAACATTAGAAGAGACACACATAATTTCATCCTTTCACATGCTCCCATGCTGATTTGTTTTATGTATAAATGTTTATAAAGTGAATATCAAGTACAAATCACATCCAAACAATGATATGAAGAGCATAATATACAAATTAATGTAGCATATTGTAAAATATACTGGAACCCCATGAACAGATTACTGAGCAGCATTGAATAAAATGTGATGATTATTCCATGAGTCGTATTTTAATATATTTAGACCCCGATAGCTGTCACATATCTACACATGCAGCCTAATTCCCAGCATTTTCTGGGCCCAGCACTAGATGAATAGTAGATACCTAAAGCCCAGACAATATCCTGTTCTCAGCGAGAAATTCCTGTGGAGTTATGAATAAGAAAAAAAAGTGGGGATGGGGGAAGGGCAGGAAAGACTCTGGAGACCGCTCAAGTTTCACGAAGAACGTGACTTCTTATTCCGCTGCTGTTATTTTAATAAAACTGCGCCACAGTCAGCCGTACCAGCTGGCACTGGGCCAACAGCAGCTGTGCTGAGAGGGTCGCAGAAACGCCCAAGTCTGTCTGCTGACCTTAGACTACACCAAAACATCACACTGGAACCTGCCGCAGGCAATTTACATTGAAGATGTCAGGCTGCACTCTGTGTTTCAGTGGCCCAGTTAGAGTTCCACCGCTGGAGCCTGAAGCACTAAATCCTTACTGACTCACAGCTACATCACATGCAGAGGTTTTTTTTCTTCATGTCAAAGATTAGAATTAATGAGTACACATTTATATTTACATTTTTCTGTGTATGTTGTAAACAATAACAAGAACATTTTCTGTTCAGGTGTTAAGTAGGGCCCATCTTTCCTTCAAGGTCAAATTTTACACCTACACACCGTGTATACAAGCTGTCTGAAAACTGCTAATGATTATAGTAAACATCACTTCTTCTGACATTTTTCAAGAGGACTACAAATCTCACCACATTGTGCCCAAAGAAAATCTCAGTTTAAATCATCTCTATCAAAATTTTACAGTAAGGTAAGAAATGATGGTAATTTGAAAGCTGAAACTTTTTGAGAAGTTCAGTCAAAGGGTTGGTTTGTCTTCAGATGTTAAAGTTTAAAAACTGTCTTTAAAAAAAAAATGTTTTTCTCTGCAAACCTGAAAGCAGCAAGAAACAGACAAACGTCAGATGTGGTTACTATCTCCATAAGGGGTGGGAGAAAAAAATCGATACAGCATAGTATTGCGATATTTTGTCTGGTGATACATCGTATTGTCTCATTTACTAAGTATCGATTTTTCTAATTAATTGTTAATATGAAGTCAAATCTATGATAATGGAAAAATAAAATCAACAGTTTGTCCAGTGAGGTTGGCAGAGGTGACATCATAGTGCGGGAGAAAGTTAGTACAACAAATATGTATATAAGGTTTGCAAGATGTGCTACATGAAAAGAAAATACAGCGTAAATAAAACAAACATAAAGGAAAGACAAATGCTAAATTAGCTAAACAGTTGAGAAAATTGAAAAGTATAAATCGCAATATATTGTATCATAATACTCACTGTATTGCAAAATGCAAAAAATCACAATAATATCGTATCGTGGCCCAAGTATCGTGATAATATCATATCGTGGTGCCACTAGTGATTCCCGCCCCTTATCTCCATGAAGTTACTTTAGCTGGAATTTTTGTCATATATTAGGAGGTTGAGTTTTGCCAAACAGGGATTTTTTTTTGTAACATATATCATTCATTTGTGTTTTTTCAGCTTGCTGTTTGCAGTAAGTTCAACACCAGGCGTGGGAACCGGCTGAGACACCCCATGAAGCATCAGATCGCCTGTCAGTTAGCATTCAAGTCACACAGACTCCACCTGAACAGGTTTCTGTCGGGGCTAAATCAAAACTGTGCCACACCACATCCTCACCGGGGCAGAACACTGTCTGGGTGGGATGTTCCAGTTGCCAGCTTCATGTGGTGGATGTTTTGGCTGACGCGGGAGGGTTGATGATTTATCTGGCAGGTTGAGAGCTTATTAATTCTTCTTGGGGGGAAAAAAAAATACTGAAAGAAGCTCTTGAACTTTGAATGCTCACCCTGGTGAATGTGGATGTTAGATCCCAGCTCTTTGCACTGTGTTTTTGCAAATGCTCGGCCTGAAACCCCTCCTCCTGGCGCTCCATTGATATGTAAATACTGGACAGCTTGTATGACAATACCACACTGTCATGGTAAACGAGTTAAACCGAGGCTGCTGCATTTATTCCAGCCCTGAACATTCAACGGGAGTCAGAGCACACCTAAAAACTGTGAAAATCAGAAAACAGGATTACATAGGAACTGTGACGTTGAGAAGAATCACATGAGTTTGAACTGTAGTTACTAAATCATATTGAGGCCTCTGCAAACATGCACATTCCCCCTCAGCCCTCCTTCCCCGCTGCCTTTACTGTGGGTCAACCACAGCCTCACCATGCTCTCTCCACTGATCGAGCCTTCTCCACCACTATGAGGGGAAAACTGGAGAGGTGCGGCCTCTGCCTTATTTACACTGGACTCTGATTTTCTTAGGTTTGGCACTGGTTTTCTGTTTGAGGGATACAGTGAGTAGTGGAACTCAAGCAAAGCCTTCATAACCAGGCCTCTGTGAAACAGTAAAAAAGCTTAACAGCCGGTGGCAGCCTGGTAATCCTCTCTGTTGTAGGTCTACATGGACTGTTTTGATCTCAGAAAGGTTGAGCACTTCAATATTCCAAAAGGGAGCAGGACTTTGAAGACTGAAGAAAATAACTGAAGCAGGATTTAAGGGAGAAAAGTATCAATACGTGTGCTGGAAAGATTTACACAGTGCTGCATTGTTTAATGTTTTCTTTGAATGTTTGTACAGCTGTGATTTTATATGACATGTATTTATTAAAAGAGAAATTCAGTTGGAAATCAAACTGAGCTCTCAGGTCTGTGTAGGTTGGATGTTTTGTCAACAGCACCAGGCAAACTCTCATATTTCAGAACCTATGGAAAGATTAATGTGCCGTCGTGGGAGCACTGCTGCTGGTCCCCGGCCATCGTCATCATCTGGAAGGCCGCTCTGCAGGAACAGCTGGCTCATGTCCACGAGAGGAGGAGAGAAAGGGAGGCAGACATGGGAAAGAAGGTACATCTGATTACAATAACATCCAAACGGAAGTCTGGAAACGAAGGAAACTAAATTAATACACTTTCAGACCTTTACTGCCCTAAAATTATGTGAATCACGCAAGGAATTCATTACCTCTGGTTTATACTTTCTCTTTTTATTGCTCGTGTCTCTTCTGTCATGGCGCTCCAGTCATCTCTTTCTTCCAAGTGACCATTTTGAGCTTTTCTGCTGGTTACAAAAACAGACATGCACCGACTGTGAAATCAGAGCTGATGCTTCTGTCTCTTCGCATTACTTCTTTGTAATTCCTGGTGTCTGTTTTTGCAATGAGCTGATGTCTCTCAATATCCGCTGTCAGCCCTTCCTCTTGAGCCGATCTTAAAGTGTCACAAGGACATGTCTAAAACACTGTAGTTGCTGATCCTTCTCAAAGGCCGTGTTATTCTTACATCGTCTGTGGATCATCTTTGTTTGACTGTAAAAACAAAACAGTTCGTCAAACAGGTCACTTCTTCTGCCCTATAAAAAAAAAAACCTTCTTTTCCTGGATCAGAAGTTAGGTGCAAGATCAAGATGAGAAACAAACATGAGTGGAAAGAGGGTATTCTTCTGTAAAAGTACAGCTCATTTAATGACATTTAACTTAGGCTGAAGTAGAACCACCAGTCGAGTATGTAAGTGTAAGTAATAAGTGCTTTATTTGGAGTGTATTGATCGTAGAAATAGGAGGTAGCAGAGCACAAAAAATATGTGAAAGCGTATTTCCTGACTTCGTATTTGTGATATAACCAACATTAATTCCTGATTCAAGATTTTTCCCCCGCACCAATTCAGGGTGATGGAACTAAGTGGTTTTTCATCTTCTCTTGTCTGTATTGCACTTTGTCACAGAGGCCAGTGCTGGATCTGCAGAAAAGCTTGTTATTATAAACAAAAAGTCAAAACTTTATTGATTGTAGGGAGTAGAAATGTCTGAAAATGCAGTACGCAACATTTTCTTTGTACTTTTCTTGGCCCAAGATGTAACACTTGTTAACACTTTAATGGGGAACTTATCAGGATATTTTTGTTTGAATTATCTTAAAAAGGTTTACACATGGACCTGTCACATCAGTGTGTAATGTTCACTTGGTAAAGGATGCTATGTAACATTTAGTGAAGTGCTTTTGGTTCATAAAGAAAATACTCTAGTGAAAATAAAAATAAGATTTAAAAGTCAATCAAAAAATTACACAAAGCTGCTCAGTTACAGTCATGTGAGTACATGTAAAAGTTGATTTCCCAATCACTAGGAACAGTAAGGTTCAGACAGGCTGCTGACATCAGTGCAGGTGGGTTGATCAACAGAGTAAATATTAATTCAATCTATTTATGTATTTATCACTATAATGAAAACTCATCACAGATTTACCAAAAGTGGTTTTATGATTTCCACTGAGGTCCAAAGCAAAACTTATAGAAAATAGTGTACATGAAACTGTATGTTCATATACAAAGAACTGCACCAGAGGTGATTAAGAATTGGTGTCAGACGGTATAACTCATTAGTGACCCGATCGGCCTATCAGGAAGGTTCAAATTAGCAGCTTGACACGATTTTTAGCTAGTGTGAGAAAAAGCTGAATAGATGAAAGCGAGGAGTGTAAATCTGTAATGAATATGAGTTCACGGTTTTGATGTAGATCTACAGTAGATCAGTAACTCATTTTACAAAATATAGGAATCAGGTTTTTAAACTAATAGCAACAATCAATGAGGACATCTCTGACTTAGACAGTTTAGGTTGATTCCTTTACGTGTCTTGTCACTCTGTCAGCTTATAAAGTGATATACAGTGACTTGAAAACATATTCATACTCCTTGAACTTTTTCACATTTGTCACTCTACAACCACAAACTTAAGTACTGCTGAGTTCCTTGGTCTCCATGATGCTCTTTGTTGACTAGTTTTCTCTAACAAAGCACTGAGGCCTTCACACAACAGTTGTATTTATGCTGATACTAAATTACACACAGGTGGACTCTATTAGCTAATTAGCTGACTTCTGAAGGCAATTGATTACACTGCATTTTATTTAGGGGTATCAGAGTACAGGGGGCTGAATACAAATGCACACCACACTTTTCAGATTTTTATTTGTTTACATTTTTGAAAACCATGGATCATTTTCATTCCACTTCACAATTATGTGCTTCTTTGTGTTGGTCTATAACAAAAAATCTCAATAAAATACTTTAAAGTTTGTGGTTGTAGAGTGACAAAATGTGAAAAAGTTCAAGGGGTATGAATACTTTTTTCAAGGCACTGTAAAGTAAGCTGTGAGGTTTACTGTAAAGGAGGTCTACTTCACTGGTGAGACTGAGGTGATGGACCGCCATTGTTTTCTTCGCCTCATCCAAACAGCCAGCTAAGCATATTTGGAGAACCATTTTGGCATTTGAGTGAGATGAGGCCATGCCAGGGGAAAAAAAGAAAAAAAGTGTAAATAATAGAGTGAGATCAATATTGTGATATTGAAATCAACCTGTTGGAAACAGCAAAATGCATTAATCAAAATAATTTACTTTGCCAGCCTAAACAAAGGAGTTACAGAGCTGATATTTAAATGAGAGCAGAAAGAGGCCAATTAGATCTATTTTAATTGAAATCTGTAAATATTTCATAGTGTGTGAATTTTGACACATGCTTTAGCTTAATATTAAGTAAAACTGAAAAACCTCTGTGACCCCCCTTACTGTTTAAGTCGAGGAGCCCTGCTCTGAAGGAAAACACAGACGACCATGTTATCTTGATACAATCATTCATGGCCTCAGGAAAAAACATGCAGTTGTTGTACTAAAAGTTGTGAAATGCAGTGCTTGGCTGTTGCTGCCTTTGGTCAAACCCGTGGTTTCCAAATGTGCCCAGAGCTCACAGCTATGTTTGTTTTCTCCCCGACCAGCTGCTTAATCACATTCACCTGCCAGGTGTAAATCACTCCCAGACTCTCTGGTTAGACCAGAGAGCAGTGAGGCCGCAAGTCCTGCAGGATGGAGAACCACCGGGTGCAGCGTTTGTGGCTGTGTTGTGGAGGGTAGGGGGGGCTCTAATTGGCTAACTGTGCCCGTGGTGTTGGCTCAGCTTTATTTCTTTAATCATGACTGGAGCTTTTTACTGCCAGGAAAACTTTGGATGCAGTTTTGACCCTTGTGCTTGCTTTGTGTCTTGTGTGTGGGAGGTGAGCCAGACTATATACCACCACCACCAAAACATGCACAGAGTATCTTTAATGCAACCCAGAGAGAAGGAGTCTGAAATGGAAACCTCCACCCCCTCTTTTAAAGACTTCCCCCCTAGTCTCCTTTCCTAACCACAACCTACGGCATTGTGGCTTAATTGTGGCCTCCATTTCTCTTAAGCTCCAACAACACTGCTTATTGCTGCTCCCCCTCCAGGTTCTCCTCGTCCTCTCACGCTTATGTTCAGTACTGTTATAAGAACAACTTTTGAGTCATTCCATCATCATCCATGAAGAGGGCACTCTTCAAGACCTGAAGGAACCCCAAACCTTTGACTCTGGCACCCCCGTACTGAAAACAGAGCGCAGGTCAGCCTTCAACGTTGGCCCGATGGTTATCATGAATGGAACATTGTACCTACAAGAGACAAGAGCCTCCAAAATCCTCTGGTCACTCCCACTTTGGAGCAGCAGAGAGAGAGTGGGGGTCAGGTCAAGGGGGTTGGTGGAGGGGGGGTTTGTTTCGGAGAAATTGCGAATAAAGATAATTTAGAAAATGGGCTGCAGCACAGTGCTGCCTCTGTATCCCCCTGTTCCCCTCCACACACTCAACTCCCCGAGGCTGCTCTGCTCATGTTTGTTTTGATTTGGCTCCCAGATTCGGGGTGAGTAGGGTTGAAGTGGGGGGGTTATGTTGGAGGACTTTAAGATGCATGGCAGTGGTTAAGACAGATTGGACCATAGACAATCTAACCAAAGTAGAGGGAGTCATGCTATACTGTAGCTGTAGGCCTCCTGTGTTTCTCTATCTCCCTGATTTTATGACACAAGAGACAGTTGGAAGTGATCGTGGATTCCTGTGGTTGAGGAAAAAAATCAGGAGAAGCTGTGCAGACGCTCATTCCAGGCTGGAAGATGTTGAAATTTGCCACCTGTATCTCAAGTTACAAACTGATTTTGTCACGCAAGGCCGGGGACGTTGTGACAAACACGTAAACGTGGTCCCACAAACATTTCTTATTCAATTAAAGGATGGCGGTCACAGATTATATAATTTGAGAAAAAGTGTAAGAGACCTCTTTCCTGGTCAAAATCCATCTGTTAAATGAGCCATGCCTCATGACAGAGATGGTTTCATTTTGCTTTAAGACTCAAGCTCGATGAGAAGAACTTTCCTTTAAACTTTGAAACAGTTAAATGTTGATCAATTGATTCGTTTTATTTTGCCTACTCTTTTTTTTACTCCTGTTTGAATGTGACAAAGTTACTTTTGCAGTACAGCTGTTCACGTCTTGTTTAGCTGTGCAATTTTACAGCTACAATCAATGCCCTTTAAATACCTGTGTGACAGGCTCAAAGCAGCTGCTCGCTCCAAGACTGTTGGTTCACAAGACTTGAGTCTAATAGCATGAACTGTGATCCCAATAAAAAACATCAGAAAGCAGTTTGATACCAGCCCAATCGGATCATTTAACACTTTTTGTTGCCTGTTAACTCCCCCAAATCCAAAAACCACTGCGGGTTAATTAAAACCATAAGCCTAAATTATAAATAGAGCGGTGATTTGGTCTGATTTTTGCCCTGCTAAAGATGTATTCTCCAAAAGTTAGACACTTTAAATTCCCCCACAGGTATTAGTTACACTGACCTAATCCCTGAAATATTAGACAGAGAAACAAAACGTCACATGCAGGGCTTACTTTGGAGTTACTCTGGAGGGCTGACTTGTGAATGACATTTTTAAACAACAGCCTCTGCTTTTCAGATGCTGTAAAGATGACTCCCAAAAAGACAGTAAACAGAAAACCCCCCTTGAAATCTGAACGGCCACCCTAAAATCCTTCACTTTGATCAGCTATTTGCTGTATCAGGTACAGATCTTATAATAAAATAAAAATTTTTGACTATTTTGCCACATGTTTATGGTAGCTGTTGTGAATTTCAGTTAAATTAATTTTCTTTTGTTGATGCTTTAAAGCCACAGTGAGGAGTTTTTAACTGATTATCAAACAGGCTGAAATGAATATCTCTGGCTCTTTATAACCCACAGAGGCAAACAAAGCCATCAGTAACATGAATAGCTATTATTACGATGAAGTCATTTTTGATGCCTGAGCCTCCTGTCTTAACAGCTTTAATTTACCTTTTAAATATTCACTGCAAGTTACATATTTCACTGTACACATGGCACCAGCCTCACTCACATTTAGCAAGCAAAAACTGTGAGTGAACTTTTACACACTCAGCACAGTTAGGTGCAAAGTCCGACAATCGTTCAAATGATGATAATCACTGTCACAGCTCTGTACTGTTTTTTTGTGCAACAGTAACTTTTTGTCTTTTTTTCCCATCCTCTCTTTGTTTGTCACTGTTTACTACTCGGCTTCTAGCAATGCATTCATGCTAGCTATTTAACTTCCTGCTTAAAGCCTGGGGTGTCAACACTGGAGCGTGAGCAGAATGTTCAGGCCAGTTCCAGTCTGATCCCCAACTGCATAATTCAAGTGTTAATCCAACTATGAGAAGTTTGATTTATTGCAATTTCAGTCTGACTAATGTGTTTACATGTTCTTTTAAACGGTGAGGTGTTTCGGTCGGACTAAGGTAGTAAATCTAAGTGTCCGGCTTTTACACATGCGTATGGACTTACACCTTCTTTTTGAGTCCTTAAAGATTTAAACTAACAAGGTTTGAGTATTTAATTAGTCAGTTTTTTGACATTTTAAAGCTGAGAATTACAAACTATTCATATAGTACATAATAGTGACACTTAATTGTTAAGTTAAATCAAATATGATGCGTACTCAGAAATGAAGAACAAAATGTTATTCCGCTGTGTATATGCACATATATTCTTTGCCCCCCTCTCTGTTAGGGTCCCCAGTCAAAAAAAAGTCCAGACACACCCCTGCCCACTCTCGAAGCACCACTGAAGCATAAACCTCTTTAAACATACCATTAAACATACTTACAGGGTGGCGTAAGTTCCCCTGAACCTCAGACATAGCATTTATGTAGAACTGTGACACAAGAAATCACAGTAACATGAAATAAAAACCAAGTTTTTCAGACACTTTGCCTGTGGATAAATCACATCTCTACACAGCTTTAGCTCATAACCATTTTATTATAAAATCCAACCTCCCACACTGAAGACACCGCACTGAAATGTTTACTACTACCCTTTGACATGAGATGAAAAACTGAAAACTCTAAATCACAACCAGTTTGACAGAGAAAATCTGAACTACATTCCTGTTTTTATCATAAACTGCATGTAAGTGACAGCTGGCAGACACTGGCTTATTGTACTGCATATACTGTGCTTATAAAATATATACACATTCTTCATGTTCTAGCTTCATAATTTAACATTTATCAATATTCTTCAAGACTTCATTACAAAACACACAGATTAGTTTGACAAAACTTCAAGTGGCAAAGACATGAATAGTTATCTTCATTACAAATAATGATGAATCCTAAAAACGCTGTTTTGTATTTTCCCTTTTTGATGAACAGTTTGATGCAAATGAGAAGAAGAGACCGAATGAGTGCTGGTTTGAATACAGGGACCTTCAAACAGGTAAATTTGCCCCAAACAAAGCACCTCCACATGTGAACAAACACAACATTAAATCTTTTAAAACTCTTTTCTTTGAGTCTATGAGCTGAATTTAGTCCCTTGTTTGAGTTTAAATGTAATTCTGCATTTGTAAAGATCACTACATAAAAATCCTGCATGTTAAACATGTTCAATTCACTCTTAATGCAATATTGCATGTTACCAATCTTTGAGCACTCATACTGTTCATGGCTCAGGAGCTGATGCGCTGGTTTTCCTGTTTGCAAACTTCCATGACACTGCTGTTTTCACCGATCAGTGCGTTGTTGCTGCAGTGTTGCTACACTTAAGATTTAGTGTGACTAACATGATAGGTTACATCCTCAAACTTCACTTCCATTGTTTAATAAGCCTATGAAGAACTATTGCAAAAATTCAAGATCATATTATTCCGATGTTTCACCTCCTAAAATGAAGATCTCTCATGTGTGATTGATCTGAGCTGAGTCAGAGCAGGTAAACTCCTCCTCCTCATGAACCACACTGTGAACAAACTCCAGGCCTGATTTGTTGACCTGTTCACACCAGCAACACTCGGTGTTTCCTGGCTTGTTGCGAGAGTGTGAGAGCTGTAATAAAGACAGGGGTCTTTTAAAGGCGTAAATGGGGGCTGGCTGTGGAGAGGAAGAAGAGGAAGGGGAAGGAGGGGTGTCTCAGGAAAAGTTCAATAAAACTATCACAGATGGGGGAGGGGCTTCAGAAAGACAGCTGGAGAGGGGCTTCAGTTAATTTCAGTACTTGATCCCACACCCTCGCCTGTCCTTTGACAGTGTCCACAAATATTTGAAGTGTGGTTGCTGCAACAATGCTGAGGCCCCTGAAATGGAGAGCAGAGCAAACAGAGGCTGGATGGGTCCAATGTTTGTCTAAGGTCTTAATAAGGCCACACTCCAAGTACCATTGAAACCAAACCAAACAAAAAGGAGCGAGTTAAAGGCACACAAGATGGCAACAAAGTCCTGCTAAGTCCATTTCCTCTCATTATCACCTTTTTAGTTTTTGTGCCGTTTGTGACAAGAGGCTTTAGTTTATCTCTTCAACAAGTGATCCGGTCACTCAGAGCAGTGTAAGGCATCCATGTGAAGATTTGAGTTGGTTTTCCTGAGTGAGATGTGCACAAAGATGAATAAGTATGCAAATTATACAGCCGAAAAACGCCTACACAGATAACTACTGTGCTGACTGTCACTCTGTGACTAAATCTGGATGACAGTGAAGCCTGCACACTCCCTCATCCAGCAGTTTGAGTCCTGGGCTTGCAAGCCAATGCTGTACTAAAGCCACTTGAAAAAGTCTCCCCCTTTTCTGGACTTTCTTTCCCCAGTTTTGTTTTTTTTCTCACACTTTCAGGTATAAATCCAACGAATGTTTTAAGACCTCAGCACAATATCCATGCCAAAGGAAGAAGCAGGAGAGTTATGCTGCTGCTTGTAGACCCTTGTGAAGCAGAGGAATGGTCAGTAAACTCCTCCTCTCTGTCACTTTTTGGGTCATAGTCCTCATCCTCATACATGTCATCCACATCAGGCTGGTCTGAAATAACACTGTGGTCTCCTATGGAGCAGAGTTTGCTCATGTTCTCCTTGACCACTTCACAGAAGGGCCTCTCGACCCCATCACAAACACAGCGGTTCAGCAGCATGCCGTTCGGGATGTAGAGCATCTGCTGGATGGTGGCTTTGCACTTGGAGGAGCACTTCCTGCCGTTGAACAGCTGGCCGCAGTATGACAAGTAGGCTGTGAGGGAGGTGTGGCAGCTGCTGTCTTCCTCGCAGCGCTGCCGAGCCTCCATGCAGCCGATCCCCCCGGCGTCGCTCGGGTGTCTGCGGGGAAGACAGGGCTCGATGGCTCGCTTGGCGCTCTGGCACTCCAGATCCTGTGCGCAGTCGCAGGTCTCCAGGTCCGGCCCGCTGCGCGTGTGATTCAGCCGTATGAGCGCGTTGATGCAGTGGCTGGGGCACTGCATCCTTGTGCCTCTGATGTTCCCCTCACAGGCTGCTAAGTACTGACTGTATGCAAGTTCGCACTCGGGCTCTTCGTGGCACCGGAGAAGCGCCTGCCAGCAGATTAGCTGGGCATCTAAGGCCACCAGCACCCAGGGGAGAAGTGCCAGGGCGCTGCACCAACATTTCATGCTTGGATGGAGGTCTAGTTTGGAGACGTGAACTTTCTCCAGGATCAGGAGAGTTGACACATTCAATCTTTGAGATTTAACTTCATAAGTATTCCATTTACGCGTCTGAGTCGTAGGAAGCACATGCAGTCATTTTTGCAAAGAACCCACAAACGTGCACGTAAGTTAACTTCGTCTCCTCCTGACGAGATTTACAACAGGATCTGACTCAGGGAATTCACCTCGCGTGGCTGCAAAAGTAAAAGCAACATCACAAAAGCAGTTATTCCGGGAAGCATGTCCGTTCAGAAGGGGGGAATTTTACTCCAAAGTGAAGTCTGAGTCAGCTCCATGCCACCAGAGCAGATCTGAGGTGGACACCGAAAGGCGCCGCGGGGCTATCCAAAGTTAACGCGCACTCTCACCGCAGTTATCGTCCACAGCTCAGTTTGTACACTTGAAATCATCTTTCTTGCCATTGTAAGTGTAAACGTCTCTTCTCGGTTTTACAGCTTTTCACCTCCATCCGCAGATTTCTTGTTTTATGAGTTGGCAGAGGTTTGTATCCGTCGCATTCTGTCCCGCTATGTGCGTCTTTGTCCCTCTTCTTGCTGTTACGCTTCACGGTCCGCCGAGCATTTCCCCACAACACCCCTCCCTCTGTCGAAAAAAGAAAGAAAAGTTTTCCTTCCCCCCTCTCTCGCGCTCTCATTTACAATCCTGGCCACCGATTGGTCGTCATTGAGGAGTCAGCCGTGGGACCCATTTCCAGGCCTGCAGCAGCTCAACTCTGCGCACAAATCCTCTCAGTACATGACGAGATAGGCTGGATGAAAATGTTTATAATTTTGCTTGCATGAAACTCAGAATCTGTGTGGTCCTCTCCTCTCTCGTAGCAAAACACGAGTGAAAGAGGGGGTGAGGCATACGTGGGGAGAGGGGCTTGCTAAACGCATTCCTTTGCGAGAAGCTCACTCTTGCAAACTTCACTGCTCCAATTTTTAGCGCAGACAAACAAATCTGTTCCTTTTTAGCCGCAGACAGAAAAAGGGAAACCTCTATGATAACTGCCTCCTCGTAGAGGATTTCACTTCAAGCTTCTCGCTAATTGTCGCCCTTTCCCCCTCTCCCTGTCCTGCCTCTCTTTCTGCTCAGTTTGTAAGCCCCGATTGATAGAGGAGAATGGGAGAGAATAGTATTTTCTGGCCCGTTTCACCTCAATTGTGTCAGATTGGCCATGCAGTGGCCCCGTGTCTTTCCAGGCCGCAGATTGTCCACGCACTGCGGCCTATCAATGGAGAGGGGGCTCAGCATCAATATATTTTACAGCCATCCCCTTTCACACCACACTCGAAAACTACCAATAGGCCAGGCTTCTCTGGCATTCAAATGGTAACTAACTTGATTTTTTTTCTTCTGCACCCACTGAGAGTCTGTGCCACTTTAGCTCCAGCTCCATAAAACCAGATGGATGCCCCACCTGAGATCTGTTCAAGACCACCACAATATGACTGATAACCGCTGGGGAAAAATGCAGTCATCTTCATGAGGAAATACATGGAGTAAGCAAAACACATTCTGTGTTATACTGACTGTTTAGAAAAGGAGGGACAAACAGAAACAACAGTCCAACTACTGTGTATCAGCAAGAATATGAGTACCATGAGGGGTTTGATGCAAAACAATTTAGTTCCCATACAAAAGTGCTGCAATTTTTTAATTATTGGAGGAAATTACCAACAATATTATAACATATATCCTGCATGAAAACATGGAGCACACATTTATTCACACGTTTGTTTTACTCTTTTTTTGTTGTTGTTGTTGCTGTTGTTGTTCCACATTTCAATAGTTACCTCAGGATCTCACTGAACTTTTCTGTTCTCTTATGATTAAAAAGTTTGTCTCACTTTAACAGATTCAATTACAGTGGGATGAATTAACTTGAATAGTGAGGTAAACAGTTAGTGGTGGACTGACATCAGTTTTCAAAAACTAGAGAGTAGCATATAAAAATACATCCATTATTCCATGCACATTAAAATTAAATATACATAGATTGAGTGGCTTTATTAAATATATATCAAGCATTGAAAGCTCAAGGAAAGATTGAACCATTTTTGCTCCAAAGTTTTTGTACGTTTCCCACAATTCCACTGCCCCTAAACTTTGAAGGTAGAGTGCAGAATGGTGACATGGACTCTAGGGATGCACGGATTAGCTGTTTTCACCTCCCATACAGATATCTACAGTTTAGTATCAGCTTATACCAATCCAATACAGAAAGGTTGCGCTAAATTACCTTTTGTTGTAGCCTGAAGTTTTACCACTGCCCCTCAGGACGTTTACTGTGCAGGTATTGCAAGTGGCTGTTGAGCTTGTAGGCTGAGGTATTGTGATAAAGGTCAAGATAGCAAACCCCTTTGCTTGCTCCATTTTAAAAACAGTGTGGGCAACGGCTCAGCGTGTTTACTTGTGGATGACACTCACGGCGCATAGCATGAAGTTAGACAGAATAGATCGGCCCTTGTGCACCGGGTCCATTGTCATGATATCCAATGTAGAATTTTCTTCAGTATCAGGACTGATACCAATATCAAATATCAGATCAGTGCGTCCCTAATGGACACAGGGGAGAGCACTATTGCTCTACCGCAGCCACATGATTCATATTCTACATCTTGAGTCATGCTAAAAGTTTATGAAATGAATAATTTGAACCTTTTTAAATTTTCTTATATTCAATTATATCCCATCCTATTGAGAGTTTCCCTCATTAAAAAATAATCGGCAATCCTTACAATAAAATCACTTACTCTGTGTTCAGCGGTTAAACTTTGAACTGAAAAGACTGAACAGTATAAAAAGTTTGTCTATTGAGCTTGCTTCTCCATATGGATTATCTTTCTAATTCTTCTTCATCAATATTTTTACACAAACCATCTTTAAACAATATGTGATCAAAACGGTCCAGTGTTGAATCACCAATCAGGGACTATGAATCTTAATCTGCAGCCATCCTCTGTGGTGCCTATGTGGCTGAGTATATTTTTGTCTCCCCCTAGTGGTCTGACTGCTGCATGCGCGAGACCGCAGAGACACCACTTCGTGCTCATCAAAAGTAGCAGCCCTATGAATAAATCCCACAACACAGAGGAGTTCATTTTTCTAAAAATCAGTTTATTGCAGTTACAACTGAAAAATCACTGAAATACTTTCAGAGACAGAAGTATTTTGAAGACTAAAAAACAAAAAGCAGACAAAGAAGCAGGAATAACTGCGAGTCATGACAGCCATATCCCAAAATAATGAGATTAACAGGATGACAACACACAATGTTACACCAGTTCAGTTATAATACTGTTAGAATAATTATTATTATTATTATTGGGTTGTTGAATTATTATTTGGAGTCGCACACACTCATACATGGCAGTTCACAATATGGCTTCTATTCCACCCATAGATACTCTGTCATGATCAAACATGACAGATTTTATTATGACCTCTATTATAAAAGGACTTATTGCAACTTCTCCTCTGCTTTCTATTATTGTAAAGTTATAACGATACAGATTATCTATCACATGACGATTACCACTGCACTGAATATATGTAGCTGTTGCTTTAGTATTTCTTCAGCAGTAGTTTGGCACACAAAAAAAGACATTATCACTCAGCTTTAAGGAAACACTCTAGCTTCGTCTCCACATTTCCTCTAAAATAAAACATGTAAAATTAAGACTTATGAGCAGAGATGTCAAAGAAAAAATGGTTTTGGCAGTTGAGTATTACGTTAATCAAAGAGGGGACGGAAAATAGATAAAAGCTGACATCACTTTCAAATACTGAAACCAAACACTGGCAAAGTGTAGCGAATATGGATTCAACACAACATCGACAACATCCCCTTTTGATTCCTTCGCTCGTTCCTTGTTCGAAAACAACATAGACAGAATACACAGCCAGACTGTGTGCTGTGTTACTCTACCACCAGGAGGCCCAGCCACAGTATGAGGTTATCATTATTATTTTTTTTTTTACAAAGACACCACTAGAAATATCACATCAGATAAGCAACACGACTCCACCAGCACAAAACAGCACCACCGAGACGCAGGGATCAATGAGATGGAGGACAGGTCAGAGGTCATGTGACGGTCGACGACACTCAAGACGCAGCGAGCTGATGAAAACAGATGAGCTGCTGTTGACAGTACAGGCGCACAGCAGATACATTTACATCCTATACAACATAATGAGGACTTATAATCACACTGCGGTTACACAGTTTACACAGATATTTGTGCCTTTTCCTTGTATGTACCTCTAAGTTTTTCTACACAGGCTTTGGCTTACAATTTCTAAAGCATTTACTCTCCTCTCATCTGAGCAGCTCCTAAAGTTATTAACATCTGAGCGCAGCCAAAGCCACTGATATGCTCTCAATCCTAATTTAATGTTTGGAGTTATTGCACACACTTAGCTATAGAAGCCCTAAGTGGACACACACCACGTCATATAATCAACTCCATGCCAACACTAACGAGCAACGCTAGACACACGTCCATTTATCGGTAAATTGTTAATTGGTTTATCTGTTAAATGTAGGGAAACCATACGTCCTCTTTTATCTGGACATGTCCTCTTTTGGGGGGGCTGTCCAACTTTGTCTGGGGAAGTTTATAACATCCTTCAAATGTCTGGAGTTTTGTATGGAAGTTTCAAGTTTGTGTCGCCTGGACTTACTGAGTTAGAAGCGCGTAAAAGACAATCGATCCGACCTGAAAAACTCTCAAAATTAACTATGCGAAATTCTGTGACTCCACCCCCTGCATAGTCGTTTCCCTTTTTTGGGGGATTTAGAATATGGTCGCCCTAGTTAAATGGTTAAATAATTATTGATAATCGTGAACATCTGATAAATTCAGTTTATCAAACATAATTTTCACTTGAACTGACTTCACTGCAGGAACACAGCGCTATGGCAGCAGACAGTTTGAATGCTCAGCAGGTGAGCCTGGTGGTACGTCCATCACAAAGGGCTCGGCTCAAAAAACCTGTTTCTTGTACATGAAGGATGTTACAAGAAGCTGTTCGATTGTTGCTAAGCAAAATAATCTGAATCTCTCAACAGAGCCACATTTCCCATTACTCGAAGTATCTACGCTGAGAAAGTAGACGGATAAGTAGTAAGATGGATCACAGACAACTTGAACAGAAGCATATAGTCTTTGTAGATCTGAAGTAATCCATTAATCTCTATGGATATAAAGTTTTTGGCTGGACTTGGATCTGGGGAACCCTCTGTGTTTTTACCGTAAAACTTTTAGTATGTTTAACCTTTACGTTACATTGACATTTGTTAATTTGTAAGAGAATATCAACAGATTACCTGAGATCTAAGTTCACCTCTTTGCTAACAAACCTAATTTTGTGCTTTAAACTCTTGGTATATAAATGATGATCCCAGAGAAGTCAAGATCTCAGCTGAAAAAACCAAAATGAACTCAGGGAGTTGTGGTAAAAACAAGAAAGGATGTCCACTTAGAGCTTCATTACTGTACAAAATGCAATATATCTATCCCTACCAGAGGCAAAACAAAACCTCTGCCTTTGTTGCTTTTTGTAAAACTCAAAGTAAAAAGTCTGCTGCCAAACAAACAAATAATCAGGAGAATCTTTGTAGAAAAGTAGCTTACAAATGTTTGAGATCCAGAAACAAAAAGAAGGCACACTGAAGTACGGAAAAAGCTGAAGCAAAAAAGGCTTTTTTTTATGATTTGTCCAGGAGAAGGTTAAAACTAGGACCACTGCAGCACATAGGAAGTGTTCATCAGGGCACCAGGTGGTCAACATCAGTAAGCTACTTCTGACAAAAATCCACCTCAGAGTGATTATTGCACATTTCTGGGAGTTTGTGCTTTCATACGTGGAATTTAAACACCCTCAAAAACAAACTCTCTTGTTTTGTTTTCCTGAAGTTAATGTCCAAATATCCCAAATTCCACATGACTCACATACGGCCTCTTTGCACGAGCGAGTGTGGCACTCATGTTTGTGTGTGTGTGTGTGTGTGTGTGTGTGTGTGAGTGTTTTGATTCCAACCAAACAGCTGATCTCAGTGATGATGTGCATTTGTTTATCAGTGAGATCATCTGTTGTGTGTTTGGGAGCAATGAAAACCATCAGACACACACACCTACACCTGAGACCTCTGCTGCAGAATCATATTGTGTTATCACTGGTCACGCCAGGAAAAGAGGAGGAGGAAGGCGAAGGAGAAACAGAGGAATATTTCCTAGAGGAAGAGGTGCTCTGGAGGAAAAATCATCTCATTGCTTTTATCTCAACGGCAGGAGCCAACGAACCACAGATTTCAGAGTGTAAGGTAGCTAATGTCAATGAAAAATATGAGTGACATTCATGACTTTTAGAATATCTGAGGGTCTGCTGGAAAGCTGGGCTTCTGTTCGAGTTTGTAAGACTCGCCCCTGATTTCATTATCAGTGTCCTCATCTTATACTTTCCTCTCCAAAGGGCCTCTGTCTAACTTTGCACAGCTACGAAAACTGTAATTATGCGGCTCTGCCAACTGACATTCCACCCATGCAATGAGAATATTTTTTTACCCCACAGAGCAGCTCTGCCTTTGAAAAATATTTGTACAAGTAAAACTCTAATCTTCTGGGAGATCACATAAGGCTGCAATTCTCCGTCTGCTTTTTGAGGTCTTCCAGTGTGGCCTGAGCTTTGTCTTTCAGCTGATCGACGTCTAAGTTCTGGATGTTGGACAGCTGGCCCAGCACTGACTGCTTATGCGCCTCCTCCTGGTTGTCCTCAGCGATCATCTTGGCCAGCTCTGTGGGCAACACCACGTCATCCCCCGCCTGCTGGATTTGGGTCTCATCCAGCTCATTCTGATGCAGACACACCCAACAGGACACAGGAGAGGAGAACAATTCAGAGCCAAAGTCTAAATCTGACCGTGAGCTATAGAAGAATTGTCATCTGTGAGCATTGTGGTTTTATACGAGATGTTTTGTTGTTGCAGACTTGTTCATTTGATGTACTTTCCTCTCTCAGAGCAGAGCTATACTAGGTTACCTTTGGTAGTCTGTACTTGTCCCGGAAGTGACTCCTCACTGTGGCTCTCTCAGCTTTCTTCTGGGCAAAATTGGCTTCTCGTTCTTGTCTGCAAGAAAGGGAGGAAATTAGTTCAGTATTACTGGATGTAGTTAAGGCAAACTCTAGCAAGGAAAGCAACCCTGGGAAGCTTTGGATGAGGACTACAAGCGTAACAGCTCACACATTTTAAGAGATTTTAACCTAACTACTAAAATCACACTGCATGTTTTAAATCAACCTTAATTCAACCAGCTTTAGTTATTCCTGTGAGGAACTTTGGTTTGTGTAAATTTTGGCGCCCCCTGTGGATAAAGCATTCTTTGCACATCTTGCCTTTTGAAGATAAAAAAAATCACTGTGAATGTTTTGTGTGCATCGTAAAAACAGGGCGGTTTCTTTTGCTGTGAGCCTGACACCTTACCCCCTCAGGCAATAAAAATTAGGGTATAAAAATCTTAAATTTGGTCACTTATGGCTTTATTTGCTATTGAGTATCATAAAAAGACATAAATACACATTTTAATCTATATCTTTGATGTCAAAAACTCTTCATTGGTGCTTTAATTAGAGTAACCTGAACATTAGAGGCCTCAGAGCTCAGCATCACCCTCTCTTTACGCTAACTACAGAGTGTGGAGCCAGCAGGAGGCGGGGCAGCAGCAATGCCAAAGGGGGGATATGAAGCAAGAAGAGATGCCCTTCTTATGATGAGTGGATCTACTGCATCTTGCTAGTCCTGCGCTCCCCTGAGGGGATCATTTCTTCTGGATGCAAGAGGTAACCTACTAACCGCAACCACTGCCACTCCCCCACTTTCACATCTGTCAGCTCATCCTGTCCTGGATTTTACAATATTTAGCTGTACAGCGTTGCAGTTTGCCTTTCCACCTGCATTCAAATATCTGATTCCTGGAGTGATTTCACCTTTTTAAGTCTGGAAGCCTTCATCAAAGCAGAATCCTTGCAAAACTTTGAGTGTCTTTTGATTTCAAACATGGTTTGCCTGGACCTCAAAGTTAAACATTGTCCTTGGAGCAGCTAAAACAAAGAGTGACTCCGAGGCGTTTTCTAAATTTAAACATCTCTGTTTTGGGAGATTTCGATGTTTTTTTGGTGAGCCCGTTGTCTTTTTAGGCTCTTGTCAACATTTAGCCTACAGTGTGTGAAGCCTCCAGCAGAGGGCAGGCATCAGGCTGCTGGCAGTGTTCCCTCCACTCAAACATCACTGGAATATTTATGGCTTCTGTCAACTTCAAAAATGCCCCTCATAAATTGCTAAATTTGCTGAAATGCCTCGAACATCATGAGCCTACAACATAATTTAATGCCTAACAAACTAAAGGCCACTTTTAATGGAGCCAGTGAAATACAGCCAGTGCTTAAAACTAAATCACCACCATGGGTCTCCAAAGCTAGAGTGGCAGAGGTTGCATCGTACGCCTAGAAGGATCAAATCAGCAGCGTAATCTAAAGTCAGAGGGACACTGGACGACCACGGGCGTCTTTTACAAAGTGTTTGCACCCAATGTGTCAAAGGAAGGTCGTTTTATCAGGAGATGCTGCATTCAGGGGGCTGTCCGTGCAAGCCTGGGCTCACTTTGAATTAGCATGAGCAGACCAGACACCAAATGGCACACAGGCCCGTGCAGAGCTCACTTGCAGCCAATGAGGAGAGCTGTGTGTCTTCCCCTCTCAAGGGCATCAGATGACCAGGGTTGTCACTGTGGCCTGGGTGCTGAGGGTGATAAAATGCCTACATGTGACATGTCAGAGGATCCCAGCCCCCGCTCCAACCTTATTCTGCTTTAATGTGAGCAGGAAGGCTTTCTGGGTGATCTATGCTTCTATTTAGCACCTCTGACTAATAATTCACTTCCACTGAAGGTCACATCATGAAGGCAGAGCGTCAGGCATCCGAACTGCCTCCTGTAGAGCTCAGAGAAGAGATGAGCGTCAATACTTCCCAAATTAGGACTCCACTCTCCACGCAGTGTCTGCATATGACACTGTGTGTGTCGTCAAAGGGATTTTGCTTCAAGAATGAGCCACGACTGGGGAAAAATGTTGAACTCTTTCTTTATATTTGCAAAGACAACATGGCTATTAATCCAAAGTATCCTACTCTAAGACCAGGACACAGCATTTCTGAATATCTGAATATTTGAAGTCCTGCTCCGAGGGAACCCTCAAACTAACCAGGAGTGAGTTTCTGTCTCCTGGGTGAACTCTGGTTTGCAAATTGACCTTGCTCTTAACATGTATTGTCCTCAAGTGGCTTGGGGACATGAACACCATCACAAACATGCAAATGAGTGAAATTAGCATCGGGAGAATTGCATTTAGCAGATTATGCTCAGCAAGTAGCTCACCAATAAAAGCCAGCATGGAAAGTAATGATTATAAACACATCATCTGTGAATACAAGAGAAAAATGCTAATAAAATGTCGATGAGATAACAAAGTAGGGTATATTTTTGAGGCTAGACAGTTCTCAAGACCATCAATTAAACTTTTCACGCCATCATGCATTTATATGATGTGAATTAACCTCGCGATGTGACTCATGTATGGATGATCAAAGTCTAGAAGAGAATACGCCCAATTACATCAAGCCATGTCATACAGGAGAGTTACTGCTAAACTGGTCTCAATCATTAGTTGTTCTCCCAATGAAATTATCCATATTGGTGTTTTGAATTTACCCTCTTTATTTAGCTCTCACTCTGACCTATTAGTCAGTGGCACGCACAGCAATAGGCACATGTTTTGCTCCAGGCATTGAAATCCTGCACACATGTCAATGGAAGAACGATTCCAGGAATTCCAAATTAAAATCGGAACTACACAGTTTGCTGAAGCTGAGAAACGCAGAGCTCCCAGGGCGAGAGGAGCAGCTGTGTGAGGAGCGCTCGTGTTATTGCACTGATGCGTAAAATAACGCGCGGCGCACTGGGAGCGCTCTGCTATTTACACACGAAAACACGCTGTTTTAGGATGCCATGCCTCCATTGCGCCCTCAACCACTACTACAGGCTTTGTTTTTTAAACTTTGCAACCAAAAGCTTCAATCATTGCCTTACTTTTCCTCCTCTAACTGTTGCTGATACTGTTCGAATTCTTCTTGAGTCATCCCCTGCGCCGCCGCGTCTGATTTCTCCCCTTCAGGTTTCTCCTCCGTCAGTCCGCCTGTCAGGTTCTTCAGCTGTCCCCCGACCATGTGTTTGACCATGAAAGCCATGGCTTCGAAGTGGAGATTCCTCTACTATATCGAGGGAGAAGTTGAAGGCTTTGTGCGCCCTTCGAAAGAGCGGTGACAGCGGGGAAATATCCGTCAAGTTACGCTTAGGAAAACCGCCTCGAAGTCTTGCACAAGCGCATTTAGCTCTAAAAATCTGTGAGTGAGAAATTAAACCGTAAAAAAAAAGTCTGAATTATTCCAGCGGCGCGTCGAAATCTGGCACTTTCAGCACCACTGGCCGTGGACAGCTCCGCGCCGTGAAGAATGGAGAGGAGCTGCTCAGTTATGAGTCAACAAGTTTGGCGCTGAACTCTACCAATCCTGTGACTCCGTCCGCAGCCACCACTCCCTCCGCCCAATCCCAGGCACCGCCGGACTGGGTGTGCGCTCGCAAGGCGCGCGTCGGCAGCGTGGGCTGCTCCCGTGATTCGCCGTCTGATTATAACTCACGATGGAGTCAGGCAGGGCTCTGCGAGGGACAAACAACACGTGACGAGTCCCAGTGTCTCCTGGCGGTTTTTGGTGCCTCGGTGTCTCAGGGTCATCTGCGCGCTGAAGCCGAAATTACAGTGCGTACACAATGAAAGAGCTTCATAATTGCGAATTAGTCAAATGGCTGTCTGTTAACCCACGGCGTGAGTTCTGTTTATTGACTTAACCACGCAGAAATGATGCCTGCAGTCTTCTCTTGTAGGGTATATGAGGACCATGAAAGTGATCTTTATAAAACAGATGAGAGGAGACTGTAAGAGGAGGAGTATGTGCATCCTCCATGGACTTTAAATGCTCTTGTAAACATTCCCTGCCGCTTACATTTAAGAACTAGGCATGGCATCCTAAATTTAGAAATTTCTTGTCCAGTTGCATCACCATAATATTCTGTCGTGACTCATGTGTCTGTAGTACACGCAAGCTGAGTTTATAATATCAGTGTCTCATGCTTATTAGCCCCCCTATAGGATTTTCCGTGCAAATTCCTCTCATGTGCCTGTGTTTGTGGGTTTGATGGGTAAGGCGGTTTAATAGTTCAACTTCCATCTCCAGAAAGGATGACTTATAAGAAGCCTGGATGCTTCTGGATGACACCATAAGACACAGTGTTCAGCTGGAAAGTCTCACTGTTGAAAAGCAGGACCTATATGAGTGTTTGAGAGGAGTATTTCAAAGCTGTCTCAGACTCTGTGAGATTCTTGACACTCAAAGTGTGAAAAGGAACTTTGATTACAAGTCAACAACTTCAGTCCTGATCCTCGCAGCAGTCTGACACCGGGCCTGGCCTACTTTTTCAGTCCCTGTGGATCAGGAGAGACAGAGCTCGTCTCAGTGTCTTTTTTGTCACAGGCTTAGAGACGCCCTCTTAGCCTGTACCTGGCTCCTTTTCAAATCTCCCCCTAACTTCAAAGCTGCCACCGCTGAAAAGATTGAAATGTAGCACAGTGAATACGATCAGAACTGTAATCTCTGTGAAATTTAATAAGAAGAATGAATTTGCCTAACCAGCATGTTTCGACATGAAATTATATCTTTGGCTTAAGATATTCACACACATGCGATCTGTTCCCAGCTCAGGTCTCGCTCAGTTTTTCATGGATTACCGCTGAGCTCCGACTACAGGTGATCCAGCAAAGAGCACAGCAGGAAGTTTAAATCCAAGAAGATGTGAATTATACACAATCACACTAGCTCCTGAAATTCATACAACTGAGTGAAGGAGACTACAACCTTCATGCGATGACGTTATCAGACAGCTGAGTCACACAGAGAAGAGTGAGAAAAGGTTCTGGGTCCTTAAAACACAGATGAGCAAAAACTCCAGCTATTGAGAGTGAGAGTCCAAAATAATCTGTTAGACCATGAACCAAATCCTTTATTCTTATGTTGATGATCAGGGCTTAGATTCATGCTTTGAAAATTGTTTGATACAAAGAAGTTCATAATCATCTGAGTCATTTGACAAGTGATCAATCCGGTACCTACCGACCCAACCAGAGTGGTGTAACTCAGCCTCCATTTCATGTAGATATTTCAAGCCTACTTTGGAAGGTTTAGTGGGATTTAATGTAATATAAGGGTAAAGGATAAGAATATTTTTGTGATTGATTATTATTCTTGTATTAGCACAGCCGGTGAAATAATTCCTCCTTGGCTTCATTTGACAGTAAGGAATATTGAACTTTAACAAAGCTACAGTGATGGCTGCAGGACAACTGAGCAGCTGCCACATTCAACTGAGACAGATAAATCTAAGACAGTGTAGTCACCCTCAGTAAGTTCAATGTTAGTACTTTAACATGCATGATACCAACAGGGAAGATTAATTAAACTGACCTGTAACAAACCAAGAGAAAATTAACTCATGCCCGTTAGAAGACATTGGTAGAAGAAAAACAAACTGGTCACTTTACTTCAACAACCACCTTCTTAAGATTGTGTGGGCATAAAAAAACCTGATCAGTGTTATCCTCTTGGTCTGTACAAAACAGCAACTTCCAAGGCTGTAAACTGAAGCCAACCAAGCAGTTCCTGAAGTGTCCACTAGAGTCTTGCATCAAAATCTTGTCAATCCCGTATGCCATATTTATACGATACTTTTGATCTCTGTAGCTTGTCTCTACATTCATTATTTACTGAACCCATGCTCAACCTTTTATGTACTTCACATAAATGCAAAATAATTCCTAAGCCTCACAATTTGCATAATTAGAGGCATGATCAGCTTGAGAGACAGATTGGTGCTGTTGGCAGGCTGCAGGGTGCCAGCTCTGACAATTTAGTCTCAGCATGCTCAAGGTACTGGAGCTCACTGGCGGCAAAAGTATTGAACTAATAACATTGTTAGCTGTGTGATGAAATTACATTATTCATACTGTATCAACACAACAGCAGGTATCAGTGTTTGAGCTTCAACTAATGGCAAGTTAGCTTGTGCATCGTTGATCATACATTGATTTAACATCACTGCTGTGCTGCCACTAATGTACTCACTCAACTTTTTGCACAGCTGTTGATTTAACAATTTGTTGTTGCCAACAAAATCTGCAGAACTTAAAATCTTGCGCTAACCAAAACTCAACCATCACTGCAACAAGATTTACTCTTCAGCAAAGTTCGGTTTAAGTCTGGACACTGTAGTATGTTTCTAAGATATCATTGAATAATTAAAGAAAAACCCATGAGCCCTTTTTCCAATTTTGCACCCATCTGCTTGGCACAGTAACTCAGGAGGTAGAGCGGTCGTCCAATAACTGGAAGGTTGGCAGTTGGATTCTCCCCTGTCTATCCATTGTGTCCTTGGGCAAGACACTTAACCAGCCTTGCTCCCAGTGTGTGTCCTCCATTGGTGTATGATTGTGAGTGTAGTGTGGTGGTCGGAGAGGACGTAGGTGCAAATTGGCAGCCACGTTTCCGTAAGTGGCTTTTTTTTGAGTAAAAAAAAGTAGTAAAAGTTGTGTCAAGTTGTACAAGCATCCCTTCAGCTCATATTTGTGAAACTCCATGACCTCCCTCAAAAAAACAAAAAAAAACCCCAAACTTGGTTTACTTTGTTGAAGCGGTTTACCTGTCGAGCAGAAAGGTTACAGGGTCCAGAAGATCCCAAAGCCGCCCCCCCCCCCGGTATTTACTTTGTTTTCACAGACCGCTGTGTATTGCTATCGTGCAGTCGTTGCTGAAGTTGGTGTAACAAGAGAAGCAAGCAGTTGGCAACATTCATCTCTTGAGGGGGTGACTAACTCAGTGTTACGGTGTCTTTGACCATGACCTAAATTTACGCCGGAATATCCCTTTAACGTTCCTTTAGTAGCTGCGATGCTCAGTGTATATAATCATTACAGATGCACCTTAAAACCTACCTGTTTATGCTAACTTTTGGTTAAGTTGTCACTTTCTTTTACTCGCGTACGCTTCTCTTTTATTGTTGTTATCGTATGTTTCCCTTTTAATGTTGCCATACTTGTAGCTTTTATCATTTTATGTTTTTCTCCTGTAAAGCACTTTGTCTGGCCTGTCCTATAAATGTGCTATATAAATAAACGTTACATTGACATTGACAGACCAGTATAAAAAAGTAAAGGAAAATGCATGCTAAATGAAAACTTCATAAAACAGGAACTGTTTCCTCTTGCGACTAGTCTGTGACAAATTACTGCAGCTGTGAACTGACTGAGGTCACCAACACCATGAAGTTACGTTATACTACACAGCTCTTTATCACAAATATGTGGTTGATAATTACATTTCCCCTCCATTCCTCCATTGTACAATCAGGCTAATACCTATTTTTTAAATAATGCTAAGATTACCTAAGACCTTCATCATCAGCTGTTAATCCAGCAAACAGTCAACAGACAGCAGCAGACACTGAGTTGCCACTTCAGTAATTGCTGCCATGCAAGATAGCAAATCACAGAAATGTCTAAATTTCTTGCTGGATTCATCCACAGCACACCATCAGGCGACTTAATTGGGGCTGTTAGATAAATGCACTTTCTCTAAAAAGAAACCAGAGGTGGGGACAAAAAAGTGTTTTATAAAATGTGTTGTGTAAAAATGATTAAACGCTGACGTAGGACTCTGAAATGGCAGCTGTCTCTGCAAATGTCGGCACTTACATTTGCGACATTACAGGATAATTTTATATTTACAAGAGGTTGCAATCAACTGGTTTCAAGTAAGAGCACAAAGCATCAAACATTACTCATTACTCACAGGTCCTGATTTAAAAAGAGGTTTGAGGTCATACTGCCTGGCTTAATTTTATTACCTTCTCAGCTTTGATGGATGTCTTTCTGTTCTGTGAAAATTAACAGTTGAGGTCCATACTGCACATATATGACACATAAGTGCATGCAAAGCTTTCTCACAGATGTTCACTGTAAATTTTTCATGCATGGCAACACACCAACCTGACAGGATATTTTTCCTCTTTAAGTGAACATCTGTTTAGTTGTCATAAGGGGGGTTATATGCTTAAAGACAGATGTGAAAAAGTAGACAACGCAGGTGTAAATGGTGATAAGAAAAAAAAGAGGAAGTGTGCTTGTGAAAATCAAACTTTGGTATTTGACTGAAACTATGACGGTTGTTTGAGCCCAAGTCAAGAAAAGGTTACAGAGGCGTGACGTAAGGTGGTTGTAAAGCAGTAGTGATTACGGTGTGAGTCAACCTCACTGAAAGCCTTGTGCTGGCTCCCACCCAGCCTCACTCCCAGCCCGGTTCCACTTGATCTTCTGGGATTAGGAGCCCGAGTGGGAATGGCAGAAATGGGCTTATGTACACCGTCATACACACGCACACATGCACTGATCCTCAGTGGCTGAGTTTTGCACCTTTTGTTTCTTTCGACATGAGATGACAAGGGATTAGACTCATCATACAAGTGTGCCCTGCAGCAACAATATGCACATTCAGGGAGTTTTTTAAATTCGCACAGGCGGGATGACGCCATTATCAAGTCGCTGGGATGCCTGTCTCGAGGAAGTCATGGTGTGAGTGGCAGCCTCCTCCTGAGATGACAGATATCCCAGTAATCCCATTAGAAGTGAAAAATGCTCTGTGTACTCAGTGACAAACTCCCGTTTGTAGAAAGAAAGCGTCAGAGATTGTTGAGTTTAGCCTTTAATTTGCTGCGATTTTTTTTGTGTGTCTGCATCAGGCCCAGTCTAGAGATGGAGCAGACAGGTGGGGTCACAGCAGCATGGCACCATATGGTGGAGAGCGAGTCACCCCAGCAGCGGTGGTTTGATGCCCCACAGGCTGTCTAGGAGGTGTTGAACTTCTCCGCATGTCAGCCTGGCAACTGTCCCCCCAGCTAACGTCAACTACAACCCAGTGAACTACTGAATGTTATGGCCTTATGACGCAGACAAAGAGAACATTTAACAACCCAAACTTTTGATATTTAACAGGGTCAAGGTACCCTTACTGGGTCATACTTCAAAATATATGTTATAAAGCAGAATAAATTAATCTTAAAGTAATCCAATCTCATATGTGCAGGTTGTGTGAGTGTTTGTTAACTTATAACATTTACTCTACTTTGGTTGTGGATGTATTGGTAACCTTTTTGAGGCTAATGAGCACTTATTATAACATTATGGATCTGTTTCCTTAAAGTTATTAACTGGTGTTTGAGATCATGTTAAAGAATAATGCATAGATGGTCAGAATAACTGATTCGATCACTCTAGGAGTTAAAATCTTTTGGTTATAAAATTGCATGAAACTGGATTTCATTTTCTTATGTAGCCATATGTTGCCATTTATTTTAACATTTTTACCTAGAAATATTGGCGGTTTAGATAATGTTCAGATATGAGTATAAATATGAGTGGGTTTCTATGAGTGGGTATTGGGCTCTAACAGGCCTTTTAAAAAAATGTTCAAGAGGGTTAAATTGTTCTACATGTGGTTTATGGCACAGAGAGGAGCAGTTTAAAATACCAGTCCCAACCACTGAAGTCTCGAGATCCTATGAAACACCAGTTAAGGCCAGTGCCTACTCAACAACCCAGCTGGGGTGTGGGCCCTCAGTGCTCGTCTATATCCACACAAGGGTGGCGGAAAAGGTACAATCATTGTTATCAACACCTGAGATTAGGGCTGTCACAATGTCGGATTTTCCGATTTTTCACAGTTATTGTGGCCACACAGCATCGCTTTGACAATATTGTTTTTGACAACTTGAAAACATACCAAGAGACAGTTTGAGGAAATGCAAAACAAGGGTGGAGAGACAGATAACATCACAAGCTTTACTAACGTCATGACTTTTCATGTCGTCATCTGTGTCTAATGTTATTCAAATTTATGATTCACTATTGCCCTTTGGAAAGAAAATTGTATTGAGCTTCAGCTAGTTGCTAGCACTCTGCTACTTCCTCTTCATCTGTCCTTCATTTTATGATATGTGCACTCTAAAAACCCTTGGGCTATTTCTTCAACCCAATTCCTGGGTTATACGTGTTGAGTTTAATTTCTGGGTTATTTTTCAGATCCATACCCATTTCTTGGGTCATATGGATTGTAACCCAATTTGAGTTTTTTTTTTTTTTTTTATTAAGGAGGGAACTGTATCTACCAGTTTGGGTCCTTAGGCAAGACCCTTAAGCGCTATGTCCTAACTCATAAACATGAGAGCATTACCACTGAAAGCTAAACCGGCTCAAACGTCGCTCAGGTTAACAAGATCTGCGTCACATGCTCAAATTAACTCAAACATTGGGTTAACTTGACCCTAAAAAGGGTTATTGAGTCAACTCAAAGTTTCAGTTGATTTGAATAACCCAAAAATCTGGGTCAAAATAACCCAATAAGTAGTCAGTCCCTTTTCAACCCTGGTGTTGAGGGGGTTTTAGAGTGTAGTTACCAGTAACAAGGGTCACTTGTATAAAGTGACAGTAGGGCTGAGCGATAAAACGATAATGATGTATACTGAGAATTAATTTCCCTCAGTATCAATATAAAACATGGTCAATATCCTTTTTGATAGTCGGCATTCTGCCATGTTTTGGTAGACTATACGAATAGCCAATGAAAGGGGGAGTTGCTCCGGGTCGGCTTTGTGCTGAATTAGAACCAAGAAGCAAACAACTGTGTAGTAGCAGGCTGCAGCTACACACAACCATAGCACTTTAACACGTGAAGCCGACAGCACTGTTGGTGAGAAGAAAAGGAAATGAGTGCTATCCCCGGCAGAAATGCAGATGAAGGCTCAACAGATGATGACATCATGACAACACTGGCACGAAAATGTCAGTGATGTGGAGGTATTTTGGTTTTTTAGGTCAGACATGAAGCACAGTATATGCACTGCAAATTATGTAGAGTACGTGTTCCCACAAAGTCGGGGAATACCTCAAATCTTTTTCACCACCTGAAGCAGCGCCACACTGCAGAGCACACACAACCCAAAAGGTTAGAAACCCTGAGCGAAGCAAGGAGCCTATTGTGCCTGTGAAGCAGAAACAGCCGACCATTCAGTCTGTTTTCTCTATGGCAACGTCTTACGATAAAACATGGAAGAGACACAAAGACCTCACAGATGCAGTAGCTTATGGTATTGCAAAAGACATGCTACTAATAAGCACTGTTAGATTTCATTTTTTTTATCGTGATATAAATTGATATCGACTGATATGAAAAAAATATCGTGATAAACTTTTTCCCATATTGCCCAGCCCTGAGCAACAGAATTACTGAAAGCCTGTTCTTCGCATGATATCAAGATAATTTATTTTAATTTTTATAAAAGACAGTCAACCTGATATATTGCAAAAACCCAACCTGAGACTTTGATAAACAGAACCTGTGTGTGTTGAAGGGGCCATTTGGTAAATTCTAGAGTCTGTATCATGCAGCTACTCTGCAAATCTTCCAAAGTCGTGTGTTCACACATGTCCCTCACAAGACAAAGTTTCGGCTGTCAGACCAGGAGGGTGGTGGGCGGGAAGTCTCAGGAAGCAGGACATGACATCAGAAGCATGCTGTTGAAGCCACAGTGTAATACTTCCAACATAATAGTGAGCAAAGCAACAGAGACCAACACTATATTGCAGTTTTTGCATTTGTATTAATGTTATGTGCAAACAGAAGTATGTACAGACATCTTTGCTGTCTTTGTAACGAAAAGGATTCGTCCCCTTCGATCTTAGATACTTTTATTCATTCATCTGTTGCTCCTCTGATATCCCCAAAGTCACGTACATTTCCCAGAGGAATAACAGCCACATTCTCGGCTCTACTTAAAAATTGTGTTGGAAGCTTGCAACAAAAAAATGTATATGAAGTCAGGGTGAGAATGAGGGCAACCTGAGTTCAAAATATGCAGCTCAAACTGAAGATCGCTGGAAGTTTTAGGAGTTTCATACAGCTGAAGTTACTCTGTGTAGATCTTGATTGGCACATTCGGGTAGCCTCTTTCTCCCAACTCTGATGTCAAAGTCCATACAGCCTTTTTTACTATCCACTTATTTATATGAGACCTCAACAATCTAGTGCCAGTAAGACACACATTTAGAAAGAGTTTTAACATTTGAAGTGGGTACATGTGTTTTTTCAGATTCATCATCTAGTGACAGTGAAATCTAATTGAGTCTTTCAGCACAGAAAAATACATTTCATGGGAAAGTGGTCACTAAAAAAGGAACCCATGTTGGGATTTAAATTGCACAGTGGGACTGTTGAAAGTGTGACGAGAAGGAGCTCAGGGACACAGTCAGTGACAGAATTCACAGCGGGAAAATACGCAGATCAAAAGTGAGAATGATGAAACAAAATTGTTCAGAGAATTGACTGAAATGGGTTGTGAAATTGAGTGTTAGCAGAGAAAGGGTCCATAAGGGTGAAAAACATTTCAGAACAGCTTCTTCTAAAAAAAAAAAAAAGAGAGAGAGAAAGGTCTCGGACTGCAAATCAAAATTCAGGAGCACAATCCATTTCAGAGATCGATTAGACTGCTAGGAGAACTGGAACACAACACGACAATTTGAGTCTGTCGTTCTTATGCTCACACAAAGATGCTTTGTTTAAATTTTTTTTTTTTTTTAAATCACAATGATCCTCTTTTTGATGTTGATAATTACAATGATGTACTGCTGTACCTGAAAGTTGCTGCACTGAGACTCTACAGATAAGACTTAAGACGTTTCATCAAGAGGAGACAGACTTACCAACAAGATGAAAGCTGTCCTTGTATCCAGACTGTCCTTGTATCCAGACAGCAGGAAGAGCTCCATGTTTACATGAGTCAGACCTCATGTTCAGAGTGAGAAACCTGAATGCTATTTTGGTTCTCAGCATCAAGTCAGACAACACAGAATCCTCTCTGTTTCTTCGATCAGATCACTGTCAATGTCTTATTTTGCCAGATTTCCTCCATTCTCCTTGAATTAAAGTGAAGCAGAGGTTAAACATTACAGCAACATAGAGATGAGTTTCCCACTTTAAGAAAAGGCACACCTACTGCAAGTCAGGAATTAAAACACATCAGCTACCAAGCTAACCAAGCAACATGTGGTTAACTTACGATTAGCTTTTAGCTTGTGTTGGAATGCCAAGCCAACTGTTGTACCGGACGTAGTATCGGTGATGTAATCACTCACCTGTTTCCGAAGTGGAGATTTGAAGCCAATAGGTCACCATAGTGGTAATGCTGTCTTAACTGAACAGAGTAGGAGGTGGGCCTTTAGCCTGCTTGCCAATGTCTCTTGTGCCTATCTTTCAGTAAAGTCAGCCATGCCTCTGATTTGCTGATCTAGTATCATCATTAACTTCAAAATAAATGTGTTAAAAAAAATTCCCTCCCTGTACTGTGGGTGTCGAGGGGCCCTGAGCATTCAGAGAACTGCAGGTTTTAGCACCTCTGCATCGGCTTCATTTCTCAAGATCAGAGGTTGCTGCTTGGTGAGTACCAGATGTGCTCAGCTGGTCAGATTGGCGCAGGTCCTGCGCTTGTTAGTGACATTACACAGTAAGATAAAATAAGATTAGCAGAACTTTGTTGATCCCTGACGGGAGATTCAATTGTCTGAAGTCTAATGTCTCAAGTCATCTACTATTAACAGAAGAATTAAACAGTCTGATGGCTGTTGGTACAAAAAGATCATCTGAATCTTTCTGTCCTGCAGTGAAGTGAGAGGAGCGGTCCACCACTGTTGGCCCTTTGGCCCATCAAGGTGTTGTGAAGTGGGTGATCCATGTTCTTAAGAATAGCCTCCACCTTCCTCAGTGTAGATCTCTCCACCACATCCTCCAGTGAGTCCAACTTGAATCCAACCACAGAGCCAGCCTTTTTCACTAGTTTGTTCAGATGTCTTGCATCTTTGTGTTTGAAACTGCCTCCCCAGCAGACTTCAGCGTATTTCATTGACGCCATATACCTGCACTCAGCTGCTGCCTCTCTGTACAGTTGCTGCAGAATCTAAGAGCATGATTGCCAGCTGATCGGCTGGCCGTTAAAATTTTGTCATTTGTACTTGGGTAGTTGCCTAGCAATACATTAGTAGAGATATTAAACAAGAAATACTGCGCAGCCAAAATACTCCCTTATTCCTCATATTCAGACCCACAAAAGTCAGCCAAAACTGCAATATCTTTTACTACTTTCTAAAATTGTGAGACAAACTATCTATTATACAGCCAATCAGAGTATAAAAGGTCTATAAAAACAAACGGTCAATTGTAATATGTTTCTGGTTGGATCCTTAGCCAGTCTGACTACCTCAGCACATCTGAGTCAATCAGTGTAACACACAGCCTTCATATGCAGCCCATCTCTTTAGGAGCCATGTTAAATGAGAAATGAGATATTGTTTGCTTCCTGTTGCTTTTCCTCTTATCTGATCAGAAGAAAATTAGCCAGCTCTGCATCCATCTTGAGACCCGTCAGTACTCTACCTCCATTATTCAATCTCAATTATTTTTACAAGGTCTATCACCAGAAATATGCTTTTTTCCTCGATGGAGCTTTTTTTTCTCGGGTAGAATCAGTTACTGGTATACCAGATCCACTTTGCTTGCCTGCTTGCTGAAACACCTGTTGGCTTGCTGTGATAACTGGTCTAATGGCAGCTGAGGAGTGTCCAAGACAGCTATATAGGGATGCCTTAGAACTGCTTAACTTCTCCAGTCATTTTTTTTTATTCATGCTTTGTTGGATCCATGCACTGCGCACTGAGAACTATACTTTTTGTAAAAAAAAGTGATCATAACTAAAGGAGGCACCTCTAAGGTTGTAAGGTCTTTCCTGTATGTCACCCCCTACTCTCTCACCCCATTTTCCTGCTCTGCACTTCCCATTAAAAGCCCCCCTCCCCCCAAATAAAAGCACTTAAAAGTAGCCATCTACCGTCACATAAACTTGTATCTTCATGGTTGCACGTTATCAATTTAAGCACGCTCTACTTCTGTGCATGGAGTTGTATTAGTGTAAGTAGCTCTTGTCGGTTTAAACCTTGTATGCATCGCAGCTTTATTCCAATGCTTTATACCTACAGACTACAGAGTGGGTAAAGTTGCTGCACAGTAAGACAGTCTGTGATACCATGAACTTCAAGATGATAAAAAGGATGAATTTAGATCTACATTTGATTAAATATTTAAAATAAATTGAAGCTGCGGTGGAAAAATAACAATTTGGGGATTGAAAATAAATTGTAACACAAACTTCTACAAGGGAGAGTAAATAGCGGCGCGATAGATAGACAGAAAATGCCAGAATGGAAGGTCAGAGTCACATATGTATTCAGATAATGAGCGTCCATACAGGAGGCTGCAGAGCCCACTCAGGCACACTAATGCCTCTGCTTATTTAGCTTTCTCTTCCCTATATACTTATTTTACACCTCTCCTACACTGCTCTCACACATTTCCTCGACTCCCTGCCTAACCCTCCTCTAACCCTTCCTTCTTATCCTCCCTCCCCCTCTGCTTCCATCCCTTCCCTCCTCAAATCCTTACCATTCCTCCCTCCATCCCTCCCTCCCTCCTGTCTTCCCAGCCTGATTTAGACCTCTAGCCTAAGAGGAACATCAGAGCACAATGGGTTAGCGCCGGCTGAGCTTAAATGGAATGAGAAAACCGGAAAATTCTCTTTCATGAATAGATGCAAACATTCGGCAGGGTGAGGGTGAATGAAGGAGGGAGAGGAGGGTGAGATGATACAGGCTGGGATGAAGGAGGAGTGAGATGATGATGGAGAAAAATGGCTGGAGAAGAGGTGAAGGTCAGTGCAGAGGGGGCAGCAGCCGGACACAGATTGATGATGGTTTTTCATTCCAAAAGGGTTAGAAAGACAAATTGTTTAGTGACATTTGGACTTTAAAATACTCTCAGAATAATCCAATGCATTTAAATATGGAGGGTTTGGTCCTCAACTGCAAATACTGTCAATGTAACTCTGCTTTATATTTGGTTTTAAGAAGATTTTCTGAAGTCCAAAGAACAGAGGAGTGTCTTCTACTGTCATTTTTAACACCTTAATTTCGTCGAATGGGTTTTTCAAAGCTGCATTTTACTACTGTTATATGTCTGCAAACAAACTGACCACATCAGATTGTGAAACACTTTTTCTTCCATGCCTGTGTGGTATGTTTCCTCTGACCAGCATGATTTTTAAAGATGAGGCAATATCACTTTACTAAAAAATAAATAAATAAATAAATACCACAACTGTTTTCTCCTTTGACTTCAAAAAGCCTGGTTACACATAAACTACTGTAGATAATATTAGATATTTCTAAACCCCTGCAGGGAAAGCAGAACCTTTACCTGTAACAGACTGTCTTGTCCTAATCTACTAGTCTGCTCTGTGCACAGCAAAAAAAATATCAAATCCGTCTGAGTTTATTTGTTTAAATAAGTGTCTCATTACACTTCACAAAAGTCAAATTCTCCTGAAACTCATGTTTTGAAGTATGTGGAGCAGGAAATAAAGAGAACTGTAATGAGTAAAAATGGCTTCCAATGCAGCAAGCAAAGTTTTCTTTTGTTCTGCCAAATGGAGCAAATTCACTACACTTAAAGTCATCTAATGCAACAGACAGATGAGATAATAATACAGCACTCAAAATAAAACACCCTCACTTAGCCAGGAGAGTAGTAGAAATCCATTTAAGGCCAACAAATGCAATTATGATAAGCAGTTACACAAAAATACAACAAGACAGGAGGATAAGGGAAGCAGTATTGATCCAAAATGTATTACCCTGATGCCTAGGCCATATGAACTGGCTGATCACAAACTGATTTAAGGTTTAACTTGCTGCCCACTAACACCATGCTCTCCAGAACCACCCTATCATCCACAAAATACCAGGCTGAAACAGACAAAGTTCATCACTGGAGGCAAGAATGGCAGCCCTAAAATGTCACTGTGGCCGAATTTGCCTGCAGTCTGAACGTGAGTCTGAAATGAGCAAACTTCAGGTCAGTTATCACTGCTCTACTAACATTGCTGAGTCATTCATTTTGGGGATCTGTGAAACTATTACTCGACTATAACTTTAATCACCAACCGTGTAAATACTGGCTCTGTTCAGCTGAGAATATTTATTAAATACTTGATTCTGATTGGTTAAAACCCTCTGACAATGTTTTTCACAGAAATACATACAAATACACAGAAACACATCCAGACACAACCGGAAAAGGGCAGCTGGGAGGTGAGTGTTGATGTTACTGATCCCTACGAAGCAACTCAAACCCTGAGCAGTTGTGATGATAGCAATATTGTATTATTAGAGTTTTGACTTTTACCTCCTTTATTTTTAGAGGTGTGTCAACTGCAAAGCCCTGAGAAGCTGCAGACCTGAGCTGAATAGGGACCCAAGTCAATATTTACATTGTTGCAGTAGACCTGTTCACGAACCCATCACTAGAAGATTTCAGTTTGATGTAAATAATGACAAATAAGCAGGCTGGAAATAACTGCAGAGGTCTTGTCCACCTTTCCTCATGTACCTGTCACAGGAAATGATCAATTAAATGGTAATTATGTTAGCGGCTTATATGTGAAACGAGGATGTATGTTTGTGCGGTTATACGACCAACTATGGGTTTGAGAAGACTTTTTTGTTAATCCATACAGATATTGTTTTGAATCAATAAAATCATCTTTGAATAAAGCATCAATTTGTTTATAACTGTGGTCTGCGGCCAGGATCTGGTCTCACCCTGTGGAGATTACATAACCTCCTGTTCACCATGCATTATCCTTAAATATGCCTCAGCAGTTTGGGCACAGATATTTGAACAATTTTTGACTTCTATCTTAAACTGCATATAAAATCTTGTCTTTTTTAAAATTTCTCTTTATGGCTTTTTTGTTTCTAACTATTTCACTTAATCCATGAAATGCAGCGCTGTCAGTTCTTTGAGTTTTTAATGGTCCAATTCCACACTTTGTGATGTATCTTGCATGCTATCATGCAGACCGTTGAATCTCCGTCATACGTTGTCATCTTGTCATAACCCTGAGGTTTGCCTAAAGCCTCATACTCCATCTGTTTCCTGTGTGTTGAATAGTTACAGCCCGATTTCTTTCTCACGCACGGACAAAAAAAAAAAGACAGTGAGAAACAGACACACACACACACACACACACACACAAAAAACCCCTCTCAAAAAACATCCCTAATTGATGTAGTTAACTGCATCAATAAGGATGGGCGTGTGTCTTCAAAGGATACTCTAGCTTCATCTGCTCCAATAACACACACACACACACACATACATACATACATACACAAACAGATTTCCACACATGTGCAGCCATGCCAGCTACATGCATCCTTTCCTCTTCGTTACGTAACTCCCCCTCCCCCAGCAGCACAATGAGAAGTTATAACAGAAGTTATGACCCCGAGTCTGTGACACGCTCCTCACTCCTGACTCTCTCTCTTTCCTACAAACACACAGAAACACACACACACACACACACACCCTCATAAACACTCACACGTCATGCATGGCTGCGTAGGCACTGAAAAGATGACGTTTCTCAGCTCAGGATCACATGTGTTTGAGTCACAGGAGCGCTCAGCTCATATTCATATTCAAATAAACACAGTCTTGGTGTGTTTATACTATGAGCTCCAAGTCCCACAGCCTGACCTCATAAAACCTGCTCTTTGGCCTGGTTTTACCCTGCCAAGCTCCCTGAAATGGGTGAGTTTCTAGGATTAAGAGCAAAGAGAAGAGGAGAAGGCTGAAAAGAGATCATGCTCCTCCGGAATTAGAGCAATTTGCTGGATATTGAGACCCTTATAGCAACGACATGCTGCCCGTGGTCCCTGCAGCCTTCTCTGTCTGCCACACTGACCCCACTCCCAATGAAATTTCATCACTGACCATGTGTGTGTGTGAGCGTGTGTGTGTTTGTTAGCCTTTGTGTGCAGCCCCTCTGTCTGTCCATTCAGGGAACGGTTGTGAGCACTGATGTTTGCACAGTCCCAGCAGACATAACCAATCTGAGAACAGCTGAATCTCTGCAAACATAAAGCCCTATGGAGGCGGAACAGATTGGAAGGGGGGCATTCTCATGTGCTCTTATGCGCTATAAATAGCCGTCTGATTTGTTTACGCTCATGCAAATGGTGCTTTATGAGCTTATTAACAGTAGCGTGCAAATTCTGTGCGAAAACGCTGGCTCGTTAAGGTGTGAAGCACGTGCATTTTCATACTACAAAGCAGATTAAACACCCATCTCTCCTCTCCAACCATCATTACCTGCATTTAATCAAAAAAACCTGCTCAGAGTTTTTTTTTCTTGCTTCCTCTGTTGTCTCCGCCATAAAACCTTAACATCCTGGCATATGCTGGAATGAAGAGCATCCTCCTCCCCCCCTCCTCTCTAGCTGTACCTCTCTCAATTACACACATGCGCTCCCTCGTAGAGCTGCAGCTCGGGACAAACTCCTCTAAGCTCAGCGTGGCTGATGACCTCCTCTGATCTCGGCCCTCACACATCACTGCTCCCGAATCCCAGTTATCCTTTGAGGCCTCATATATGCAAACACCAAATCTAATACACACAGTGATCTAGTGAGAGGATGTTGTTCCCCATGTGAGGAGGCAGTATGAGTCAGTGTGTCTGTCTGTCTGTGTGTGTCTGTGCACGTGCACTGGATTGGGGGTGGGCGTCCTCATCCTGTCACTTCCTCTGTTCCTCTGTCTGCTCAGGTTCTGGGATGACTGTATATATAAACAACAGACACAGGACAGGTTACAGACTGACTAACAAACATACTGGCATCATTTTCATCGGCGCAGTGTTGCTCACAAAGGACATTTGTCAGAGGCATCAAAACAAACACCAGACATGCATGAAATGTCCCTCCAAAGAGATATTAGTTCATTACCCCCGACAACATAAGAAGCAAAAAGAGGCGTGAAGCTGCCTGTTCTAATGATCGTGAACATTTATTGTTTCTTGAAAATGTCAATCAAGTGAGCATTGTCTCGTTAAAAACACTGAAGACCCACGATGAAAATCATGTTTTTCTTGTTGTCTACTTGTCCATATGGCATTTTTCTGATGCTACAGGACAAATCATCAGAAAAGTGAGTGTGAAAATGCATTTCTGAATATTTTTGCATTCAAATTTTTGTGAATCTCTGGCAGACCCAAACGGCAGGTTCAGATACAATGAGATTTCCTATGCAACCAATCCAAGCCCTGCCCCTGGAGCCCCCTATGCAAGCCAGGCTCATAGAAATAGAGAGGACAACTGCAGAACAAGCGTGTGTGTTAGCGGATAGCAATGCTCGTAAGAAAGATAAATATGATATTAACTTTCATCGTGCCCCTAAAGACATTAGTGTCTGAGAGCTGAACAGCTCCTATGTTACCTGCCACTTCTACTACATTGGCAATGTTAGGCTGCAATGATAATATAGAATAACGTCTCTGGCTGACTGGAGCAAAAATGTTCAAATGGTTTGTTAAATGTTCTTCCGACACACATTCATGAACACTGATTAAAGGTCCATGTTTACGTCACCATTTCACATGAATGAGGTACCTCAGCAATTACAGAGTATTGTATCTTGCTGTAAATTTTCAAAAAACATTTGAAAAAGAAAAAACAGACATAACTGCATGGCTGTGTGGTTTTTCAGTAGTCTGAAAAATCAGTGTTTGATTTGCTTATTCAATAGAAATCACGGCTGCTGTGTTCTTTTTTGTAATGCTGGGATTTACTCTTTTAATGTGATCTCAAGAAACCTGATGTATAAATTCATGCACAGATTGACAGATTCTCAGAACTCTATACACTCGATACCACTCTCCCTGGTGGAGACACTGGTATAGATGTGTTTCATAATGTGTCTCTTTTTTTTAATCAAGTGTTGTGTTTGTTTCTGTTTGTACTTGTATTTATTGTTTTGTTTATGGACCTTGAGTCTGTCAATAGAGTATCTCTCTATCTCTCTTTCTTCACTCCAAGGAGAAGAGGACCACCTGGCTTAATTTTGCACACAGTTCAAAAGCCAGTATCTCTGATGGTTGGGGATGCATCAGTGTAAATGGCATGGGTGGCTTACACCTGGGAAGGCTTTAATAATGCTGTATATAAACAGGTTTTGGAGCAAAATGTTCTTCTATCTAGATGCTTTTTTCAAGAGAGGCCTTACATAATACAGCAAGAAGACACAGAACTATATTTTACATGTGTGACAACAGCATGGCTCTATAGTAGAAGAATCTGGATGCATAACTGGCCAGTCTGAAGCCATGAAAAACTTATCCATAAAAATATTTGCTGCATCAAGTCACAAAAGGTGTGACAAAGGAGAACCTAAACTGTTGGGTGGCTGAAATAAAATGGGACAGTACTCCTCCTTTAAACTCCATAAACCTGTCTCCTCTGTTCTCAATTGTAAATGTTAAAATAAGAGCTGATGCAACATAACAGTAGACATGCACTGATTCCAACCTCAAAGAGGTTCCAAGTTTTAAGTTTCAAACTCATTAATGTTGTGTAAAGACATGTGATCAAATGGCAGAGGTCCAGCCCAGAATACCAGCGCTGAGGTCTCCAACTTTGACAAAGAGAGAAAAACTGTCTGTCTTTAATTTGGGTTTTGGGTCATTTTAAATTCATGTCCAGAGAATGTCTCTCCTCCAGGATTTAAGACAGGTTTCCTCTCCCATACAGCAAGGGCAGTCCTTACATAAGACCATGTGTATTGGTAAATGTCTCGGCCGGCCTCACGCGGCCTCTGCTCAACCCAAACAACATGAGGCCGGCCTCTGCTGATGAAACCCACTGAAAACGGCTCATATGCTCTACTGAATCAAGCCTTCACCCCAGAGGCAAATTCATCATCTCCATCCCCGCTGGAGCGCTAACGTCGCTTCCTCTCCTCCCCCTCCTCCCTCCTCCCCAAATGCCAGACCTTTGCTCACCAATTCAATTAACTCAATCAGAGCGTTGCTGCACGCGTCACGGCTGAAGGTGAAGGTAAGGTGAGCTCCTAAAGTAGACCGTTGAGAAGTCAGGGCCGAGACCAGCAGCTATCAAACTTTGGGAGGCTGGACAGGATGTGGGATTTATGTGACAGGCTGCCTGATGATGTTAGCATTTCTCAGCGTCACGGACCTCGTCAAGGCAATGGCCTCCACGCCACGTGACGCACACAGCTGCACATAGCCTGCTTAGATATCCCCCCACCCCCCCAGCCAAGAGAGACAAAGTGCGTCCGTCACAGCTTGTCCCCGATAACCATGAGACCTGTCACAATCCAACACGACACACCTGGCTGACACATCACGGGAAACACAGCAGCGGTATAAACATCAGGAGGAGAAAAAAACACAGTGTGTGCCAGCCTGCTCTATCGAAAACAACTGAGTGAAAACTGTACAGGTGTTGAATGACTGGTTGAGTGTGAATCACTTTAACTGTTTTCATTTCATGGGGAAATGTTTGACATGAACTTCTTTTCTTGAACCAATTTGCTACATTTGTTTTTACAAATAGGTTATTTATGCTTGAAAATAATGCTAAATGATATTGCTATTCTTAAAATTCCTTTGAGGAGCTTTTCACGTGTAAATTTTAGCACCCCTTTTAGAAAATAAGTCTTTGCTTATCTTGTCCTTGACTTACTGAAGCTCTGTAGTGACTTCTGACAAAAAAATCTCATCCTGCTGACTTCTGATAGTCAAAATGATCATTTAGTTGGAAAATCTTCAATTGAAAATATAAGAGCAGGGCTGTTTTTCAACTGACACCAACCACTTGCACACGTTCCCGGCATTAAAATTTACAGTCTGAAGATAATCAGCCTTGTCACTGGTGCTCTGTTTGCTTTTTTGTGTCAGAAAAAGGTAATAATATGATTTCAAAAAACTCCCTATAGGAGCTTTAAACCATACAGCACATTGCTTCCATAATAACAGTGGTCAATGAACAAAAAACAGTCGGTACATTTAAGATGAGCCACAGTTATTGCTTGATTCATCAATTTAACTGTATGACTGTCCTCAGAGCCAGAATTAATTTACTAACACAAACACAGTGTGTTTGCCCCTGATGTGGAAAGTATCAACATTATTTGATTTTGTTAGTCACTCTACAAAAAAAAAAATCATTGAGTGTGATTTGGTTTCTGACCAACATGTTTAAGTGTAATTTAAAAGTCTAGTTTTATTCAGGCCAATGCCATTTTTTCCCCCTTTTTTCAGCAACGTGTAAATGTAGGAGAGAGCAGAGTGATTTGAACTGTTTTTCACATTTGGCATATTTTCAGAAATGGTGCAACAGTTACATTTCCAACTGCAATTGACAGACATATTTTTAGATTTGGTGCATCCCTGGGAATAATCACTTTAGTTCCTAAATCAATTAAAAATAGATTGATAACTCTTTGAAAAAAAGTTGTACCTTCAGCCTTGGGCGTTTATAAGTTGAGCCATTTCGCTGCCATTTAACAGCTGAGCAGGTGTGAACAGCTCTTCCTGGGCTTAGCCGTTGGCTCAATTTGCCTAAGGCCTTTTGGCATACATTATCCCATCTCACCTTTTTGGACCAATTTTTATCACCCACAGTTTAGAGCTGGCATTAAACTGATGGTAGATGAGTGACTTTTTCAAAAAACTTATTTATAATTGTTCAGACACATGATTCATGACTCCGTACACATGACACATTCATTTAAACTGTACAATAAGTTTTTATCTCAAACTTAAAGGTGTCTACCACTTATTCCATGTGCCTCTGTATATCCCAGGGTGATTGAAATAGAAATGTATTATCACATGACCAACTTAGTCTATGGTTGCCTAGAAACAAGGGGTGGCTCGGCTTCCCCACAGGCTGAAATCACTAGGCTCTTCTCTATTAAATATGTGGTCAGGGGTTATGTCCAACACAGAGGTATACTTTATAAACTGTTAAGAAGTTTAGATTTCAACAACATCATATTGAATCATTTCACCAGACGTGTCTGCTACATTTTTTAAAAAGTAATTATAGAAAGAAAAATGTCCTAAAATAAAGACAATTAGTACATCTAAAGGTTGTTTTTCTTTATACTCTCAAGAACTCTACGATTAATTCGAGGATTGAAAGCACTGAGAAGTGAAACCAAGAGCTCCTCAAATGTCCTTATGCCACAGAAATCACCAAAACAACCCCAATTGTCCATTTTACAGCAAAATTAAACATGTTTACAGCCTGTTACAAAAGCAGTTTCAGTCTCCATATCTCACGTCTTTATTTGTGACAGAAGGTAGTCATATAGATTAGAATATAAACAAGGTGAAACGAGACTTTTCTTCCCCCCTAAAAGGATTATCAACCTTCAGTTGTTTCTCAGTGGGTGAAGGTAAAGGGCTTTGGTTTTAGCGGGGCAAAGGGACAAACACTTTTAAAACAGGCTACTAAGCACTGTCCACTTGCAGAAAAGATCCTGTAGCTGCCTTTGCACAGACCTTCAGCATCTTTGTGGTTTTTAGTTTCTGCATTGTGGGAAAATGTAATATATACATTGCAGATGTCTTCACATTTCATGATGAGAGTCTCTTGTTAAGTTCTGATCTCCCTCTCTATCTCTCCTTGTCAATAAAGGTAAAAAATACTGGAGCCAAAATATGAACTTCAGTTCTCAAGATACTTAAAGATATGCAAATGGCTTTATCCCTCAAGTCTTTAATTGTCTTTTTCTGTTGCTATAAGTAGGTACCACTGGCTTGCTATTATGATATTCTTATTTTATGAAATTTAGACAATCATTGCTTAAGTTGTCTGCCTTTAGAGAACCGATTAGCAAAATAATGGTGACACGAGAAGCAGGGTAGATGAATAAGAGTACTGAAGCAAGAAGAGGTCATGCTGAAGTTACTGGTAATTGTATTGAACTAATTTCCAGTAACAATATTTGAAGCCATTCATGTTTTAAAAAGCCTGTAGATTCATAATTTGAACCTTGGGAAAATAAATTATAACATTTAAATTCTTGACTTCTTTTCTGTGTGTTTAAATAAGACCTGGGCCTCTCAGTGCCCTAATGGTGCCATGTAACTAGGGCAGGAAACTTGAACATGTTGCACAGGGCAGCTCACAGGCGATGTGAAAGAATAGCTGCAGATCAATATGTGGTTCCCAGCAAGAACATTCACCCACGAACAACGTCAAGGTCAGGGTTTATGTTTCTGTACATTTATGTTGATTCAGATAAATACGGGAGAATATGTCACCTCCAGAGTCCACCTCAACCCTTTTTTTATCTTCCATCAACTTTTCCCAGCAGACACCACTTTTCCTCTCTTCTAACGTGAACATTTCTATGGCGCCACGTGAGTCATGCACAACTGCTGCTGCCCACGTCTGAGTTAGGGGGCCTATGAGTAATCCGGCTCGGACTGAGGCAAGAGGCGAGTCTTTGAAGCACAGTGGGGAAATATTGAAACACAGGCCAGAGCACTCATACAGAAAATGCAAATCTAAAGGCGGTGAAGTCATTAGTCACCTTGGACAAAAGTCTGCTGTCCAATTTTAGTTTGAGTCCATTCAGGGTTTCACACTCAAACATCTGAATGAAATAATAGAAAAACGTGTTTGTTTGTTTTTCTTGCTGCCAGCTGAGCAGAAATAAAAACCCTGACTCTTGACTCACATGACCAAAAGGTCTCCAATGTTATAAAAAAAAAGGAAAAAAAGTCCTGCAGCAGAGCTGCTGCAAGAACATGAAAGTAGTGATGTAAAACTGGCCTCAGGCTGCAGCAACAACAAAGGAAAGTAATTGTTACATAAAGTGTTTCAGTGGACTGAGGTCACTACTATCAGCTGAACCCAAATCAGGGGTCTGATTGCAGCTGGTCCAAACCACTCCAACAATCACACATCAAGACAGAGCGGACATCCCAGGAGGAGGAAGCAGCACATCACCCACAATAGGAACACAGTCCCATATATGACACTGCTGAGCGATAGACAACTGTGGAACTTGAGTTTTCTCAGCACGAGTTATCAGGTGAATTTTGGTCAGACAAAATCAACTATTAACATCTTACATCTTCAGTTTGGTAAATGAGACTTTTCCCCATTATTTATAAAATAATCAGAACAATAGGCAGAATAATGAATACTGAAAACCAAAGACCTTAGAAAATAAAACGAGAAGACTGAATACTGATACATAAAAAAGATGCAAAATCAAAACAAAGAGGTAATTTTAAACTGGTTATAGAAAAGTATGATGATAAATCTCTTTTAGCAACATACATAAGGAGGGGGTGAAAATTCATCACTGTCAACAAAAACTATGAAGAACAAATGTGCATTTTTATGGGAAAATGACTACACTGAAGTGTTAGTGTTGGACTATTGGATATTCACAGTATATGATATTTCCCCCATTTTGCATCTAATCTGTCAAAATACAGGTAATGCATTCATTTAACTGCTAAGAAGGCAGTTCAATTGTGGGTACAAATTATTACTTAAATGTCAACATTCACTCTTTACACATATATCCATTACAATCCATACAACAGAAGACACCAGAGATCAGAGCCCTGAGGAATTCCTCAACATGTCATTACACTCAAGAAATACATTTCATCACAAAGTAAGTTCTTTTCTCCTGACAGAAGTATTGGTTAAAGCAACTGGAGAGCAAACGTGAAGAAAAGCATGTAATTATACATTATAGTGAAATACGTGCAGTCTTCACTGTCTTTAAGACAAAGAATCAGAGTTGAAAGATTTTTATCTTTTTTCATATCTGATTCCATTATGTTATTTATTTATTCTTTTTTTTTTTCAAAAGGCTGGACATCAAAGAAGCAGGAGGATTTTAGATGAAGTACACTTTTTAAGACTCAGTAGCCTGAAGGGTAAATTCTTATAAGTTTATTCAGTTGGTCTGGAGTGGCACTGAAGATTAACAGACTGTCTTTCTGAAATTACACATTAGGGAGTTTGTAGGAAGTGTTTATTATCCTCTCAACATCAACAAATAAAAGCACCTGTGTTCTTGTTTTTTAAAGCTCTTCACTTTTCATGGATGTCATAATGCTCCTTCAGTCATGTCCACCAGCTGTGTCCAGCCTTTATTAATATTTGCCAAACAAAAGCTAGCTTTACCTTAGTGGGGATGACACCAACCCCAAAATACCTGATTTAAGAACTAAACTTATCCACAACATTATTGACTGACCCGTATAAGGGCAGGTTTGTGATGAAAAATGTCAGGATTAATAAACTGCATGGGTGTTTTTGGTGATATATTGTTTTCTGATTTTCTCTGAATCTCAGGATTGATCAGAATGAGAAACAATCGATTTATTAAATGTTAAAAACTCTTGGTGACTTAATGAGATATCTTTATATACTGAGTGAGTCCACAGCGATAAAGAATATAATGGCGCTCATGTTCATTGAGTCATCTGATGAACCACCAAAAATGGTCACATTTAATAACAGAGGACTCATTTCTCAATAGCAGCCTGCTGTCATGACTGTTGCCCAAACTATGGTTCAATCTCAGATTACAAACTGTGATCACAACAGGAAGCAGGAAGAAATCTGATTAACGTTGTTTTTATTTATGGGGGGGAAAACTATTAAGTTGATGGAAACAGTAGAAAAGGAAGAAG